GAGAGAGAGAGAGAGAGAGAGAGAGAGAGAGAGAGAGAGAGAGAGAGAGAGAGATTTAAAGGAAGAGTAAGTGTAAGAAAAAACAAAAAAAAAAGAAAAAAAAAAGAAGGAAAAGAAGAAAGAAAGAGAGAGAGAGAGAGAGAGAGAGAGAGAGAGAGAGAGAGATTTGAAGGAAGAGTATGAGTATGAAAGCAAACAAAACGAAGTTCAAAGCAATGTTTTTAAAATAAAATTAAAGTTAGAAAATCAATTGGCAGTTCTGTTTCTGTTCAGGAATATCTCTTGTAGAGGAGAGGACGACAACGAAGAAAAAGCCTAATTGAATAAGCTGTCAAGCTGGAAATGTTGGTGAAGAAAATGCTTCATTTTGTATAAAAAAAGAAGATCTATCTCAATAACACATAGTATTAACCATATATAGTATAGTTAATGGACTATATAGATTCCATCTATTACTTAAGCTTAAGCTTACAAGTTGAAATGGCACACATTGTGCGAAAAACAATGAAAGTTGACAGTTGTCCTCCTCCTCCTCCGCATTTGTTTTTCATAACTTGACGACTCCCAAAGAGAAAATTCTTTTTCATTCTCTTTCTCATTCAACTCTCTAAATTCAGATGTGGTTGTATCCTGCTCTCTTCTACGCTCACATCTATGTTTCTCTCTATGGAAAAGAATATTTCGATGAAAATCCTCTCAATAGCTTTTTTTGAGCTCTACCTTAATTACTTCACAAACAACCCGCCTTTCATTCTACCCAATTTTCCCTTCATCCCATCTTCCTTTTCCCATCTCTCTCCCTCTTTTCCTCTCTCTCTGTTTCACAGTCAACCTCTCTTTTCATTCTCTTTCACGAATTCCCTCTCGGTATTATGCTTCTCTTTCCCTCTATTCGTTGATCTCTTTCTCTCTATTCTCTCCCTCCCTATCTCTCTCTCTCTCTGTTTTACTTTCAAAGCCCAATAGTTGTCTCTTCATAACTTCTTATTACATATTAAACAGAAACTTTGACATTCATCTATGAAACTCACTCAAACGAAATCCCAGAAGATCTTCATATCTGAGAATATAATTAGTGATGCTTGTTAAACCAAATTTTTGATTTCCCATTAGGAAAGATGCAGAATGGGCTATTCAGCAACAGAAAAAAAGAACAAAAATTGACTCGAAAAGGAGCAAAGAATGATGTAAAAAAAATAATTTTCGATAGAAAAAAGTGAAAATCAGACGACTAATGATCGTTATATGACAGAATGGGAATCAGAAGACGAAACGACGACATGTATGGCGAGGACGACGATGATTCTTCTTCTACTCCCTACGGCATGTTTCCTTTCTCCCCCCTCTTTTTGTCTTCCTCTTTCATTCTTTCTATCTCTCTCTCTCTGTGCTCTCTTCTTCATTTTTGGCTAAAAAGAGCAAATTTAGCTTTGTATTGATCTGGATATCTCTAGTTTGCTTGTCTGAACACGGATTCTGCTCTTCAGCTTTTCACATTATTTCAATCGCTTCATTCATCCTCCTCCCCACCCCATGAGCTATTGCTTGTTCTCTTCAGAAGTTGAGGTGGAAAACAGGAAACGCTGTCAAATCATCATTTCTCCATTTTTGGTCAAAAAAAAAGGAAAATGCGGAAAAAATTATTTTTTTTTATTCTTTCTCCTCATTACTATTTCACATTGAGTATATCCACATGGAACACATAGTTATAGCTAGTTGGTGTGTGTGTGTGTGTGTGTGTGTGGAAAGCTGGAACGAAAGCCAAAAAGAACAAACAAGTAAACAGATCAGCTTATAAATCATTTTTTAATAACTTTTTTAATAAAAATCAATTGTTCAATAAATGTCTGACGATATATCTTGGATCGTGCAAACGTTACATAGTAATTCTGTGAGAAGCATACGGAAGACAATAAACTCTGAAAATGAATAAGAAAAATGGTAACAGTATGTCTGAGTAATGGGTCTCAGGACGATATTCAAGAAATTTGAAGGATGAGTGAAACATACACAGTAGCTTTGGATGACTGTAGTGTGAGCATCTATATGCATATATGGTATAAATAATAATATGAAACTATATGAAAACCAGAATACTATGAATATTATAATTAATATAGATAATGAGTGTATGATCTGAAAATAAAATGATTAAATGTACAACCGCTTTACTATCTATCTGCAAATGAGAATGAAATAGTTGTTTTTCACAATAGCTGTTCACGAGTGATCTATACGCACACACAGCCATGCTGACATGTGTGCGTGTGTCACGTGAAAAATCCACGTAAAATATGCAAATTAACCTTGCGTTGTGGAGAATTCGGTGATGATTGATGTCTTTTTTCTGCAAAAAAACGAAGGAATCATTATGCAAATGAGATGAAAAAGAAAAAAAAAATAATAAAAAACCTTGTTGATATATAAGAAAATAAATAATCGAAAAACATATTAAGGTGGGGAAATTAATAAGAAATAACGTGGCAGACCAAATACGTTCAACTGAAAGAAGACTGTATAAGAGAGAGGGAGAGGGAATGAGTATGATGATACTTGAAGGAGGTAACGATAACGGTGGATTGCATAGAAATATTCTATCGTTCTGAATATGGCTATACGATATGATTATTATGATAGCTGGAAATATGAATGAAGCTATGACGATCGTTATGATATACGATGATAAATTGATTTTTCGAAATCTGAAATGAATATAATATGGATAGATAGTAGGGTAGTGAGTAGAAATTAGGAAAAGTCTAAGTAGATCATCTACGTCTACATCTACTATCATCTATGATATTATATGACGACGTACATAAATGGAAATATAATATCTATTAGAATATCAATAGATATCATGAAGAATATGAATGTTTGACTTGTAATGAACAGGATTAGTATGTTTTCATATTTGAAGCACGTTAATCTTAAGATTTCCACATCTGCAAAACCTAAAATTGTGAAGACGAAAGGAAAACAGAGAATTGGTCAGAAAGATGAAAAACCTTGTAAGTTTAAGTAAAGGTTATATAATTGACAACATAAACAAATTGAATGCTCAAAGCTCATCAATGCCATTAAGATTCCTGAACGAAGGCAGTTTTCAAGCGAATATGGTTAGTGTGTGTACCATTACGACTACGTAAGTCTCTCTTCCTCCAGATGGCAATGATGAAGTTGATATTACCGAAATGACCAAAAACATTGAAAAATATAATAAAAAAGCCGATGATTTCAGCGGCATTGTCGTCCACGAACATATCCTGAAAACTGTTTTTTTCCAATCCTCGCCTCCCAACAATTAATATAATAAAACAGAAAACGTCAAAAAATGTAAATTATATGTTCGGATAGCATATTTTCAGGTTGAAAAGTTCAGGAGCCGGAGAGAAATTATTGGTTTGAAGAGAACATCAGCCCGCCTTGTTTGATGCTTTACAAACAATGGAATGAAATTGAATAAAAAATGAAACAGAATGTATGAAAAAACATAAATTTATTACATTTTCTAACATAAGAATAGACAATATCAGATGAAAAGAGAGAGAGAGAGAGAGGGAGAGAGAGAATAGACTCAGAGAGAGAGAGAGTGAAGTGTGAAGTGTGAAGGAGAGAATATGCTTCTATGAAACTGCCGTTTATAGAACAGTTGACCCGTTTTAAATATATGTTTTCTTTCAATATGAAATAATTAATGATATGGTATTATGATAAGACGGAAGTGAGTGTAGCAGTTGTAGTAACTGCTGGTTACGTTGACGATGAGGTGCGGGAAACAAAACAGTAAAATATGGAAATAGGTCTCATAAGGAAAAACATACAACATGAAAGATTATTAGCTATTGATGATAATAATAATAATAATAATAATAATAAAGCTAAAAAGAAAAATATACACATAACCTTAGGGCATTTATCTATTTGAAGGACCTTCATTTGTCATGGAAGGTAAAGAGTCCGGACGAGGTACTGTTGATGTTGAACGTTGCTTATTCAAATCCGGAACTATGATGATACGAGGGTCAGATGATGATTGCTCATATTCCGGTGGTCCAACAGGAACTAATCTAAAGATCATTTAATTATCTAATTTATGACCATTGGAATATGGAATTTATAAATAGTAAGTAGAGATAGAGATAGTTGACGTCAACTCAGCCTGATTCACGTGTTCGTCTCTCTCCTTCTCTCTGATAATCAGATCATTGCTCATTACTAGCAAATCCTTCTGATTAACATTTCATAATATTTTTCAATATTTCGTTTTGTTTTTCTTGTCTTGAATTTCGAATTGAAAAAAAAAATCTCACGTTTCATCTGTGGTCACAACGGTCAATGGTGGACGCGCTTGAGCTTCATAACGTGGAGGGTATAAGTATTGAATTGATAATGTTGGTGAAGTTGTTGTTGAACTTGAAGAGGATGATGATCCGGAAGAGGATCCGCCTCCTGCTGAGGAATTTGTAGATGATGTGGTGTTGCTGCTTGTTGAAGCTGCTCGAAGAGCCATAAAAGCACGAAGTGGATCATAAATCAAATTTTTTTCTTCATCCGTATAAATGGGTGGTGGAGGTGTTGAAGCAATTGCTGGAAATGAGAAAAAACATTTTCAGACGGCAGACGAACACAACATCAACTCACCAACATCATATTTGGGTGGTGGAGGTAATTGACGTAAAATATTTGCTAGGGGAGTACGACGAGAGTGTGATTGTACGACTGTCGTTGTTACATTTGCTCCTTAAAAGATTGACAGAAGCTGATATTTGTTTGAAAGTATGAGCTTACCTGCTTCCTGGCGACGGAACAGTAGACAAACAATGCAAAAACAAAGACAAAAAGCTAGTATGATAGGTGAAGCTGCCACTACGACTACTTCCCAAAATTGAGCAAACTGTGGTGTTGCAGCTGAAAGCAGAAGATTATAAGTTGAAAGTTCAAAGACTATACATGGTCAACAAAGTGCTTTCCATGAAAAAAATTGAACATATCAAGAATTTTGATATTAAATGATATCATGCGATTGCAAAATAATGGAAGTATACTGACCTGTATTATCAACTGATAATATTTCAACCGGAAAGGTACTGATTGTAGAACTGGGCATCTGAAACAGCTGAAGATAAGCTAATAGGTTGTTGAAAGTAAATGACAGGAGGAGACAAAGAGCAAGGAAAATATAAGAATCATCAAAATATACTTTTATAACAACTTATATCTTAACAGAAAAAGAGTGTGCAAGACGGAGGAAACTGATCTATTGCTTGCATTCCATGTTCTCTCATAGCTTTGCTCTTTCATTTCCTCAATATCTCTCTTTCGTATAAGCTCATGGAGAGCAAATCTGAGAAATAAAAGAGGAAATCTATACAAGGTAACAACTTGTACTTTTCATTTTCGTATTTAAACAAACTTTTCTTAAAGAAAATGAACTGAAGAGTGAAAGGGCAGGGAAGGGCAGATCTGATTGGACACAAGAAGAAACACAACTTGAAGCTCAATGTAAACGAGCGAAAGCCCACGTAAATATCATTAGGTCATTACACTTCATAGTGTGTGTGTGTGTGGAAGGAAAAACAATTTTTTTTCAAAAAAAAAGAGCCTCAGGTCACATTTGTTGTTCCATAAAAGGAGAGTAGTGTGTTCCAGTAGTTGAATACGTGTCTTCAACTATGAACCAGATGCTTAATTCCCTTTACGAGAGTATAACTCTGTACGTAGAGAGTAATAGAGAAGAAAAGTAATTGAGAGATAATATGATAAGATGAGAAAGAGAGAATACGAAAGTGTATGTTAAGAGAGAGAGAGGAAGGGAGTGATAGAATGAAAAAAACACACAACCGCTCTGATGACCTGAAGCAAATGAAAATGATGTGAAAATGACAATAAGACACACAGCTTGTAAAAATTTCTAAAAATATGCAGAGGTCAATTAAAGAAATAAAAATGATTATCAAATTGACATGACAATCTTTTAAAACCTTATTGTGCGCTTCTGACTTTCTGATGCAAAAGCATCTTATTTGATAGTCAAAACACACGACAAACTAAAAACAGATTGTGTGTACGAGTGTGGTAGTGGTAGGGGGGGGGGGAGTAAGGGCGAAGAGAATTCTGTAGTGCGACGACAGTTTTGTTTGAAACAAATGAATAGTGTCATTAATGAGAGAATTTCCGATCTGAATCAAGACGTCGTCATCATCATCAGCTCATTTGTTATTTTGGAATTGAAACATAAAATTTTATGATGAAATAGGGTGAGAAACAACCCAAGTTGTCAATGTAAATCATCTGCTTAACAAGACAAGACGATGAGAGAAAGGGAATTAGACAGAAAATAAGAGAGAGAGAGGGACAGATAGAGAGAGAGAGATGGAACTCAGATGTCTCTCAAGTGCATATGGCTATGACTACTTTCACCTTACGCACAAATGAAGTTTCAAATCTTAAAGCATTAAAAATTAATACTATAACAATCAGCTTTATCATCAAACGAACGTGAAACTTTAAAAATTTCAAAAAAGCCATAAGACCAAGTAGTAAAACACCCCCTTTCTGATTTTCTGTTCAACACTCCATCTCCTACACTCTCTCATCCATATACTCTGCACCTTCATGAATAGCTTCTATTTATTGTTCCTTGTTCAGAAAAAATGCTTTGCGTAGCTGATTAGAGAAGAGCTACCATAATGTGAATACGAAGAACGGTTATGTTATATGACCTCAGGCGATGTGCAGAGCTTTCGTTCTTTGAAGGCTGATGATCATTGATGCGTTTCAAATTGCTTCATATGCTAATGAGACAGTTTGATAAAGGTAAGAAGAGACAGAGAGAACGTTCATTTCTACCATATAAGGAAAGATAATATTATGGCGAAAATGATTATAATGATTGGGCAATCCAATTGAAATGAATAGAAAGGATGACAATGAATGAAAAAGTAATTTTATGATTTTCAATCTTTGAATACGTTATGGAAGAGACGGTGAATGAAAATGTTTTTTTTTCTCTTCATCTTCATTCACCCATAATCAATTAGCGATTTATCAGATAAAGTTTGAAAAAGCAAATAATTTCTTTGAAAAAATGACAAAAGATAAAGATATATGGTTGCTGATGCCATGTATGGCCTATCAGACATCATGAATACACTGCAAGTTCAATGAGTTTTATAAAAAAGATTTATGATTTTTATTTCGAAACTTTTAAAAAGAAATCTGAGCCTTTGTCTCTCTAAATCATTCTATCTCTCTTTGTCGTAAGCTTGAACTCTCTTCTTCTCTACCCTTACCCTCTCTCCCTGACTGACATCATTCTTTCCCTCTCACCATCTACATATCTCTACAACAGCTTACTATCTTACTAGTTTGATCTGTACGGACGTCTCGTGTAATTCTCTTTCAACACATAAACGTTCATTTCCACTCTTTTATACCTCAAATGTGGTGATCGTTCTTTATGGGATTAATTTCTCATTTTCTCTTTTAACAACTCCTTTAACTCTTGTTTTATGAACTTCTCTTTCCTTTTCATAAGCTGTTATTCGCTCTCCTCTCTCAACAACACATTTCATTCTTCCTGATCTTTCAATAACTTCTCTCTTCCTTCTCTCTCTATATATGCAGATTTGTCGCATCTCTCTCACTCTCAATCCCTCTTTCTCTCTCTATCTATCTATATGGCCATGCTACATCAAGTTGAGAGAGAACGAAAAGAAGGAGCAAAAATCTGAGCAAACTCAGTCAATTCTTATGCCTCGGAGATACGGAAAGAACTTTTATAGAAGATTATAAACAAAGATAGATAAAAGAAAAGAAAGAAAAAATACAAAATAATGGAGAGAATGATAGGTCGAGTGAGGTTTGAACGGCACTTGGACTGAAAAAGCTTCAAAAAACTTCGCCAAAAAGATAAGAAGAAGCAAGTCCAAGATTGGACTATGTTTCAGATGGTAACAAAAAGAGGAGAGGGAAAGAGGTAGAGAGATAGAAGAGATATTGGAGCAAGAAGCAAAATTAAATGAGAAAAATTGCCATCTCTCCTTAAATACGTTTCGGAGAGAGAGTACAACGATAGGAGGGTAGGCAAGATATGTTTTTATGAGGGCTTTTCAATAAATGATGCAAACTGTATGATCCCACTCAATAAGATATTTTACGACAAGCATATTAAACAAAATTTCAAAGAAATTAATTATTTTGATAAGATTTTAGATCGTTTTTCATCATTCCTATGATATAGTTCTGAGCAACCGTCAAAAATTCCATAGGTTTTCCTTAAGCAAATGCCTCTGGCCACCCGTTTGATGCCCTCAGGCGTTCTTCGTCCTCCACGACTTTTTGTGGTTGTCTTTATCTTTAATGTTTCTTCTACCCTCTAACTATTACTCTTTCTCTCTATGTCTCACTCTCTCTCTATCATTTGCTCTCGTCTCTTCCTCCCACTCATCATAGAGGTTGGCACACACGGAAAAAAAAAAGTTTTTTTTTTGTGTCTTCTTCTACTGCTGTTCTCTCTTCTTCTCTCCTTTTTTTTTATATTTCATGTGAACAGAAAAGAAAAGGGAGGAGAGTAAAGAAAACAAACAAATATTTTGTTTTTTCAATAATGAAAGCATTTGGGATGGATAATGACAACATTTCCCTTTTTTTTCCTTCTCCTCTCAAACTTTATGATGACTTTTGAACTTTTGAATAAAGAGACAATTTGACTGTCTAGCTCTCTCTTTTTGATTTTTCTCTTTCTGTTAAAACAATAAAGAGAGAGAGATGAAGAGATGTTAGAGAAAGAGAGAGAAAATGGGAACAAGTAAATAAAAAGAAATTCTTATTTAGAATTTCTACAATTATGTCAATTATAGAAATATTTTATTTTCATTAATAAAGAGTAGTTGAGAGCAAAGTTTCATGCATGTGCATGTGCATGTGCATACGTGCCTGTGTGTGCATGTGTTATATGAAGAGCAGAAGTGTTATTATGATGTTCACTGATAAAGGATTGGTTCTAGACAATTGCAAGAATAAAGGGTACACCCTATACTGATTAACATTATGGAAAATCTCTGGTTAAGCCGATTGACAGAAGAGAAGTGTATGAGAGAGTAACAGAGAGATAGTCACTGGAAGATGAGCTGAAATGAAGAGACAATTGAAAAATAAAAAAAAAGGTCTTTGATAAGGAAGCGAGCAAAGAAAGAAGTTGTTGTTGTGATGATGAGCTTATATGGAAATTTTCGTTTGGCGACAATCTGTCTGTTTCAAAGACATTCCTTCACCATGAAAGATAAGAATGAATGGGAAGGAAAAAAAATTGTGAAAAAGAAGGGAGATAGAGAGAGAGGAAACTCAACACAGCATACATGCATATACACAGTCGTCAAGTTGATGGCAGAAGCAAAATTGAAGATAACAAGGTACAAAAGGTCGTATAGAAACATGAAAATACTCTCATAAATCGTATCTCCCACGCAAATGGAAAGCTCACACGAAATTTCCAAACAAAAATTATAAATTCGGTAAATTAAAATTCATTAAATGCCATAATAGGAATGAACAGGTTCTTACTGTTTGACTACATGGTTAAGATTGGAACAAATTAACATGAAAAGATAATATGAATGTGAGAGAGCGCAGAGATAACAAAAGAAATACTTGAAAGGTCAATTTATATCATATAAAACTACATATTTAACTATTTTTTCTGAATTATTTTGTTTAAAATTCAAAAATATTTTAACAATCGTCACGTTTAAAGATAACACACACACACACACATATATAGACCATATATGGTCGTACATACACATACAGTCAGTCAGAAGATCAATCGGCTTGAAGAAAATGAAATGTGCATGAGAGAGAGGACGTCTGAACTCTCACAGTTTTTAGGTCAAAAACTAGTAAAGGTTTTCCATTCTTAAGTCATTTCAATGTACATTGGACAAGACAGATGAAGATTTCATTCCATCTGCTGACAATATGCTACTGATGATGATATTGCTTGAAGACCATACGTAACATCAATAATTATAGAATATTCTTAAAATGGAAAAATGATAGCCCTTGCCCATCCTCTATGACTCTTTTACTGTCTTCATCTTTTCCCATTTCTTGGAAAAGAGTAACAGATAGAGAAGAGAATATGAGAGAGAGAGAGAGAATGATTCTTGAAACACATAAGCATCTGACGACATGTTAGAGATGATGAGCACGAGAATCAAAAGGCAGATGTCTTCTGTCATGTTTCGCTCTCCTTACTGTCGTCCTTATAGAGAAAGGAAAAAACCCGTTTAGTCGTTTAGTTGATGCATTTTAACAGTATTGAAGGACGGTCTCTCTCTCTCTCTCTCTCTCTCTCTGTCTCATACACTTTTAAAAAATAATTTGTAAAATCTCCAATATGCCAGATGTCTTCATTAGTTATTGACACAGAAAATCATTTTTTTCTTCTTCATTCTTCTTCTACCCGCGGAAGCTTCAAATGCCTGCCTATCGGTTTGACATCTCCAATTATTCATTTCTCGTTACAACAAAAAAAGTTTTCTCTACCAAATATGTCATTTTAAAAAATGGAAGAAAAACTTGCGTGGGCTTCAATGAGGATAGCGTCATGGACCTCAGGATTTGAGCGAAACTTCCAGTTGTTCAAATATGGTTTGAAATGAGAAAACATTGAAAGATTTATATAAAAAGGGCAAAAATTAATAAATGAGCATCAAACTAAACATGCGCATCGCATCACTAGTCGGCATTTGCTTCCTGGTTACCTGTTGGTCAGTTTTCATTTGATTTACTCATAACCTTAACTATCCAAAAGTATAATCGAAACACTATTCTCTCAAATAATCATATGTTTGTACTTTCACGTATAACTTTACGTGAAAATTCACGTGAGAACTTACGTGACTACAGCTAACAATTGAATATTTCATTTTCACAGATGATAGATGAGTGATCGGTTGTAGTCCAAAACGAATTTTTTATTTTAAAAATTTGCATTTGCGAAACGAAAATTGATTTGATTACATTTCAGTTATGGCAGTACAACGGAATTGGAAGCTAAAGTCGTTGATGCGATTGATAAAGCTGTCGCTATAGTTTATCAAAGAAATAATGAAGTAGTTGGAATGAAAGGTATTCACTAATCTCTTTCATAAATGAAAAAAAGGAGCAAAAATGAATGTCTTGAATAACACATACTCATTGAAGGTGAGCAAGAAACTCAAAAAGCCAACATGAACTCACAATTGGAACAGATGCGAGGAGATTTGTTTGCAGAAATAACAAGAGTAAGAAAGTTTTAAATGAAAGAAATGATCTTCTCATTGCATTCTCTTCAACCCATACATGGATTGAAGAGAAGCAATGAGAATCATGACTAAGTAAATATCTTTTTATAGATTTTAATTGAAGAAAATGGTGAAGAGATATTGTCAGAATTAGAAGAAGTTGATATTAATACACTATTAGTATCAAGAAATACAAGATCAAAGCGTTATGCTAATGAGCCAGCACGCTCTACAACATCATGTACTCCAGATGATAGTAACTGTCGTGCAAAGATTCAGTAAGCAATTATAGAAATATTTCTCTCTCTCTGTATTATAAAAACATCTGTTGACAATGAAAAAAAAAGAAGGAAAAGAACAAAAAAAAAGTTTTTAAAATAATATTCAAATGATATTCAATATGAACCTCATGACACAAAATAACAGAAAATGAATTGATATGTAGTGATGGAGGTGACTGCTTAACCTGTTTAGAACAATCAAATGCTCCTATTAGCATATATAGATATTTATAATAAATAAAAAAAAGAATATTACAATATAATAGATAGAATATACATACATGTAGATACATATATATCTTTTAGTGATCAGTATCGTACTGTAACAGGCATATGCAATAATAAACAAAATCGCCTACGAGGTACATCTGTATCACCTGTACGACGACTTTTACGCAGAAATTCATATTCTGATGGTAATTTTTGGATTTTATTTATGATTTTTTGTTAATACAATGAACTTGTATTACATTATTTCTTATTCTTTATTATAGGTGTTGGAGCTTTACGTACGAAAGCCCGATCCGGTGCACTTCTGCCATCAACTCGACATGTATCCAATGTGTTGCACGATGAGGTTTGTTGCGTTTTGAATACATTGATCATTCAATTTCTATTTTAGGGTACTGAAAACAATTACGATTTGAAGACTAATCATCTCCATATGCAGTTCGGACAATTCATTGCTCATGACATTATATTTATGCCATCATCAACTGGTATGTCTTTCTCATATATCTCATCTCACTCTCTATCTCTTTGCTCTTCATGATATTCATGTTTCATCTTCATTTCAGCTCCTTCCGGAGATACATTGGATTGTAAACTTTGTAATTCAAGCAGAACAACACCTAACTGTGCTCCTATCCCTGTGCCATTTGATGATGCATATTTCCCTAAAAATAGGTACAACTTGTTACACTACAACTATAATCATATACAATATCAGTTGTATTCGCTTAACACGAGCATTGAATGGTCAAAAAGGTCTCGGAGCTCGAGTTCAACTTAATCAAAACACCCACCTTCTTGATTTATCAGCTGTCTATGGATCAGAGGTTTTCATTCTCAATACATACGGAGACATCAACTTATGAACTTCTAGGAATGCGAAGCTGCATCTCTCAGAACATTCACAAAAGGTGAACTGAAGGATTACAAGTACTCTGACTACACTCTTCCTCCTCAAAGCCCAAATGTAACATTTACTTAATTGAAAATCTGACAATAATGTTATTTCATAGGATACTAACTGTCAATCCAAGAACCCTAACTATTGCTTCCTTGCCGGAGATTTCAGAAACTCTCTCCACCCCGGCTTGATCCCTCTTCATACTGTTTATATCAAAGAACACAATCGCATCGCCAGAGAACTTGCCAAACGTCAAACGAGATGGAGCGATGAAACCCTCTTCCAGGTAAAATGACGCTCACCCACAAACTATCCTTATTTGCACGTTTTGCAGGAAACCCGCCGTATCGTCATTGCTCAATATCAACATCATGTTTACAGTTTTTATCTTCCAAAATTGTTAGGACGTAACACTATGGATAGATTCGATTTGACTCCAAAGACAAGAGGCGAAACAGGTTCTTTTTTATATTTAAAAAAATATATTATTTTGATTTTCAAAGACTATGATGATAAGCTCAACCCCTCTGTAACGGCTGAATTTGCTGGAGCCGCTTTCCGCTTCGGACACTCTCAAGCCAGAAAAGATCTTGTCAGGTAAAATTCCCTCAATATATCCAGTTTGTACTCTCTCATTTACAGAAAATCAAACACGAACACCACACTTGGTAAAATTGGTGACTTAGGAGAAAATTTCTTTTATTCGGACGTTTTGTATGAGAAGAACGTTGGTGGAACAGAATCTTTATTGGAAGGTTATCATTGTGGTGTTACTGTTCTCAATCGTTTTTCTCTGCAGGAATGATCCGATGCCCTGCTATGCGATTGGATTCTAAATTCTCTTTCCCAATGAGAAATCAACTGTTCGAAACTCGCGGAAAGAAAGCTTCCGGAGTTGATTTGGTGGCTGTTAACTTAATGAGAGGACGCGATCTCGGCCTATTACCTTATAATGATTACAGGTATAACCTTATCATTGAACAGAAAGATAATGAGAGCTGTTAAGAGAAGTTACGGGAAGAAGAAGAGCTAACAAGTGGGATGACTTGAAAGCTGACATGAGCGCAAGCAATATTCAAGCCTTGAAAACAGTATATGAACAAGTTGATGATATTGATCTCTATGCTGCCATTGTTTCGGAAGGTCCATCATCTGGAGCTATGGTACGTCATAAATTGCAGTTTTCAACCTTCTCAATCATTGCTTCAGATTGGAGAAACTGGTCAACACATCATCGCAGAAACTTTCTCAGCTTTGAAGTTCGGTGATCGGTTCTACTATGAGCATGAGGATAATCTTGATTCAAGTACATTATCTTTCTCTCTCCCTGTACTAGTTAACACTATTTAAGGACAACTTCAAGCCATCCGAGCTACCAGTTTGAACAAAGTACTTTGCGAAAACTCACCAAACATGGAAAAAGTTCTCAGAAATATCTTTGATTTGTGAGTTTTCAGACGTAAAAAGTAATCTGATGTTTCTATTTCAGAGACTCTGACGAAGTTCGTTGCGATTCCTTGAAGAATGTCGATCTTGAACCTTTCTTATAAGCTATTCATAATAATGACTTAATAATAAAAAATAATAATGGATTATCCTTGTTTTTCTCTGACAACTCAAACTTGGTTGATGATTGATGACGAAGCTGATAGTATACATGCATGCAACATAAACAATGAACCTGAAAGTTCTTCAGAACTTTCAAAATAGAAGTCAAAGTATCAGCGATATTCGGAAGGAATCATCATCACGCTCACATCGCTCGTACGTGGAAAACTGGTTTCAGCCTTCATGATCAGATAACCTTTCGTTATACGGTCATTTGCATAACTGATAAGTTCAAATGCAACTTTTTTCTTTTGCACAGCTTTCCCGAGCCTAGTTGAACTGCGGAGGATTACATTTCTGAATTGATGTTATTCAAAATCCCAAAAACCAAACAGAAACTGTATTAGATTTATTTGTCAATATATAATATATTCCCGTGTATTCCATAGAGTACAACTATCAAAGGAGCTTAAAACTCTATTTCTCTGTTATCGAATGATTGATTGATGTTGCTGAAACGGGACATGTAAGCATGAAGATTGGAATAGAACTGACCGGAACTTCTTTCTTAGCTCATGTGCTATATGTTGCGAGAGAGGCTTATCTAATGTATTGAACTCAATCTCATCATCTATCATGGCCAGTCCATTTAGAGATGAACTAGAAATTATAGAAGAAGCATTTGATACAGGAGAATGAATAGAAGAAGCTGAAATCGGAAGGTTTACACTATGAAGTTCATAACAGCTTACTCAAAGTCTGTGGCTTATGATACAAGCTTGTCGCATGTGCGGGGGGAGGAGGCGGAACTGCATCTGAAATAATCGAAAAAGTTATATTCGGAACATTCAAAGATGAACGTTACATGTAGCTTCTCTAGTAGTCGATGACCATCTCGGAATTGGCTGAGGTAACTGGATTCTCTCCTTTCGATCATTCTGAATATAAGAAAAATGTTTTAAGCGAATGAAATGAATATGCAAATCACCATTTGTATAGTCCGCTGAAGATCTTTAATCGAAATGGATGGAGGATCAGGAAGGCTGTCCAAGACTGATGGAGTCAAGTATATTCTGTAACAAATACAACAAAATGTCACAAATATGAAAGTGTTTAAGAACTCTGTGGAATTTGTTTGGCATCGTTCCAGTTCGTTGATATCCAAATGATCATTCTCATAATTATTCTTATAATTCTCATCACTGAATATTATAATTCAAGAAATAAACAACATAACTAGATGAACTAACTGAAAATCTGATTTAGCCAGATTGGCTTTTATGGAAGCGACCGATTCATTTGTGATGATGGGTGGAGATGAGAAATGATCAAACGGCTGAACAATTGAAATCTTACATTTAACATAAACAACATGTGATTCTTACATGAATTATTTGAATTTTTTTAGATCTTTTCTCACTTCTGTACATATGTTTAAGCATCTGTAAAGAAAAAAAATTGGAATAGAATGAAGCTTTTCGATGACAAAGCAGATTGACAGTGACGAGCTTAATCGATTTGACCATATTGAATGAGGATGGAAGGGAGGGGGGAGAGAGGAGGGACCTCTTGTGTTGTAATTAGGGTTGTATTGAATGGAAAGATGAGCATGACAGAAAGAAAGAGATTTAGAAGGATAGAGGAAGAGAGTGAACATGAAAAGAACACCTGTTGTTCGATACATTGTATATCGGCTTAGAGTGCATTCAGATGACATTTGAATATAAAAAAGGGAAAAAGAGGAAGATAAGGAAAACATACGTGAATAGTCTGAATCAGATGAGTCTTTGGAAACATTCGATATGCCACAAATATGAAGAATGTCGTCAAAACGATCAAAAAGATGAATATCATAATGAGGCTGATGCGATAGACAGTGAAATCACATTGGCTCAATTCTGTAATTCAGATATAGAAGATGGATGAACAGATGTAAACATATGAAAATTACCATGATGCTTTGTTATGAAGACTGTTTGTGATAAGATTTGTTGATTAGCAAAGCCAAATGATTGTCGTTCATGAGGACATGTCTGTAAGCATGTATTAATATCCCTTAGATTATATGCTAATTCTTCTTTTTCTTCTTCTTTTTTCCTCTTTTTTTCTTTTCGTAAAGCTTTGACTTTCAACGTGTTTGTGGCATTTGTGTGAGAAAGAAAGAATGGAATTACGTCAAGACTATCCCCTATCTTTAGCCGGATGATAGAAGTGAATCTTCTGAACGTTGAAGAAGAGACATCATGACGATTCGTCTGCAGCTCATCTACCCCTCACCCTTCTTCTGACACTCATCGCCATCACCTTAAAGCCTTTTTAACTATGAAATTTGATATAGAAGTGAGTCCATCGAAATCTAAGTCGAATCCATTAGGGCATTAGCAAGAAATTACCATTCATATGATGAACAACGAAGGAATAGAGAAATAGAAATGTAAAAAAGGAATAGAGAGAAAGATAAAATATGAGAGAAAGAGAAGAGGAAGGAAGATGAATAGTTGGGGGTGGTGGCAGTACTTTCTCATACAGTTAATGGGTTGGGTGAGAGCTTTGGAGGTAAGATGATGATGACGACAACAATCGTTTAACAGGAAAGTCAAGAAAAAAAAAACAAAAAGCAAAAAAAAGAAATCTTTTTTTAGGCGTAGTATATGATGATGCTTCAGTGCGTGTGAAAATTTCAAAATTGATATCCAAACTGTTATCTCAATTTCCTTAACTTGAAACATCCATTTGTTCATGCAAATAGAGAGGTTGAAAGGATGAGAAAGTGAGAGAGAGAATGTTGAAGAGAGAAAAGGAGATGCACATGAACAACTATTCTATTCGTAATCTTTGTTGTTTAGAACATTCAAATGAGCTTCGATTGTAGTAGGAATAGGGATAGTGAAGTGGTTACAAAGGTGAATATCGTTTTCTAATTATATGCACATAGTAATGCCAAACAAGTGGAAGTTTCGTAGAAAAATAATTATTTTTTCTCTTTAAAATAATAACAAAAACATTCCTTCATTAAGCAACCGGCTCGTCCAAAATGTAAAATAAAATGAATGCGTTTTACGTGAAAGCATCCACGTGAATGTGATTAACGTGGAAAGCGGCCGTGTAAGTTACGTTTCCATTGGATATGCTAATGAGATGGAATGCTTTTACTATAGTCCGATAGTTATTCTCATGCGTTTTCTATTTCTTATTTACTTCCTTCAATGCTCGAAAGAGTATGAGATGAACATAGAAAAGGAGAGAGAGAAAGAGAGAGAGAGTTGAAGGAGAAAAAATGGTTTTGGTATAAGATATTTGCGTGGTCATTAGAAGATTTGCGACATCCTCCCTCAAATGGATGTGTAAGCAACGCAATGAGGGTGCCAAATTCATGACGTCATTACCGTCCCATCTTACATTACAATTGACCGAATCTAAAAATTCATTCTCTGCTAAACTTATCTCATTTTCAATGCTTTACCATTGAGCTTTGAGCAAAAACATGCCAACTCCGCCCCATTTTTGCTGTCCTCAGCTCCGCCTACTTCGGTTAGCTTATATGCCTTTTAAGGAGCAAGAAATCTTCACATTTGATCTTCTAATATCTGTATAAGCAGATTTCAGAAACAAAACAAGAAAAGGAAGAAATGTTATCAACAGTTCTGTTTTATTCCAATGCTTACATCTTATTCCACTTCTCGCTCATACTTGCTTCATCTCTGCCTTGATCTAATTCAACTAAATGCTGCCAGAGAATGTCACAAATGCTAATGTTGAATCCAAAAAAGGAGAAACGACTGTTTTCATCTTCATTATTCTTCTCATTCTTTCATATATTTCTTTTTCTTCCATTTTTCACACAAAATTTCTTTTTATCATCAGCTCTGCTATTTTCAGAAATGAACCAAATAACATGGATAATGCTATCTCTTTCAATCTTTTATTGCACTTTCGCTGCTCCAGCCTCGTCGGAATATTCTGAAGGCCGTTTAACACTGAAAAGAGGCGCTCGAGTTCGTGAGCTCTTAGGAAAGCGAGGTACTTTCACCTTTCCCTCTCTATTTGTTTCTCCATAAGTGCAATATGGATGAAGTCGATGGAATACTATTCTTTAATTAATTTTTTGCCATTTAAGGAGCTGGTTGGGAATTTTTAATTCCGACAAAGAGAGGCGAATTACTTGGCAAACGTAGTTACTTGTGGTCAACTCGGAGTGCCGAAAAGCGTCGTGGACGAGAGTTATTCGGTCAGTAATTTACCGTAATGCCATCATCGTTTCATCTCATTTTCTGTCTTTTTGACGTTCCTTCTCATCTTTCCTTTCCATTGCAACAGAAAAAAAAGAATGAGAGAGGATAGAAAGAAGGAATTGCTTGAGAATCGTCGGAAATATAAGATGAAAAACAGATTGAGATTTATGCCGTTAAAATGCTTTTAAAATGTAATTCAAAGATTCCATTTAAGGCAAACGTTCTGATCCAGAAATGTCTGGAGCTGAAGTGGATGATGACTACTCCTCAGAATCGGATTATTCCGGACAGGTATAGTTGAATAAATATTATTATATCTAACGCATATGGTTATAGATTGAACCAGAGCTCATGGCCTTAATAAATAGACGAGAACGACGTGGGCGAGTACGTGAATTGCTTGGGTGAAGCTAAGAAAATTGACGTCAGAAGCTCAATTGTCAACATTCTGATGTCAAGTACAGGGCAGGAGGAGGGTCTCATTAATAAGGAATAAAAAAAGAAATTATAATAATAAATATTCACTTAACTATACATATAAATATAGTTTATCTACCTTTTTCCTATATTTTTTTAGATTTAAAAATAAAGAAGAAAAAAAATTTTTTTTTTGTTTTTTGTTTTAATGGGGAAAGTACCTTCAAGCATTCCATTCCGCATGGAACTAATGAGCATTGAATACGTATTGATCCATGATTTGCATAATTTAATTGTAATTTTGAACTAAATAAACGATGATTGCCAATCCTGCTTACGTTGAAAGCTTTGAAGTTATCGTTCACGGGACATCCGCTCTGCAAAAGGTATTGTGAAGGCATGAATGTATGCATGAGTGTGTTGTTCTATGAAAATAAATCATTTCACTTCCTCACTTCATCAGATATGAGAACTGCTTCTTCATTAGCATCTATCAGCTGGCATACTGTAGGATATAGAGATCGGTTATCGATTATGGTTTGATTGAAAATGAGAATATCGACTGATAGAGCTTCATCCTTCATTTCCTTTATTATCATTTTAACAGGTTTTTGTTGAAAACTAAATATATATTTATCCTTTTAACGGGTAAACATATTAGGCAACTGACGTCGAATAATCGTTGATGACGTCTGCACAGGTGATTCGAAATATTTGTGGATTTTCAGTTTCTACATACTTTGGAGCTGACTGAATTAGAAGCGATGAATTGTCCTTCTAAAAGTTGCATATCATATCTCACATTTAAAAGCTCAGCTTACAAGGCATGATGTATCGAAAATCAGCTGATCCTTTCTTCTCAATGAGCAATGAGAGGTTGATGTTGATAGATTTATAGAAGTAGATGGAGGCTTTATCAACAGATATGATGGTTGACATGACAGGATAACTGAAATATAAAATCTTTTTAATTTTAATTATCCAACAACTGGATTGTTAATTAGGAAGAAATCATTGTTCTTCTATCCTTTTCCGACAACTGGTAGTCGATATAACTTGACGATATGTTAATTCGAACACAAAAATTGAAGATCGCTATCTGATCGATCGACATCTTTTATTTTTCCATTTTTTTCTTTTATTCTTTCTTTTTTTCGCTTTCTCTCTCAGTTTCTTCCCGTTCTTCTCTGCCTTCTCCTATAATATGCTAATTTGACGTTAATGACGTGACGTGAAAAAATTGGAAAAGCCCCGATTACTACGTGACACGTTCATTTGATTAGACGAGGACGTGGCGCGAACGGTTGTTTCACACCTTTCACTTCTTCATCCCCCTCCGCTCTTCTCCTGTCCATTCTCCACCCATTTTGGGAGAGGCTTCACCTACATTAGACAGCTTCTGTTCTTCTCTTCTAGTTTTCGTATTGTTTTAACTTGAAGAGAAACAAAGCAAGAACATAAAACATCATGCTGACCACCATATCATTAATTATATTATTTATAATAAAGTAAGTTTACTTTCTTATATTACTTTGAGTAACTGTCCATATTTGAAGATCAGTTGTTTGTAATTCTAATTATGATTCATGCTTTACTAAACATCCGAATCTCTATTTGGAACAGAGCGGGAGACTTCAATTACCTAAGATGGAGAACAAATCAAGTTGTTTAACAGCTTGTTTGATGGTAACTCACAACCTCTTGAGTAATGAGTCAGCATTCAAATGATCTATTTCAAGGCAGAGAGTCTCTATGGATTTCACTGTAAAACAGTCATGTGGCAAAATCATCTATCCAATTGTGTTCTATCACGTTGGAGTATCGCTCAAAAAGTATTATTCGGCGACTTCTTGCTAGCTCATCCTATGCTCTATACAATTCACCTTATTATAATCATTTTTAGAGATCTCGTCTACGAAAATCAATTGCTGGGGACATAGATTTATATTCAAATCATTGTTATATCAAAGTTTTTCACAAGATTCACATATAAACCTTCTGATGATGCTTTAGACGGGGCTGATGAGGAACGTTCGCTATCTGCCTTCGCCAACACGCGATATCCGTCATATATGGGATTATCAGTCAAAGGTTTTACAAAAGTTTACCATTTACAAAAGTAGTAGAAATAAAAGATCAAATTGTTATAGATATGAGCCTTCGAGGGTTTCGAACACGGAAGTGCAAGCTGGCATATCGCATGCGGAAGCTTTGCATGAAGTTTCAGGTTCACTCTGATTGTATACTGTCATTACACTGGGTGTTTCAGAAATAGTGTCAGCTTCACTGGACAGTTCGCCACAAAAGGAATTGTTAGATGATTCAATTAATTTGCCAGTAAATCGCCAAAGGGCATTTCTTTGAATAAGATGGTTACAAAACATTATTCTAGACAACAACAACAACAACAACAACAACACCAGCAAATTTGCAGCCGTGGCAAATGGCGGCGATGAGAAAATTTCCAGTTAGGAAGCATCATCATCCTCTCCTATCAGGTACGGTTTTCTTTTGTTTCAAAATGGACGACATCTTTTTCTCTTTTTTTGTTTTAAGTTTTCACCACAACATTTGCACCACCAAAAACAACACAAACATCATCAATGAGTCCACAACGCACAACGGTTTCTATCAAATCCAGACAATCCAGAAACTTGGTTTTTTCATTTTTTTTTGCACACAGTTCTGAATGCTTATCCTCTCATAGATTGATCGCGATAGCACTGCTTCTCTTGTTTCGTCAGCAAGTGATTTTCATTTTGATTTCCTTATTTAATTTCGTTTTTATATATAGAAAATGATTTGAGTACCGACAATCTCAAACTGTTCTCTCCCTGTTTTCGACGAAATCGAGGATATGCCCTGAGGGGTTTCGCAGAAAAACTGTTACAGTAGGAAAAATAGAAAAAGGAAATAGATTGAAATATAAAATAAAAATATTTCAAGAGAAATCGGATTGGAAGAATGTCTGATGAGCTGTCTCAAGAATACACAATTCTATTGTGCCAGCATAAATTATAATGAAAAGAATATGGTTGAACAGTGATTTTTGGATATTATCAGCATAGAAGATAATTTAAGATTTGTATTTTGAATGGAGGAAACAGTCGGTTAAATCATGCTTCAATCGAGACTAACAACAACATGGACTATTATGAGAATCTGTGTAGTCCATTGAGTACTGTATCTCATCCAGTTTCAAGTAGCTTTTTCATTTATGTATCTTTAATGAGAATGTTCACTCATAGATTCACAAATCATCATCAGCGAAGAAGTTCTTAAACGATGTGTTCTTGGAACTAAAGAATCAACTCTTCTTAGTTTAACTGGAGATATTCAACCAGAAACTCCAACTCTAGGTGAGGCTTAAGATCTCTTCATCTCTCTCACGTTGATTACTCAATCACTTGTTCTAGCTCATTGCATATCCTTGTGTCTATTGGCGAAAACACACAAAAACCGTGAATGTACTGCTATTAATTGGATAGGAAACATGAAATCATGTACCCTCTTCTATGAAGCTATTGATAGGTAAATTTCAATAGTGAGAGAGAGAGATAGAGACTACAATCTCAAACAGATAACATGAGGGTGAAGAGGTACAAGACAGTACATCATCTTGGAGATGAGCAATGAGCGTATCTTGCAAATGAAAGTCAAAAACCTTCATAAATAGAGAGAAAATGAGAAATTCAAACAAAGATCTTCCAAGAGGTTCTATGTGAGAAAAATCTGTTTTTTTCCAGCAAACTAATCTCTCCCTCTCCTCAGTCATTCTTCTATGAAAACCAATGTTCAGGTAAGAGAACTTCCAAAAATAAGAATGATGAAAGAAGGAATCGAACAAAAAAAATGTTTTTCAGCAGAAATTTTTGGTGAAAAAACAAAAAATGAAATGAGAAAAGAGGATTTTGATTATTCTTAAAGTGGAAGAAGAAGCTGGAGAAGACGAAGAAGATGAAAATGAAAACAAAAACTTACTTGAGGATGTTGATTGGATTTTTGTAATATTTAAATGAAAAACAATCAAGAAGATGATGAAGCAAATCCTTGCTGCCATTTCATTGAGTATCGACGTGAGAATTCAGAATCGTTGCCTCTTCAGTAATTACCATGACCTCATATTCCTTACAATTATAATTCAATAATCTCAAGGTAATATCAATTTTCTTTTTATTATTATTTTCTTTGCGTACCATCAGACCGTCTGGTCCATTCCCCCCCCCTCCAGCTTTGCTACTTTCATTTCCTCATTCACTTCATATATCATTAAGCATACCTACTCCCCCTCATCCCATTCTGCTTCCTTCTCAGGCATTTATGATAGCATAGAAGATAAGTTATTTTTCCAAATAAAGAAAAAAGGAAATAAAGATCATTCTGTGAATCGTTTTCTAACTGTCTCTTATTCAAAACAACTTTATTACAAAGCGATAAGTTTATTTTTGAAATATGCAATAAGACAAAACACAGGAAAAAGAAAATATAATTTTACCCATTTATGTACAACAAACTGCGTTCAAACGAAAATTCCTGTCAGGGCAAGTGAGAGAAAATAGACGAAGGAAGATTATATATAGTTATATGTGTATAGTTAAGAATGAGGAAAAGTGAGAAATACCCATAAATGAAGAGAAGATTTCAGTTTTTTGAATCGAAAATGAGATTTTAATCACCTCATTGTTCACTCAGACGTCGTAAATGACGAATGTAAAGGTACGACCGAATGTAACAAAAAACGAGAATTGCTTGGAAGATGGCCACAAATGCCAGAACTAAGCTGAAAATTATTTTTTATTTTATTGTTTGAAAGGGAGATTGTCATTGACTAACCGAAATAGTAGAATATCCGTAATGGCGGATGAATCTGAAGAAACTTTCTTGACCTCATCATCCCATTCATTGGCTGTAGTGACGATAGAGAAAATGCAAACACCTTCAATACGATGAGGTTATTATAGGGTATGTGTAAGGTATGAAGTTTACCTGCTAAGGCAAATAGGAAGAATGTTGAAATTGATGCGAAAGGAACAATCAGACGATGACGATGACCAAAAATTCCCCAAATGAAGAGAGCTGCGAAAAGTAGAATCAGCGTCTCAGCAATGGAAATGATGCCTGAAAAGGAAAAATAAACAACGAAAAAAAAAAGAAGACGAGAGAAAGATGAATAGCAGTATGGAAGAAGAGAAGACGAATGTAAAGCTGACCAATTTGGCGAGCACGAGAAGTTGGATCATCGGTTTTTGTAATTTGAATCATTGCATAGATGTAGACGGATAACGTTAGAATGCATGATGCTGTGACTCCGAATATAGAAGCTGAAATAAGAATAACGATTATCATAGAGCATACGATAAGATAGAGAGAAAGGGAGAGAGAGAGAGAGTGAGATTGAGAGTACTGTTTAAGCAAACAGAATTGTAAAGTTTGAAAAATAAAAAGAGAGAAAAGCAACCGCTCCTTTGCTCATAAAATTAGAAAATGATCTGTTTACACGTGGAATTATGAGATTTTCACGTGCAAAAAGAGAGAATTGAAAAAGGTTTTCATCTATTCCTTGATTCACTTATATAAGATATTGAGCAAATTTAACTTAAACTTTACCAGCATTGATAGGAATGAAACAACAGATTCTCGGAGAATCGGGAAGTTTTCGACGTATTAATGAAGAATCATCTGTAGACAAATTGGATGAAATGGCAGCTATAGATATCATAGACGGCATATCTGAAATGAATGCATATGAGGAGGAGCGCATAGGAAGAGGAGGAGATGAAGGATGCAACAAGATGGAACACAAGAGAACTGAGGATGTTTTTCAGTCTAAAAAGCTGAAATGTGTTGAGAAAAATTAAATATTATTTGCTCAGAAACAATTGAAAGTCAAAAATACAAAAGAAGTGAATTGAAATGAATGGAACGAGGAGCAAAAAGTTTATTAAAAGAACGAAATGACTAATGAAGGGAGGAGATTGATGATAGAGAGAAAGAAAGTTAGAGATAAATAGATGAAGAGAGAGAGACAGGGAGAAGGAAGGAGTAAATGAGGAATGAAGAAGAAAATGGGAGGGGAAGAGCAATTTTTCATAAAATAAACAAAAAAAGAAGAAGAAAGAAAAGAAAACATTTGTATTACTCATCTAACTATTTAATATAATTAAATGTTATTCATTAGACTCATCAATTGACTGTTTTCAATTTTAGAATGAATCGGCTGAGCTGCAGAAGTTTGAAGTGCGGAACAATCCAGCTTTTGATATCTTCAAATCTGATTTAAGAAGGGAGGCAAGAGATGATTATTGTGTGCGAATGATTGAGATGAAGCTGGTCAAAAGCTCGAAACTCGAGTGGCTTAAACTATGATAAATGACAATTATGGAATGTTTTACGAAATACTCGAAATGCACGAACGACAACAACAAAGTTCGACGTCGTTATCTTGCTTCTTTCAATTACAAAATGAATTTCTATCAGTGAGGTATGTGATTGAAGAATGATATACGGAGGTATGATGATCAGTAACGTGAAAGAGAATAAAGAAAGAGAGAGAGACAATAAAGAAAGGGAGAGACAATACATGTTAAAGGGCGAGACATTAATAGAAATTCCAAATGACAAGATGAGTTTCATGATTAGAAGCTGACAAAAACGAAGAAACGAACCTTTGCGATTATTTGAAGTTTGTTTGAAATGATCTCGAGGAATCTGAACGAAATTTCCATCACATGAAAGAAACTGTTCGGCCATTGTGATTTGAGCTGAAACACAAAAATTTATTTGATGAAGATTAAAAGGGGAAATAAATAAATGTGCGGAGGATTTAACAGTGCATAGACATAGAAGATAAAGGAATGCTTTCAATGATAAAATTAGCTGTTATTAAGCAAAAAGTGGAAATGACATAGAGAGAGAGAGAGAGGCGATTTTCGACCAAAGAGAAAGAGAGAGGGAGAGAAAGAGAGAGATAAGAAATAGAGAAAGAGGTTGGACAAATCGATCGCTTTCTGGATTGTAAGTGGTCATCAGGAGATTCACCTCATCCCCCTCCCCTAATACAATCCTCCACTAACATCTCTCTCTCTCTCTCTATAAATCTATCTCTCTCCCAATATCACTCTTCTTCTCTTAAGAAAATGTTAAAGAGAGAAAATAGCTTTTGATATGCGACAAACCCATGTAAATGCAAAAGACAAGTTTCAAATCATTCATATCACAGGAGATTCTAATGTATTCTTTGTCGTCTTCCCCCCCCCCCTTCCTCCCTCTATCTCTCCTTTGAGGTAAAAACGAAAAATGAAAATGGAAACAACTTGTCCAACTGTTTCTCCGAAAATTTCAAGTTCAACCTCAACAACACGTTACTTGATCAGTTTTGTTCTAAAAATTCAAATTTATGATAAAGAAATGAATTTATTTTTTATTCAAAAAGCAAGTTTCTCTTTTTCACTTTTTTTTGAACAACGACAAAAGCAATTGCATTTCAGTTTTTAGTCGTTTCAATCGCACCTTTAGAACTGTCTGGATAGTCTAAAGAAGCTTTTCCTCTTCTATCTCTCTCTCTCTTCCTCCTTCTCTCTCTCTCACTCTTAATCTCTTGCATTCTCTCAAAGCTCAAAAAACTTTGATGCAAAAGACACAAAAAAACAGGAAAAAGAGAACAGTCATTTGACAAAAAAAAGAATCTTTTTCTATCTGCGAGTAAAGCGAATCCTTTAATGACCAAATCCGCTTCCATTTCTTTTTATAAACAATAATTTTTTGCTATTTTGTGGGTTCAAAACCTCACAGTCTCATGTATGAAACGATTGAGTGTGTGGATTATTGTGGGAAAACAGTTTTCGACAACAGATATTCAAATGACAACAAGCAAATGAACAACTGAAATATCTTTTTTAATGGCTTTTCCATCCGAATCACAGTTTCAGGAAAAACGAGAGAACGCAAAACGAAAAAGTTTCTGTTTGTTTATTCTATTTTGACTCAGCAAAAACAGTTTTGAACGTCATCTCATAGTGCGAGGAAGAATTAAAAAGCTTGTGTATTTGAATAATTTCACGTGAGCGTTCACGTAGAAACCAAAGATCACGTGACACGCGCGTCATTTATATTAGATGATTCAGACTTACTGAACGGTTGAGCTTGTTACCATCAGTCGTTCTCTATCTCTCTCTCTTTCTCGTATCCTCTTACCTCATTCTTCGTTCTGCATGCTTCCTTCTCTCTTCTAATCTTTTCATTCGCTTCCTATCTCTCATCTGCTTTTCATCTTTGATTCTCTCTTATTTACCTAATCTTTCTCTATACTTTTCAACCTAAACAGGTATCCTGCGCTCCTTCCTGTTTCCAGACTCTCTAAGGACATTTGAGCCGAAGAGATGATGACGATAAAGTCAATAACGAAAAGAAGTGACAAGATTTTGTACATGAGACTCTTCATAAAGCTCAAACAAAATCATGAAACTCAAAGTCAGTCTATTTCACAAAAAAAATTTTTTAGAGATGAAAAAATAAATTTTTTTCTCTTTTGCTTACAAGTCACAGGGAGTTGATAAGAAACTCAAACGAGAGGTTGTATAATCGGAGAGGCAATCTGTGATATTCAAATAAACAAAGAAGAAATTCAGAAAAGTTTTGAGAAATCTCAAATTTTACTTTTTGTGACAATTGAATGAAAAATGAAAATTGAAAAAACAAGTCAAATACTTTGAGTTTCGTATGAAGTTCGATTGCCTCAAGGGTTTATCCTCTCGACTATAAACTTTTGACATTGATGTTTGTAACGAGAATATGGAATTGAACGAATATGACACGTTAAAATGAAATTTTACATGAAAAATAGGGAAAAGTTGAAAAGGAGGATTACATTCCATATAAGGTCACAACTAAATCTGATGAGGAAAGGAGGAAAGACTTTCAAATAAAAGAAGAAAACGGATAGAGCGGACGCTGTTTCTTCAAAATGGACGACAAAATACGCGGGGCATCTGGTGTAAACATGAAGGAAACAACGATGTCGTCAACCACACACCTGCTTCAGATGAAATATGGCTTTTTGAAGAAAAAAAGAACGCATTCACACCTTCAACGAGGAATGATGATGTAATTTCCAAAGGATCTAGAATGGGGCAGAGGGAAGAAATACTTGTTCATCATCTTCATTCTCTTCTCGTAACTCGTACTGTATTCAGATGATTCAATCAACGATGAGCTGATTCATAGAGTATGCCGGTGATGCCGACAGACAACGTCATCAACACCAACTGTCCACAAGGATTATGACGTCGTTGGTACGTTTACATAGCATATGCATCAGGATAATGTGTTAGGAGGAAGAACTGTTGTACAATGCTTCCCTTCCATCTCTCAATGGTTCTCTCTCTCTGTATTTCCATTTTTCTCTTTAAACTCATTAAAATGCGCTCTTTGAACGTCTTTCGCATGTTAATTCATGCATGACCAAAAATGGATTTGAACGGATTTACGACGAGTAAGAAGACGAACTGATGGGCTGATTGTTTCTGATTTAATCGAACATAAAATGAATGAAACGACAATACTCGTTCGAGAGAATTAACTAAAGGATAAAAGACGAAAGGAAGGAAGAGGATGAACTACATAAAAAGAGAGTGAAAGAACGAGGGAGATAGAAAGAGAGACAGAGAGAGTTTTCATAAAACTGGTATTTAGCGATTACAAGTCAGATTGATAATCTGAAGTTGTGGCTCAAAGAAAAGCCTTGAAAATACAAAAGAAATGCAATTTCTCTCACTCTTTCTATGTCTATGTTCTCTTTCAACTGTTTTCTCAATAAAACAAGACGATGCAAGGAGAATATTGGCAAAGTTTGGAAAAAGAAGAAGAAATAAGCTGATTAAAGAAACAAGCAGAGAAGAGTCAAGTCAAGAGGCGAAATTCCAAAAGAGCATTCAAATAGGATGGAGAAAAAAAAGATGTTTGAATACAACTTGTTCACCTTCAATCAAGCTTTTCCTCTTCTTTCGTCTTTTCAGATTATTGTTTCTGTCAGTTCGTATAAGATTCCCATCGACAGTTTCATCTATTTTTCTCTCGATACTAATATCAGCCCTTAGAGAGTTTCTCTTCCGAATGAAAGCTGTGTACAGCTGAAGCATAGCAACGATCTACCGTATAGTATAGAGATGAAGGAAATATATAAAAACTATGCAAATTATGTGATTCTCGTGATAAAATGATGGACAGATGTTACCGAATTTGGATGAATTTTAGCGGGAAACGATAGTACAAACATGGCCATCTGGGTAGGGGGGGGAAAAGGAAGGGTGAACAAAGAGTTGCCTCCATTGAATGTCTTTCTTATAGATCAAACAAACAAAATATATTTAAGAAAGAAGGGGAAATATTAGTTTAAAAAAGTATAATTCGTTCCAATTTTTACTTGAAAAGTGTTTTGATTTGGCTTATGGAAAAGCAAGTTGACAATAAAAGAGACTGAAAACGTTCAGTATTGTGGAAACAAATGACGTAACGATGGCTTCATAATGTAACAGAAGTGAATGAGAAAGACAATAAAAAATGGAAAAAGCTTATGGAGATGTCAGGAAAAGAGAAAAAAGTTTTTTTTTTATTGGAAATGTTGATTCAGTTGTTTGCTTGACCATTTCAAGCTGACCATAAGCGTTATTTACTCGACTATTAATAGAAAGAACTTTATAGTCTTTCCCTTCCATGCATACGAAGTTTAGTTCAGATGAGTAATTTAATAATTTCATAAAGACAAATATTTATTGTTAGAAGTAAGAATGATTGAAGACATTAAAAAGAAAGTATTATCTTCAAAACATCTTGTGAATCACGGAAGAGGAAGAAAAAAACAGACACAGGAGAGCTGGAATGGAAAGTGGAAAGAGTCAAGAGAGACGACTATCTATTTGGTGGTCAGCAGAAAAAAAAAGTTGAAGCTCAAAAATAAGGAAATAACGAAAAATAACTAACAAAGATGAAGCTCAGCATGATGTTGTCAGTTGATGCTTATAAGAGAACAGCAAGAATTCAACTTTCTGCATATATGGGAATGAATAGGAGACGATGGAAAAGGAGAAGAAAAACAAGAAACATAAATATATCTCTTCAAGTGAAACTGGTAAGCTTCATCTTACAGTCAGAAGAAAATCAATTGACGACCTTTGTTGTTGTAACCTGATGATTTGAACAAAGACTTGTAAGATCTTCTATATATCCTCTTAGAGTTTCCTTTTATGTTATATTCTCATCGTCCAAATATTGCCATCTGAAATAGATCTTTACATCTGTCTGTCATGCCACACCTATCTGAGCTTTTCAAATGCTCCTATTTACTTTGTTCTTACCTTTTAACTACTTTCCGACGACATTTATAGCTATTTTGTCATCTTCGTACTCCAAATAGATTCTCTTACTTCTTCTTCATCTCACCCCTCTCTCTTTCCTCTTCGTCTTCCTTACTCTAATTAACCTCCTCAACGCATCATTCGTTTTACAACTAAAAACTATTCCATCAATGTCATCTGCAAAAATAACTGAAGTCACATTTTGAGAAAAACGTAAAATTTTTTACGAAAAAAGAATAATTAGAAAATGAAGATAAGAAAAAAAGATTGAAATCATCCGAGATTTGAAAAAAAAAACAACCGCTCCCTACGTCAACTCACACAAATGGAATGAAAAAACACAACCAATTTTTAGCGAGACAACACGGAAAATGAAACTTTGTTACAACGTAATACAATATTCTAATTTCCACGTTCTCAAATTCAGTGTTCTGTTTTCTACTTGAAGATTCATGGAGTTCACCTAACTTCCAGAGGCTCCATTATTTGATGAGAAATGAAAGTTTGATAATTCAGAACGATTAAATGTATTCGAATTAACGGAAAAACTTCCTGGAACAAGTTACAGATCACCTTTCAGTACCAAAAAAACTTTCAAAATTTTTTTTCTATCATCGAACAGCAGATTTATGTGTTGATAAACGCATAAGTCCATAAGATCGCTGATATGTTTGAACACTTCACACAAAATGCGCTCCATTGACACTCGCCAACCGTCCTTCAATGACGTGCTTGTTAACTATAAAATTTCCTTTATTGTTATTTATGGAATGTATTGTTCTGACTTATATTACCAATTGAGTAAAATTCATCGAATTTTTGAGATAAGAAATGACAACATCAAGTAGTCCGGAATCAATGAGGAAGCTAGCTCCCGAGCCGCATGATTTCCGTGATCATAAACAACATATGATATGGCTCGTAAGTCGAAATTCGCATTTTTTTATGGAATTGTTCCCTGTCAGGCAGATCGAGAAACATATAGCCCGGTTCCACTGATTCCAAATGACATGTCAGGTGCGAATTTAAGTGTTTGAAAAGCCTCATTCTCATTTTGTTTAGGGGGATCGAAGGCCGTTTCGGCGTCTGTACTTCAAAAAGCTTTCAGTAATCCTTTTGTTCCCATAGGAATGATAGCCACATGTGGATGCTTAATAGGTTTGCTTTTCACTTCTTCGTCATATATAAGCTTGTATACAGGAATGCTTGGTGCTACACTGAAAAGAAATTCAAAACGTGCTCAGTTCTACATGAGGGGCAGAGTTGTAGCTCAAGGAATAACAGTTGCGTCTTTAGTGTGTGGAGCCATGTGGTTTGGTGAGAACAGAAAATGAAAAAAGTTTTGTTCATCTTATGAGTTAAGGATTAACACCAGGAAATGGAGCAAAGCCTATTGCTAGAACAGCTCTGCCTCAAGAGCAGCAAGCTGAAAAGTGAAGGCACGATTTGCTAATATAGAAAAGAAAAGATGACAGAGGTTGTTTAAGGATTTGTCTTGAGTAAGACGAAAAAGGAATTGTTGTTTTACGCTGTATTTCATATGGGTATATTAGAAAGCTGAGTAGTTTTCAGTTTGAAACAGTTCAATTCCGATTAAAAATACGATGTTTCTTTTTTTCTGTTTTAACACACGAGTTCGAGCTTGTGAAATATCTTTTTCCTTTCTTCGACCACTTTATATTTATATTTATATACATTTATATACTCATTATTTGGTTTATCTTCTCTTCATTTATATTCTCTTTTCTTTATATGTATGCGATCTGTCAAAGACTTTGAAGTCTCGTTGTCGTCATCGTCGAGCTCGAGGCGATCATTGTCATATACACGCTAGCATTCTACGGAATTTTGTTGTTATCCTTTTCTTCTATAGTTATCAAAAATTTATATGACCTTTTTCGTTTTTTGGGAAAAAATATGCCCAGCAATGGGAGCAATGTGTCATCATATGCGTCATACTCCCTGTCTCATCATTCTCTTTCTTTCTCTTTTTCCCTCTCTGTCCCCATCTCTCTCTATTTTATGCCGCCCATCCCATCTCTCTATGTCCACGCTCAGCCCACAATCTGTTTCTCTTGATGTGAGATAGTGGATAGATTATCGTCCTCGCCTAGTTTTCCATAGCAAGTTTATAGTCAGAACTCACCTATGGTGAACATTTATCTTTTCAAATCCCCTTAATTCTCCATAAGATTGTCATACGTTGCGAGTATCTCAAAGCTTTTCTACTCCTTTCATTCAATTTTTGTGATATTTTATTTCTCTCCTTTCTCTTATCTTGATTCTTAGAGATTTCTTCTCCCAAGTTAGTTTTATGCCGTTTTCCTTGCTGTCTGTTCTCGTATTCTTCGTCATTGCATTTCAAATCCTTAGCCTTTAATGGAAAGTTGTCGTGGGTTCTTCATCAACGGCGGAACCTCTGCGTCCTCCACACAATATTATTGATCGATTAGACTAGATGGTTGTTATGGTTGGTGTAGGTCGCAGAAGGTAGATTAGCTCGATTACCACGGATTATTTCCGTACTTGCGTTTTGTCTTTGTGGTTTCCTCTCCTGTTTTTTGTGAAGCTGTCTTTCGAACCTCATATTGTGCCATGAAAGCAGTCAGTCAGCGATGCTACTATTACATTCAATCGTTCGCCATCGCATGCCACCCTCTCATCATAATCTGCTTCTAGGCGATTGTCGCAACATACTATTCTTCCATTTCAATTACAAATGTACTCATGTTTATATATGGTTTAATCGTAATTGTTAGAACGATTTCTGAGTCATGTTGATGGCCATACTACAAAAGGAAACTCTTCGCCTTTTTTCTTCTCTCTTATCATTAGAAACGTTCTTGTTCATCATTGTTTATTTCAATCTTTACTCCTGCTCGATATATACGGCTTCATTATTATTTACTTACAACAGCATTTTTCGTTGTCATTATGTGCCTCGTTCATTTTATTTTTTTCCAATTTGTTTCTCATTGTTCACTTTTTCTGTCTTGTTCTTTTGCTGCGGCTTTTTATGTATTCGAATACATGGACTGAGAAAATATTTCGTTGCGACTAACTGTTGTTTTGCCAGCTTCCGCTCTGTCCTTCCTGATGTATTCATGCTCTACAGATAACCGGTTCAGCCTTAGCCAATCTTCTCCTCTCCACACTCCCCGGTTTCCCTTCTAATCACTTTCTCTCTTCAAACTCTTCATACCTCGTGCATTACATACCCTCTATGTGCTGGCTCTTATTTGTTTGTACTTCTCTTTCCCCGAGAAGCACACAATGTCCCTTTCCAGCAATGCATGTGTTCGTTCCTCTCCTCGTCACCGCATCTTGCTGTTTCAGACGCCGATTCCTCTGTGCTTTTGTTTGATGTTTTCTGACTCGTTAATTTTCAGTCCCTTTTCTAATCTCTTTCTTTTTCTTTCCGTTTCTTTAGGAGCATGGTTCTGCAAGAGATACCACAAAACTACTTCTGTTTGATTTTGTTACCATCAATACTTTCAGCAGCCAGAATTCGTTCTGATTTTCGTACAGTCAACATTCGATCGGAAATGTGTCTCTTTTTGCATCGTTATTTGAAAATCAAACACAAACCTTATTTAAAATGTCCCGTTCTATTTTCTGTTAATTACGAATTTGAATGCAACCGACCGGTAGCTTACTAAGCATTTTTGAGAATAACCTTTACGTGGAAAATAACGTGACTGACACGCGCACAAATTTGCATAATTGGCTGTGTCTTTATTCTTTGTCTCTTTCATAATTGCAAATATCTCTTTACTTTGCGTTCTTTGTTGAGCAAAAAAAACTTTCCATTCTCTCATTATTCTCCGCGTAGTCTGGGTTCAGCGTTACCGGGACCTGTACTCAGATATCCTTCATCTCAATGTCATCTTTTGTTATTACCTGCCGCAGTACCGTTGGATCCTCTCTAACGACCATCACTCAATTTTCGACAAAGTCGTTAGCATGGGACCGTAAAGAGGTCAAGTCCCATTTTGTCTTAATATTCACCTGTTTCTTAACCTCAAAACCTTAAAGCTTCATCAATTCTACTTTGAACATCCTCCTAAATAGCCTTAACTAGTTAATTAAAAATTTGTATTTTTTGATTCAATAACCGATGCATAACAATTAAAAATGCCCGGGAAAGACTGCTCGTAAAATTTTTAGCATTTACGCCATGTTGAGAGAGAGAGACTGTACGTCTGGAATATGTGAATTCGCTGGTGTAAGGCCATATTGAGGGTACTTCCGAAACGGAGTATTAGCATGCATATGTCATTTTCTATGTTTAGAGAAGAAATGCTCTTTTTTTTGGTAGTCTGCCAATGATTGAAAATTTGATCTATGAGACCACTAAAAGTGTTCAAGAAGAGTAAAGAGCACGGCTTTGCATAATACACGAGCATTGCGTACGGTACGCATTTTGTAGTGAGGAGGTAGAAAGTGTTCCATTCAAACGACGCTTCTTAATTATCGTTAGATGTACTTCGGTTATGCTGTACTGGTCATTTTTCATTTTAATCCCTGTTGGATTACCCTCCTTGTTTTCGGAAAGCCAGTTAGCCGTTTTGCAATCTGCAAGATCAGGCCAGATGTGCCGAAATGATGTATAAATCTCGTCGATTGTGTTTTTCGTTTCTGCACTTCTATCCCAGATTTTAGTTTAACGTATTGAGAATGGCTGAAATAGGTAATGGTTTTAATTGCTGCAGTTGCGTCTCATTCCTACTACTTTTGCGATTCGCATTAACTTTTTTGACATTCCATACTAATTATCCTAGAATATATTTACATTCCAATTTCCTTGTTTGTGATGATATTTACCAGTTCTTACATTTATCCTGCATGACTCGTAGTAACTGTTTTACTTATTTTCTTTACTTTTCAGAGAAGAAAGGAAACATGCGTGAGTATAAGATTGTCGTTCTGGGAAGTGGAGGTGTTGGAAAATCAGCTTTGGTTCGTAGTCTAGATTTCATCAAGTTTAATGTTTTTTTCTGTTCAGACTGTTCAATTTGTCCAAGGAATTTTCGTAGAAAAATATGATCCCACTATCGAAGATAGTTATCGCAAAGTAAGAATAAGTTTTTCCTATTTCTCATTAAACTTTGTTCCAGCAAGTTGAAGTTGATGGACAACAATGTATGCTGGAAATTTTGGACACCGCAGGAACGGTACGTGTTCTGCCGACCTATTCTTATCATTTTAAGCCGTTTTCAGGAACAATTTACAGCCATGAGAGATCTTTACATGAAAAATGGACAAGGATTTGTACTTGTTTACTCCATCACAGCGCAATCTACTTTCAACGATCTCATGGACCTGAGAGATCAAATATTGCGTGTCAAGGATACGGATGAGGTAATAAATTTTCATATTTGGCTTCTTTTACTTGAAGCTTTGTTCTCAGGTCCCTCTCATTCTCGTTGGTAACAAATGTGACTTGGAAGACGAGAGAGTGGTTGGGAAAGACCAGGGACAGAATTTAGCTCGTCAGTTCGGGTCTGCATTCCTGGAGACATCTGCTAAAGCCAAAATTAATGTAAACGAGGTTTGTATTGCTGATCTTATAGCATTAAAACTTCGTGCTCTTGTAGGTTTTCTATGATCTTGTTAGGCAAATTAACCGCCGATATCCCGAATCCGGCAAAAGACAGGGCCACAGTTCCAAGAAATGTTGTGGTTGTTCCATCATGTAATTTGGTGGAGTCAACTTCATGCCTGTCTGCTCTTTCCCTGAAATTAGTTGAAGAGTCGATCTACTCATTAGTTTGGAAGCATCATTACGTCTGTTGTTTTTTTTAATTTATTCTTTTAATAGAGATCGTGTGAAGAGCTTTTCATCCCACTTTAAGATTATTTCTCATGACCTTCCGCACCTTCGTGTGCTGACTTTATATGTTCAGATGGTCCTTCCGGTTTTTCATCATATCGAAAGAATCGTCTTTGTGATCTATTTTTATTTCTTATAACTCATAAGAAAATATATATATTTATATATATGAGCGCGTGTGTGTGTGTTTCTATAAGATATCCCTTTTCCAATCGTGCACATCGATAGCAGTTTAGAGCCCAGCGTCTGTGAATCTTCAAATTTGATGAAAATCATCACACGTGTACACGTGCTGCCTTAGAAGCTATGCTTTTTGACCATATAAAGTTAATTTCCTATTCTCACATTCATATCTTCTGATTATCTCTACTGGTTAGGTATTTATGATTTCTTTCTGATAGACATCATTTCCGGGATTGTCCCTTCTCTCTTTTTACCATCTAAATCCTCTGTACTATTAACCTGATAACTTTCTCTCTCTTTCTCTCTACACATCCTTTTGAATTTACTTGCCCTTTTGTACATTGTCTAAGGTTCAAGATTGCTATTAAATAAATATTTTATTTCCGTATTTTATACACGTTTTTTCATAAATTTGATTTTGTTTTATTTTTCGGACCTACAGCACTGTTCCAGAATTCAGCTCTCCGATTTTGGAAGTCATTAGCCATGTGAGATTTTGGTAGCTGAATATTAAAATATCTGAAAGAGTCGGCTTGTGAATGTTTTTCCCATAAGTCATTGGTTCCATCAGTAAGTCCATTTGGGTTTCTGAAGTTTTCACTTTTTTGATTATTCATAGTTTCTAAGTATTACCCATATTTGGCGAAGTTTGAGAAATACTCAGTCATCATTTGAATCATTCGATGATCTTCCTCATTTGGTTTAAATTTAGAATAAATTCCTTTTCCGAGAATATAACGGATTTCTGTACAATGAGTGGCACCTGTAAAATGAAAAAGGTTTTGTGGATCAAGAGCGTCCTCTTACCTCGGAAGGGAAAGATGAAACGGAACAATCCAAATCCATCAGGATTGAAGTATTCGAAATTATAAAGATAGACGTTATGACCACATTTGCTCATTTTATTGGCATAGTTATAAGTACCTACGTTTATAGCATAATCTCCGAACAGCTGGAAACAGTTTCTGTTGAACTTGACTGAAGAATGTCTCTTACCTCAACCATTCTCCGGGAGATTGTCGCTTTGTCTTTTGGATCCACATCTTTTGTATAGAATTCATATAACTCCTTTTGGATAGTCGTCGCTTCCGATCCATAATCGCATTCTCGGAAAATTCGACCGAGAAACCGTTTAATACCTTCGAAAGACTTATGAAATCCTCCCAATGCTACTGAAACAAGAATAAATCAAGATGTTTCTCTTGTTCTCGGTCTCTCACCGAAGAAGAGCCCTTCGTTTTGAGTCACACCCGTCATCACATCTTTTTGAGGAATTTCGGTTCGTAATACTGATGGTGGTTTAGGGAAGAAATCTCCGTCATAAGTTGGGACAAAGTATAAGTTTCCAGCTTGTGAATGTCGGAATCCCTTGAAATACATTAATTTTCAATGATATTATGGTGAATACATAGCATTAGGACAAGCATTGATTTTTGAGGGATGAGTATAGCGAGAAAAACTGATTAGTACTCACATCACTTACCTTCTTTGCATTGATGCCAACTTCTAAACGAGTAGTAGGTTGTCTCACCATCCATTCCATTAAACCTTTATCGTCATCATCTTTAATTTTTTTGTTTTACTAAGCGTTAAAGGAAGATTCTAGCGAACCTTCTCCTCTCCAACCCAAGTATCGAGCAAACTCAATGCTTAGCTTTGCTTGTCCCTCTTTAGTTCGAAACGCAAAGTCACATTCTCCACAACCAGACATGGGAATGACACGTTTGAACAAATCTTCAAAACGTCTTTAAGCGACTTAAGATGTTTTTGGTTTACGGTTTGAATGTGGACTAAGTGTAAGTAAGTCGACACTAGCTCCACCAGCACTCTGTCCAAATATAGTGACATTAGTTGGATCTCCACCAAACTCAGCAATATTATTTTGAACCCATTGTAGAGCCAAAGTCTGATCCCATAGTCCCATATTACCTGAAAAACAGGAAAACAATAATTTCAATAAAACTAAGAGTAGCATTTTGGACAAGTACTACTAACGATCACTATTATAGAAAAACAAAACGGTTTTTTGTCATTATTTTTACGAAATCCGAGATGAACAAGTTATTGACGCTTTCAATGGTGTGTTTTGCAAATTGCAAAAAGACTCCGTCGAACCGGATTCGAACCAGTGACCTAAGGATATCAGCACTACTACAGTCCTCCGCTCTACCAACTGAGCTATCGACGGGTACATTGCCTCGAAGCAATTGCTTGCTTTTCACCTAGCAGAGTGAATAATTCAGATTTCCTACTGAATTTTTCCACAATTTATGATCAGTTAAAGCAGAGAGAGTTTATTAGAAAGGTGATAAGCACTTTTGAATGCCCTTGCGCGTTAGAATAAGAAATGGAAGAGAGCAACCGGTCAGTTTACTGAGTGAGAAGGAAATGAACTAGCGCGGCAATGAAAAAAGTATTCTAATTTTAGTGCGTCGATTGCACGTGAATTCTGTTGATGATTTTGGAAACAAAAAAAAGAAATTTCTACTATTTTCAGATTTTACCTGAGCATTCTTCTGTGGCTGTTGAAAAGAAGCCAAAAACTCCGAGACGATAATTAATAGAAACAAATAGAACATCTTTCACGCATAGATTTCTTAATAGAAGGTCGTGTTAATGATGGAAAAAAGACTCATTACCTGGCAACGGTGGCTGCTCCATAATTGCTAGAAGAGTGGATTGCAAATCCTCCTCCGTGAATCCAAACCATTACTGGCAGGCCTTTAGGCTGGAAGTGATTCATTGAAATTAAATAAAACTATTCAAGTATTTACCCATTCTTCTGATTTCCATCTGGGAGCAATAACATTGAGTGTTAAGCAGTTAGCTTCATCTTTCCCAACTATGTTAATATACTAATATATAACGAATTCATCTTTGGAGAATGACACTAAGAAAACCTGGGCAAAATAATCGTCTGTTTGAGGACAGCGTGGTCCAAAATGCAAGCAATCTTTAACTTCTGACCATTGAGCTGCTTCTACTGGTTTCTGGAATAGGAATGGTTCAATCCTCGTGAAGAAGCAATCAAGAATGATTAGTTAAAAACCTTAAAGCGATATTTTCCGATCGGAGGCTGAGCATAGGGAATGCCTAAGTAGCCATCGACTACTCTGTTCTTATCTTCAGGAAGGTGAAAAGCTCGCCCACGAATCTGACCAGAAGTAGTTTGCCGAACAGGAGAGTATTCGATAGAAGAGCTATTTGCCCCCATCAATAAGTGGTTAAAATCTGAAGACAAAGTATAGTTTCAGTAAATCTTCAACAAGAAAGTAGTCAATAAGAACTACGAGATGAGTCTGGTGTCAACTGTTTAGTCACAAGTAAACATTTAGCAGACTCGAATTTCAAATCATCTAAAGTATAAAAAGCTTTTCTTCCGAAATGCTTCTTCTATTTGACAAGTTCAAGATGATATAACAAGAAAAAAAAAGAAGAAAAAACTAGAAAATGGTTTTGAAATAGCTCGAACTCAGGAAAATGCTATGGTTTGAATGGACTTTGTCCTCTTGTAGCCTAAAACGAACAGACCGGATTTGTCTGTAAATGTTATGATCCTTCTGTTTAATTGGAAAAATTCAAGAAGGCAAAAAAATTGAAAAAGATAAATGAAAGAAGGGATGCTTTAACGAAAAGATAAAATACTTGTACTAGACACAGAAGTAAGAACTCTATGAATGCGACTACAAGTTGAAATTATTAAAGGTGAATAAGGAAGACTATGTAAGAACCTGTTCTTTCTTATCTTATGTTGTAGTAAGTTGTTCAACACAAAACTTTGGTGGAAAATCAAAAATGTGAAAAGGACATTCGATGCTGATGAAACCTGGTGATTTCAATCGAATTATGGGCAGATCAAATACCAAAAAGATTTTTGAGTGAGCGTAAGGAAAAAGTTCAAATGAAAAGTTGGAAAATGTAAAAACATCAATATAGAAACAAAATGATTAAATAAAAAAAATTCAAAAGAGTTATTATGAAGAACAAGAGGTCAGTGCCAGAGGAAAGGGAGAGCAGAGAAAGAGAGGGAGGAAGAGAGAGAGATAAGAGCCTGATAAAAGTAGGAAAGAAAGATAAAGCAAAACAGAGAAGAATCTCTAGAAGAAATATGTCGAGTCGAAAAAAGAAGGCTTTAAAGAAACAATTTAGCATGTTGGAGGATTTCATATCCTTAGCTGGACAGGGCTATAAAAGATTTTTTTTGAAGAGATTCAGAGATAAAAAGGAATGTGCTGGAAGGGATGAGAAAACTGGAACGACATTGGCCATCATCATCTGAGAATCGCAGAAGGAATATTTGAAAATTAAATGAATAATTGTCATTTAACTCAAAACAAACAAGAAGGACGAGGTAGAGCGAAGAAAAATTCAACCCAGTAACTCCTAAAGTGGATTTTTATTTTTTTCAAAATGTCGTTGTAGATGAGAGGAAGTTCAACAAAGACATGGCTATGGATGAAAAGGATAAAGGCTGTTTGTTGTAGAAAACTCACAATTCTTGCGGAGATGACGATAGAAAGATTCAACAGGAAGGTGGAAAATACAAGAGAGGCAAGGAAGAGAAAGACAGCATGTATAGGGCTAGATAGCCAGAGGGAAAGGAAATCACAAAAGAGACATAGATTAACCTCTAAATATGGTTATCTTTACTACTACTAGGTCAGCCTCATCTGATAGAAAAAACTTTGCATTGTCTCATTACAGCCTGAGGTCAGAAATGAGATGACGACGACGACGACGGAGCACTCTTTCTCCAAAACCAAATGTTCTAGTGACATCATGGCGAACAATTCTTTCGACTCCTCCTTCTCATGCGGAAATTTTGAGGATACATTTCGATAAAACAAAGAAAACTCTTTTGAACATGTAAACATAAGCAAGAACTTCGTTAAATTATAGGAAAAACAAAGTATAATAACAATAGTTTAACTATATCATATAGTAACAGGTTCTAGCGTAACAACTTCGCTGTCCAACTTTCCCTTCATCCTCCATTCTCTCCTTTCTCCTAATTTGCTCTCAGTTTATACAAATGCACCTAAACGACTATTTTGGCATTTCGCTAGTTTGATTCTTGTTTTCTCTCTTAAAAACTTTCATCCGCCAATTTTCCCTATTTTCCTTTTCTGTCTTCACAAAATGCATAGCCATGTCTTGTAAACGTGAGCATTTTTCCTATTACTTTCAACGTGTTTCATAATAAAAGTCAGTTTTTCTATTGATTATTACTTCAAACATAAGTTCTATACATACTCTTTTGATAAATCACAAAATTTTACAGAATAAATGTGTAAATTCGGTGTTCTCAAGTGGTTTCTTATGTACTTCCATTTATAGGTTACGGTATGCAATAAACAATGCGGCATTCACGTCTAATTGCGACCATCCAGCGTTTATTTTCAGATTTGAAAATATTGCGCTTCATGTAAAATGAACGATTTTCTTTAGATTCGAATATGTAAACAGTCATTTATTATTGAATAAAATATCTTTGATATGTGAAACTTCTAGTAAAGCCCGCTTGCCGGGCGACTCTGATATTGATGGCAACACACATTACATTTCGCTTGGCGTCTCATCGAATTCTGAACGCAAAAATATCTGACATCTTTGTTTCAGATGGAGGATGTCGATGCGGCAGATCTAGCTCTTTTAGAAGGACCTCCCGGCGTCTTGAGTGGGGACGTTAATGAGAACGAGTTACTGGATAATATTTCGTAAGTAGGCGATTGATAATTATTAACTGGGAGTTGTTGCAGGGAGCAAAAGCCTGTGAAAGTTGAGGAAGAGGATTTGTATGATGATGCTATTGCACCTTCCACTAATGACGTGAAACCAAGTGTTGTGAGTGATACGCTGTATATTTCTTTTCCATTTTTATCTTCTTTAAGGCAGATGTAAAATCTTCAGTTCCTGTTAATCAGCCACAACATAGTGTTGCTCCAGTAGTGTCTTCCGATAAGAAGTGAGTTCATCATCATGCTTTACTTTAGTTCGACTCCAGTTTTAGATTTTGTTGTTATGTAGGAAATATGACGTGGTGGACAACTGACGCTGATTTAGCTGTATGTTTTTTTATTATTGAAACTCAAGACGATTGGCATTCCAGCTGCACGTAGCAAACCTTCAAGTCAATGACCTGATCGAAATGAAATTTTTTGAAAATAGAACGAATGGCCAAAGCAAGGGTTTTGCTTCCTGTACTTTTGGAAGCGAACAATGTATGTTATAATGTTTCAGTTTTTCAACGTTTTCTCGGTGTTTCAGCAGTTAAGATCATCACTGAAAAGCTTCCTCAGAAGTTGATTCATGGAAATACACTGTGTGTTCTACCGTTCACTAAACAGTCCTTGAACAAGCTCGATGAAGCTGCTGCTAAAGTTCAAAATAGGCCTGACGCTAAGAACGCGAAAAAGGTTGGGGTACCGAAAAATCCTACAACCGTTAGTTCTCTTTTACTGAACTTGAATTATGCTTTCTCTATTAGGAAGATGGTTGTGTTAATATGGGAACTATCCGTATCGGAGGTAACGTTCCTTCTCAAATGATGAGGTCTGGAGGAGCTCCCCCTATGCATAACATGATGATGGGTCCTGGAAATATGTCTTCAATGGGAAATCCTGCTCCTATGAATCGTGGACCTCAGCCCCTCATCATGAATGGACAACCTCCGATTCAAGTAAGGAAATGAAACACGATTTTGTTTATCAAAATTCAGCCCCTTCAACCAAACGTAATTCGACCTATGGGCGGCCCAGGTGTTGCACCAGGAGTTGCTCGTCCTCTCATGAACCCTAACGGGCCGCAACCCATTATACCCAACGGGCCTATGGGAATGCAAGTTCCTCCGGGAGTTGGGATGCAAATGCAGCAAAGGTTCTATAAAAAAAATATAGATCTACCCATTTACTAGCTTGTTTCAGGCCCCCCGGTATGCCTTACCAACCTGGTCCACAACCACTTATGCAACAAACGATCCGTCCCCCAGGTGTTGGCCAAATGCCTCCTCCAGGTGCTCATGTAAATCCACAAATGTTTCCTGGGATGCAAGCAAATGTTGTGTCGGAAGCTGAGTTTGAAGATATAATGCATAGATTGAGGTAAAATTAAAATGTCTCCCATGACATCTGACGTTTTCTTGTTACAGAACTGTTTCATCGTCTGCTATAACGAGAGCGCAAGTAGATGCGGGTACAGGTCATTTCGCATCTGCTATAGAAACTTTGAGAACAGCTTTAACCATTGTCCGAACTAGTAGAATATCGGGCGATGAACGTTGTCAGCCACTATTTATGACATTAGACGTGAGTCGTTCATATATTAGTGCTGTACAGTAATGGGTGGGATGTTTAGGAAACAATATCCGACATTGAAAAGAAAAGTCGAGGAAGAAATAAGCATCGTGATCGCGACAGGTTCGTTGACATCTGATTATTATTGAAGATATTACTTACATTTATAGATCTCGTAGTAGAAGCCGTGATCGTGATCGTAAAAGAAGAAGGAGAAGCCGGTAAGTAAAAAGAATCGTCGACTTATAAAGATCCTTGTAATTGTAGAACCCGTTCCCGCTCTCCTCGTGGACGAGGTCATCGATACTAATAAAGAAAGCTGGAGCTCCATTTGTTAATTGTTAAGGTAATACTAGTTAGATGAAATAGAAAAAGTTCGTGCCCCCCTTGATCAAATTAAAAATGTTAAACTGGGAGTAATTCGAACGTTTTCAATTATGAATTGAAGCCATACTTCCCTCCGAAACCTTCGATTTTTTAGAATTTGTGAAGAACTTGAAATTTTTTCTCTCGGGATAGGGTTTGCACTAGGATGTTAGCGAGGAAAAGCAGTTTTTAGAGATTTTCTTCGAACTTTTCGATTGTCTTTCGTTTCCATATCGCGAATTGTAAATGCAATCCGAACTTGTGCTTTCGTTTTGTTGTAAAGCTGGTCAGATTTGTTCCATTTTGTACGTTTTTAAAGGTTCTTGTGGTATGTTTCTGCAAGTCGAATAGCCTCTGTTTGGGAAATTAGCGATTTTTCTGTTTAAGTTAAGAACTTTGGATCTGTTAAATAGCTTTATTGAGAGTTTTGGGTTGTTTCTATATTTATTGCTGGAAAATAGTGTCGTTTGCTTTTTTTCCTCATATTATCGTCCCAGCTTAAAAATCGTTGTATCTTATGTGATTGAACTCACTTAGTTGTAAATAATCTCTTTCACAGGTTTAATTTGTCGTCTGCCAACGCTGGTGAACTATCATTGGTGGATTCGTCGTGGTCTCAGTTCAATTGTCCGGATAATAATCACAAACGATTCATTCTGTTATTTGGATGTTCTAAATTTCATTCACGTTTGTTATAATTGTTAATTCATAAACACTCCATATTTCATGAGCTTGTTGTATAAGTGTCTCAATTCCTACCTGCAACTAAAGAGCAAAACATAACGGAAGAGAAATGACTGAGGTCGAACACTGAAAAAGCCTTAATCCCCGTCTGACAAAAACAGATTGCTCGTTGTCAACTTTCTTTCTCCGTTTCTTCCGAAGTCAAACATCCCTTGTGGTTTTTGCAAAATTGAATATTAAGTTGACATTCTTTCATAAGAAAGTTGAAGTTGGGGGCTTCCTCTGGGATTCGAAAACGTCACGATAAGCTTCGCCGCTAAAATAATTTGTTTAGAAGAGACAAATGGTTGTGGACAACCTTATTGTTTTATGAGTTGTAGTATTTTATCAGACTACTATCCCAAAAAGGAAGTAGTATTGCCCTACATTTGGATATCGGATGTCCCTACAACTATAGAATGCTTGAGAACATAATTACGCAGATTAATATTGTTGGATGCTATGAACAACACATGTATGATCCTCATAATTAACTCAAAATGTTTTATTGCTATTTACACGTCTGTAACAGCAGCTTGACTAGTCTAATGATGTCTATGGCTAAGCTGATTTGTGGGAGGACATTCCCATATAAAGATGAATCCATTCTGACAGATTAGAATATATATATGAAACAATGGATCTTTCTATCTAGGTAGAGCCAAATGCTAATTGATCAGCAGATGTTTCTTTATTTGTAAATATATTTCTTTTTATATTTATATATATTAAAATATGATTTTTTTATCCTCTTGTCCTCCTCTGTAAAAACAAAACGAATGAATAGTTTGAATGCTTTTTTTCGGATTTGAAGCAAAAAGTGTGAAAGGTCATTTGTAATTAGTTAAATTGGATAATTTCTTGAATTCACAAGGACATTGTCACTTCCAAACATGGTCAAGAAGCTAGTGGGCTTGACAGAACATGAAGGAAAACGCAGATACTGTCGAGACGAATTTAAGAATTGTTCTTCTTGATTTTCAAAATTATCATACCATCTACTGCCATTTACAATTATAAGCATCATTGACATGAGGCGTGTCTGATTGAATTCGAATTTTGAACAAATTATAACATTACAGTATGAAAGTTGAAAGTCTTATGGGAAAATTAACTTGCTAATGCTTGATGATAAAACTTTATGAAATTTAAATATTCTTAAGGGAATTAGTAATTCCTCGAGTTACGGCTGTAAAGAATAATCAGCTCATTCAATCTCATTTGACATCTAATGAGACTTTCCTTGTGTACTTTCACTTGTCATTTTCATGTAAATGATTGAAGTTGCTTATATGGATATATTGCTAAAGATCTTAATTCGGATAAAGCTTTGTTCAGATGAAATTTGAGATCTGACGCGTTACGTCATGTACGTCTGACTTACGTGAACTGCGGACTTTATTTGTCATTTGCATGCGCAATGAACGGTTGAGTTTCTCTCTCTCTTTCTCTTTTCTCTCTATTACTTTCTTACTATCTTTCTTTACCTCCAAACATCTCAATGTCAAAATGATAGACAGATGTCTTTTGTCGTCATTAACATTCTCTGATAAATTATGAGTGTTTACCACATTCTGACTCTCTTACAGTCACTTAGTCAGTTAATCTCATTCTCCTCTTTACTTCTTTCATTTCAACCATCGCATTCTGCTTCCGTTCTATCTCTTATCCTCTTCTTGCTGCTAACTTTGAACTTCCATCTTATAAACGTTTTTCAACCTATTCTCCGTTCCAAAAATGTATGTACAAAAAAATAATTTTTCAATCATTTATTTACTGTATACTTCAGCTGTTCATCTGCTTATCCAGATGTGCATGAGGAGAAGAAATAGCTGAAAGAACGAGAAAAAGGGGTATGGATGAGAAACTTCAAGTGCTTGTGAGTGGCATCAGATGGAATTTCATCCCAAAGCCGGACCGGCCTTAGTTGAGTTGCTGTCCTCGTCTCTGTACATCTAATTTGAATAAAAATTGACTGTTCAACACTACATCAACAGTCTAGCTATCAAAGCTCCTGCTCAACTCTCATGAGCTTCGGCTGTTTGCTTTAAGAAGCTGAAGACACGCCATGTTTTCTAATCATTCCATGATAAAATATAATTATTTGTAAACATATTTAATTACAATAATCTAAGTAGTTATTCATTCGTTTTTCATTACACTCATCAATCATAATGATAAGACATCACTTTACCGCCAATATTTGCTTTTTCTTTTCAATTTTTTTTGAAAAATTAGCATGCCACGCGCACATGGCTCCATCATAATTTCATTCTTAAACAACCAGTGAATTGAACTGGTCGGTTGGTTGTCAGCAGTCTTGTGAGTTTGTTTTGCATTCAACACCGTTCATATCTATAATTAGAGTATTGTGTATATCTAAGCCTCATATTATGAATCTTTTGTTATTAAAACCTTTTAATTGGCGGCTATCCTTTCATTGATGCTTATGGAAGAGTTCTCTATTGTATTTGCCTTTCTATTCCATAACATTCAAGTATTTTTTGGCATTAAAAGGGTTATAGTGCTACTCTTGAGACAGACAGACCGCACTAATTACGTGGATACGTATGGCAATTTGCCTTTTTTCCTTTTATTTTTCTCATATTCTGCATGTCGGAGACTTCTTATTCATAATGCCTCTTGACGGTCTACTTATTAGTTGTGTCTTTAAGAAGGAGTTGCATCTCTCTTTCCAGCCGTTGACTGTCACACACATCTTCTTTAAGATGAACCTTCTATATGGATCAGTCAAGTTTATGGTACTAGGCGGTATATGGCAAAGGAACTGCCAGGCTGCTGCTGCCTTGTTTCAACTCATTCTCGGTGGGTCAGGCAAGATAAGCGTGTGACCTCCAGCTGTGGGTTCCTGACTGTATTTCTCTAGTTCTCTGTACATCATAACTCATATTTACTCTTTATCTCCATAATTCTTTCCTCTTGTGTGAACTGTGTCAAACGATAACCCCTCCCTATCTATTCTTCTTTTGATTCATTTTTTCCTAATCAGGAAGAGGCGGGAAATCAGCCCTTTTTTTTTCAATTCTTGTCTGTTTCGGCTTGTTCATCTTATGACGAAGACTCAACCCCGAACAGACAGCTGCTCCATTTCGCGCATTATTCCGTTTTCGTCATCACCCTCATCTTCATCATCATCGTTCATAAGCGAATAATAACTTCATTATTCATTAGATAGTAAACTGTAACATCCTTCTTCTTCTTCATCTCCATCTCATTTCACTTTTGTAAAACCTTCATGTGAAAGACGACATTCATTTTCTTCTTCTTTTTTTTTGCATGAAATTCCATCTTCTGAATGTTGCGAAGTTTCAATTACGAGAATTCGTCAGATTTTATTTGAAGCTTATATCTTCTTTCGTATTTAACTATAGGATTGAAGTTTCTTGTTTGAAGTCTAATTGAATATATTTTTTAGCGCATAATTGGTAAGAGAGAAATTGTAAAAGTGATAGATAGAGAGAGAGAGAGAGAGAGTATGTAAGATTGAAATGAGGATGGGTATGAGAAAGAAGATTTGGCACTTCTTTTGCATCAGCCGCCATACTATATAGAGTGACTGATATAAATTTACTCCAATGATATTAATATCTCTATATATGCTCATAAACTATATGATATAGTTAGATATATAGAGAGAGTATATAGATAACTACGAGTCAATAATGTTAGAGGATAGATGAATATCTATTGATTTTGATTGGTTTTTTATATCTCAGATATCTAATTTATATATATACTACACTGATATTATAAATCAAATTCATTTACTCTTCTCTCTCTCTTTCTCCCTCGTTCTCTCTCTCTCTCTTTCTTTCTCTTCCCCTCTCTCTCTCTTTCTCTCTCCCCCTCTCTCTTTCTTTTCAAAAAATCATGTTCAGTTTTTTTTAATCCAAAAGTTAATTATAATAATGTTTTGTAGTACAAACTGTTTTGTGAAGAAACAGCTTCATGTACATCTGGATCTGATCATCACTGCCTTGCTTGATACGTTCATGTCTTTGAAGAGCTCATTTTGCAACACATTTTCTTGTTTTCCACATTGTAAACTTAGCAAATTTCTTTTGTTTAAATTCTTTTTTATTTTTTCTCAGATGAAGATGTGCTAGTCATTCGACTTGACTGTCTCTCCTCATACGAGTACTTGGACGCTCAGAACGGTTGACTTTCCAATTCATCTGTCCTTACCTTTTCCTTCTTATTTTTTTTCATTTTTTTCATCTTCTTTGTTAAACATTTTTGTATTTGGTGGTCTTCTGTTCTTTTTTTTTTCAAAATCTCATGTGTACTAGAGATTCCTTTATTTGGCCATATGTCACGATATGCTAGTCAAAATCATTTTTCAGTTTCTAAATGGCACACTTAATTGATTTGAATTTTAATAATTAGCTTCGAATTTGGCCATAATATCTGAAAAAAACGTTCATATAAGCTTAAATGGCTGAGTATGTTAAGTATAATTAGCATACGATAATACTAAGCTTAGTTTGAATTGTTTTTTTCTTCGAATAGAGATCTCTGAACGAACCATACGGTCAGTATCGGTATTTGAATTATCTTGGAGAGAGAGAGGTTTGGTCCATCCAGAACTTCATGTAAAGCTTGTGATAGCTGTTTTCGGTATGCGACATCTTGTAGTCCTACCCAGTCCTAAACTTTGATTCCTTTGTCTCTTCATGTGAAGACAACATGTTCTTTCATTTTTCTTTTTTTTTACCTCTTTTTTAGATCTTTACCTTTCGATCTTCCGAGCTGTTCGTCTTGCCTATCTTTACCTCCTATGAATCCTTTCTCTCTTAACTCTCTCTCTCACACTCTTCATGTCAGTAAAAGAGAAAAAGACGAACAACTATATCGTTCGCCTTATCTATTCATCTTATTTTTCTCCTCCATTTTCGTTCTATCTCATGCTCTCTCTCTCTATCTACTTTCATACAATTCATCCTTTTCGACCACCCGTTTTCCTTCCATATAATCTCTTTAGACGTCCATCTATCGGTTTGAATGACCGAACATGCATTTTATTGTTTTTACTTTGAATTATACTTTCAACCAACCATATTATTAAGCTTACAACACCTCAGATGCAATCTCTGTCACATGTGAAATAAATTAATTAGGTGTGATAGATGAAGCTGATTGATAAAGCCTAAATAAAGAGTCTATTATTAGTAATTTGCATATTCTAATAGGTTCATCTGCTTATTAGTATCTCTCAGTTCTTCTCTCCCTTTTCTCTCTTACATAATTTTTTTTAAAATATGGATCTTAAGCCTTTTTTTCTGTTCCTTTGTAAATAAATCCATCTGTCAACATGCCAGCTTATCAGATATTCCTAGTAAGCAACAGTTGTTCATCAAAAGTTTGACAATCTGTTGATGGCATACGGAGCAGATATCCGTTTGCCATGTAAGGAACTCTGCACACGAACTGTCACATAAAGCTTCACACACACACACCCAAAACCTAGCTGATCTATTAGACTATTTGGTTATCGACAGCTGCTCCTATTGCCGGTCTGTTTCTGCTGCTGATTTTTATTTATTTGTTGAATTAAATTGGCGAAGAAGAATAAGGATAGTGCGCCAAAATGATAGAGAGAGAAAAGACTGAGAGAAAAGATGAGAAAGATGGAAAGTTCATAGTAACAGAGACAGATCAGGTAGAAAGAGTAGAGAGAACATATCATAGATATCAACCGTCTATGGTAAAGAGCATTTACTTATATAGATTTGGGTTCATTTGCGTAAAATCTGTGGCTCTCTGTACTGTTTTCTCTCAAATTCTGTCTATCTCCCTCACTGGCTATCTCTTTCCTCCTCTCTTTGTATTTTCTTATGCGGTAGTTGATACAAAGCACTTTCCATCAGCTCATATGGAGTCGATAATCTGTACACAGCCAGTCTATCTATCATATCTATTTTTGCCGTTCAAAATCGTCTCTCGTCTTCAATCCGAAAGTATTTTCAATTCTTTTTAAATATTGCTTCAATTCGTCATTTCTTCGATTTTCGCGCAACCTCGAAATCCTTTTGATGTGAGTCATGCGAGCCCATTGGCTTCCTTCTGACAGTCAAAGGAATTTTTATAAAAATAAAACATTTTTTATGATTCTCCTCCTCTTTGCTGAATATAAGAGTGAAAACAGAAATGCCATTGCTCTCACTGCCCCGGCAAGAATGATCAAGTTGTTGTAACAATAAGGAAAGTGTGGAAGGAAGTTTGTTTTATTTGTAAAAATTAGCGAAAATCGCCATCCTAATGCATTCACAGCTTCTCCCTTAATCAACTTCCTCTCCCTCCTTTCGTTCGAATGCTCATCATCATCTTCTTCTCTCACATCATTCAATAGAACTTTCTTTCAACGAAAATTGTATTCTCTAATTTTGGAATTTCGTAAGTATATTTTGAAATGGAAATTTGAAACGCTTCTTCTCAGCTTCTCATGGAAGTGCTTTGAGTCATTTTTTGATTGAACTTCCTGCTATCCTACTCATACATCTGTATTGTTTGTTTTCATTCATTTGTCCGTTTTACTCTTTTTGCTTCCTAACGAATTTCTGTTGCTTATGTAAGACTAATTTATCATTACATCAATCGATCTTCGCCTCGGGACGTATCCAAACAAGGAAAAATGGCCATTTATCAAGTGCTTTGCCAGATTCCCCGGAGGGTCACCAATGGTTTGACCCTTCTGGTCAGACACGAAGCTTCAAATGAATTTTATTTCATTTCCTTATGCTTTTCACTCTAAACACAGAGAGAGAGAGAAAGAGAATAGAGATAGAGAGAGTAGAGATAGAGAGAGAGTAGAACCTAAAAAAATACGAAGAATGAAAAAAACGAATATCATAATTGAAATTTTCGTTCAAATGAAGCATGACCTCATTCCTTTGAAGTCAACCCATCCTACCTGTATCTTTTCTTTTTCCTCATTCTTCAAAACGTCTATTGTCATTCATGTTTTTTTCTGTAGTCTGTTCAATCAAAAAAAGAGAAGATGAAGAAGAAAAATTGAAATTTCTCCTTCGTTTTTTGTTCACAAAATTCGTATACTTCTGGCTTCTCATTCATCTTACAATTATCAGCACTTTTCATTTGAAAACCCGATGATGGCGCGCGTGAATGACTTCGTCGTTTCTTTTTTGTGTTTCTTTTCTTTTTTTTTTGTTTCAAAACGTTTCAGATGACTTACATAGTCCATACGGACCATTAGGAACAAAAGATAAATGACAATTTTCAATTTTTGAGATTATTACACGGTAAATTCGATTGAAATATTTCATTGTGAAGTTGAGTTGTCACATTTGATGTGAAGAGTTTAGGAGTTTCGATGATGAAAAATCATCAGAATATCTCTTCTGAGCCATTTTTAATTTATCATCAGAAGTCATATGGCCATCATCTCTATTTACCTCATAATTGTCACTGTAAACGTCTTACGAGAGATGTGTGAGGGATAACTTGAATAAGTTTCAATGAAATCTCTGTTGAAAGGTATTTCATCTTGTCTTCTGAGCAGGATGGGTGAAAAGCAAGAAGGTGAATGAGTAGCCGAGAAGGAAACATATAACCTTTAAACTATTTAAGATGAATCCCTATCCTGAGTGCCATTCAAGACACTCATTGACTCATCCACCATGAACAACCTTTTTTGACTTTTTCAATTTGAAAAAAGAAATCCAAAAAAAAAACAAATAACAAGAGTTGTTGTTGTTCATATATTGAATAATCATTTTTGAAAAATTTGCATAAAACAAATCATTTTCAAGGATTTTTCATTCGTTGACACTTTTCATCCTTGAGATAGCCATAAAAGGCTTCTCAATTCTGTAAGCGGCAACGAAGACAATCTTCATCATTCTTTTTTCTTTCTGTTTAACACATTTTCAATTATTTCTAGTTAATTTGTTAATTTATGTGTTGCTATTTAAGCTAATTTATTACATTACTCTTTCATCTTTACCGCCTCATGAAGGTAGTTGAGATGATTTCTTTTGCAATCTATCAATCAATTGAATTATAATCATTTAATTGGAATATTATACGTATAATTAGCATATTTGTATGTCCTTCACGTAACGCTCACGTAATATTCATTTTATTGCTCCTTAACAGATGGTTCGGTTGCATGTACATCTCAACTACCTCTACTACTCTCATATGCCTTCATTCCACCTTCCCCCCCACCCCCCATCTTACCTTCCTTCTTTTTTTTTTCTTCAATAACTATATACTAATTATATAATTTTAGTTATAGTTTAATAAAAACATTTGAATGAAGGTTATCGTGTGAAGAAGTAGGCGGAGCTTGTATCTTGAGCCTTTTACCAGCATTTTCGCTCGTAAGTCTTTCCTCTCCTCCCCCATTTTCTCTCTGCTTTCTATCTCATATGTACGCATACTGTCTATCTCTCTCTCTGTGTGTTTCCTCTCTCTACGCAATCCCGCCCCACGATTGTCTTGTTGATGTTCGTCCAGCCTTTTACTCTTGTCTCTCTTTAGACTTTTTTATATCTCTCTCTCTCACATTTTCTTTTTCTCTTTTTATTCTTTCTCATATCACTTGGGACCACCCTTATAGTCCAGTGAATTGTTCTTTTCAATTGTTCTTGTAATCTGGTGGATTTTTAATCAGCCTCTCCCATAATTAAACTATATCTTTATATAGTTAACTATATTATTCTAGTATTTTGACATTATATTCTCTTCTTGTGCTAATCCTTTTGAATTTATAATTGTCTATTCATATAACACTGTATTTATATATTATTTTGTTTTTGTTTTAGATTCATTTTATACAACAGTCTTCAATCATTATATTTATCGTCTGAATACCTAATACTCATTGCTATGACCGATCGTATGAGACGACGTCGATCTCGTGATGTTCGTCTGAATGGCTCGAACTCATCATCTCCAAGAGATGAAGCTGGCTTATCACCTTCAACACGATTACGAATAGCTGCAGATGTACATCGTCATTCAACATCTGATGACGATTCTGGATGCATCTTAGAAGAGTATGCATGGTGGCCAAGCGGTCTCAAACCAGACATGGTCAGTTTGTTTTGTTTTGTTTTGTTTTTTTCTGTTTCTATGTTTCATTTTCATTTCTCTTTTTGAACTTTTAAAAAGTGGAAGTTGAAAGAGAAATTTTTTGAATTCACGCGCCTGAATAATGGTTGTATGACTGTTACAGGTCCATCTGTATTTCTCTTGCCTGCCTGAGGATAAAGTACCATATGTCGGAAGTGTAGGAGAAAAATGGAGAGCTCGACAGCTGAGGTATCATATACAAATATTTTCATGTTTTTGTTTAAATGAGAAAGGTGTATCTTGATATATGGCAAGAACTGACTTTCCTCTTGTGATCTGTTAGAAAACAAATGAATTCACATTTGCAGACATCAAATGCCCGCACAAGATTCAGATGGTCGTTATTGTGCCGAATTGACAAAAGAAGAACAGGAAGAACTAAGGTTTTCATTTCTCCTAATAGCATTCTTTATAAAAAAAACAACTCATATTCAAGAGTGTTTGATCGTGCTCGAAAAAGCGAATGCATTGGCGTGGGACGCGTCTATAAACTGCCATATGATGGTATGGTTCGCACCTGTCAGGGGGTAAGTTGTTGTTTTTGGTAATTTAGCCAATAATTTTCTTTTCTTCTTTCCTAACCAATTTTCTTCATCCTCATCATCTTCTTATATATATTTTCTTTTTATTTTTATTTAATTGGGATGTGCTTGATCGTAAATCAGCTGCGCTTTATGATATTTCCATATTTGTAATGAAATTAAGAGAGTTGAGAGATAGAGGTATGAGGCATAAAGGATGAGTCAAACGATGAACTGATGGCACCTGTCCTTATAAAATTGCGCGAAAACTCAGCAGGTTATTATTATTGGTGGGTAATAATGATGAATGGATGTTGACATGCTTCATCAATTCATATGTCATAAGCTATTCACATCAGATTTTGTATGGTTGAGATGAGAAAGTGCCTACAGCAAGTAACATCAAATGAAAAGAGTTTTCGAAAAAAAAAATAAAAAAGACTTGAAACAACAGAACAGAGCTGTTCTTAAGTTTCTAATGACTTTTCATTTTGATCGAAGCTTTTGTCTTTTCCGTCTTTCAACATAAATTTCTATCGTAAAACTGTTTAAAGGTTATGAACAAGGAAAATCTTTGAGATTGAACAGTTTTTGATGGTAATTACGATGATGTGTTGAAGAAGGCTAGATGCCGACATCGTTCTTCATTAGCATACGTAAACGAGCATTACCTTTCTGCTTATTTTTACAACCATATATGGCATCTTTATTCGTTATCTGATGGAATATTATGATTTCTGAAGATTTTTTGGATGCCAGGTGCGAAGAAATTGAGATGAAGAGGACATCGGCTTTTGTACGCTAATGCTCATTTTTGAGAATGCTTAATGACGCTGATGATGTAAATCATTTGAGAATAATTAGACAAGATGTGTCCTTTGATCATTCATTCATAGATATTTGATATCCAGCATCTCCATACATATAATTTGACCATAAATGGCTTATTACGGATAAGATGATGTAGAAAAAATGGAAGGAAAAACACAAATGTGTGTGAAGGAGAGGGGGGGGGAGAGAGAATAGTAGTGCAATAGCTGAGCAGATGGTTTGTTAATGCTTGATCAAAACATTTCATAGTTTGTGACAGTAACTGTCAGCAAGCAAAAGCTATGACAAAGATAAAAAGAGCTTTGACTCAGCTAATTGTTAGCCACTTGAGATTTTTGTTATGAAGGACACATCTCCTTTTCTTTCAATCTTCCAGACCTCTCCCTTTCTATAGAGAGTGAGAGAGAGTAAGTAAAGTTAGGTGTAAACAACTATCTTCATACAATACCCAAATGATAGGTTGTAAGTAAATTAGAAGAGAAGTGAAGAGACCACCAAATCATTTTCAATTCAAACCAAGGACTTTGAGCATGTTTTGTTTCATATCCTATACAAATAACCATATAATTTATATGGTATAAGTTAATCTTCAAGTACTTTACATATCTTCAAACACTTGAGAATTGTCATCAACGTCGTATTTTCTGATGTCATAACAGGTGTATATTGCATTGTTTTTCTTTTCCTATCCTATATCCTCATAAGGCCTTATTTGGATTGCAGCTCATATCCTATGATAGCTTCTTTACATTTTTGCCGACAAACTATTGCACAACATGCGGTACGACGGTCATTACCAGACCCTTCTGAATGCACTTCAAACCTTTTTTTATAGTCATTGACGTCATTCCCTTGTTTTTATTATAAGTTTTATTGTTTTAAAAGTTAAAAGCGAGCAACCGTTCACCTGTCCGTTCTCATACTAACTAGACAATCTCAATGTGACTTTGATCATCAAAAGTTGTGTTGGCAAAACTATCTCTAGTACGCGCGCTACATTTTACTTTCGTGTATGCAAATACGGCCTGTAAGATATGTGTTACGGAAAATATATGTCTGATTGAAGGATTTCAATATTTATATTTGTGTTGAAAACATACAAATATCAGTGTTCAAAAGAAACCATTTGACACATCTGCCAATGCAGATGTTGTCAACCGAAAGGTGTGGTGGTAGCGGAGACGATTCATTGGATTCTCGAAGTGATTGCTTTTCGTCGATCGTTTCTTTCAATTTGTTTTCTCTCAATAGCCACCGGCTGTATAACTATTCTAACAAGATGAAAGAAAGGCAGAAGAGCCGACTTCGTGTCAGGGAAACCTTTCCTGATGAAACTTATGAGTAGCTGGAGCCATAACGCTTCGCACAGTTGTTTTCAGTACTCGTTGTAGTCATTGTACTGTTACTAGCTATACGTATAGCTGAATAGATAGCCGGTTTAAGGTTACATGGGAAAGTGATTCACTAATTATTTCGTTAATGCGATTAATAGATAGATCAGCTTTGCGGCATCGAGAAAGTCAAGTGAGGTAGGGAAAGTGTCATCCCTCTCTCTCTTTCTCTTGAATTTGCTCAATCCTTCTATGACTCTATGCTTTTCCCATCCACTTTCGCTCACTTCCTATCTCTTTATGCCTCTCTCTGTTTCAAGCTTATACAGTTTCTCTCATCTTGCTTATTCTATCTGTATATGAGTGGAAACAAAAGCCGAACGAGGGAAAGAGATGCTGAACGCTTTGCTCCAGACTATCAACGCCTCAACCGTCACAGGGGTCAACCCTTTGACTAATGACCCATCTCGGCTTTTCCTTTTTTCGCCTAATCTTCAAAATGACAGATAACAGGGATGAAATAAAAAGACGAATGAGCTATTTCTGAATGATGCGACGTCATTTTTTGATTTTTCGACATCGTCTCCCTCATAATATGACCATTAGGAAGATTCTTGGAAAAATGAAGAGGGAAACTGAAGGATAGAAGATGAAAAGCATCATTAGATTTTAATGGGAATAAGCTGGTTGTGAATGTTTTTTTTATCTTGAAATGTGCAAGATGAATAGTAAAATATCTTTTGTATAGTGGTTGGATCATTTTGACACCATCTTGATGACTTCTTCTTTGTGTTTTGCGGTTCTTTTACTTCATTGAGGATCAGAAGGTGTTGGATACGCGGATACGATCTTTTCCAAAAATCATGATGACCCATTCATTTATAGAGATTAAAAGACATTTTTATGGATGAGAGTCAAAATAAAGTGTGTAATGATGACCCCAATCATGACCTGATTACAAAAATCGAATATTTGCATTATTTCCTCGCATAATAATGCTCTTATCGTTCTGAAATATCATTTGAAGTGTAAGAAGCTTTTCGTTTGCTTCAATTACATAGCAAATGAGATGGTCTCTGATTTATATGACTCTACAGCATCATATGCTAATTCTCATGCATACCTTAGTAGGATGTAATTATATAATCACAGCTATATAAAACTATAATGAAATACAAAGCGTAACTATCTTCTTATTATGGGCAAATAGTTAAATCACGAAAAGACAACAGGTGGCTCAACTCATATTACCTTAAAAGTACTGAAATATGACCTTTAACTTCTTGCATTCACTTCATACAAATCTTTTCTTGTGACTTCATGTAATAGTATATATTATTATATAATTAGTATGGTCAGTCTACGGTTTCTTCACAACCGCTCACTGATTTGGTTTTGCTAGAATGAAATTTCATTCCACATTTTTCACGGGAGATAGGGTAACGGGAGGGGGGTTGTTACGGTCAAGTGGATCATTCTGAATTTCCTAACTATTCATTTTCAATTGTGCTCTTAACTAAAATTCAGAATAAGGGATTACTGACCATTTGACTAAATTATATGTTTCAGTGTTTCCGTGATGCGCAGGAGGGTGAAGTGATAGTTGAATCAACACGTACTTCTCAAATCTTCCACCCTCAATGCTTCCACTGCAATGAGTGCCGGATTTTGCTTGTGGATTTAGTTTACTTTGCACATGATGGAAAGGTTTGTCATCTAGCCTTATATGACTAAACAATGTTTTTACTTCAGATATTCTGTGGACGTCATCATGCTGAACAGATAAAACCACGATGTGCTCGCTGTGATGAGGTAATACGAATGGAAATGTAACATCTTGACTGTAAATGGTTATTATAAGAGGATATTAGAGAGAAAGTGGCCCAAAAGCAATAAGTTTAAGCTTTTGGCTTTAGCCCATTTAGCGCATTTTGTAGCTTCAGCCTCACTGTCCTAAGTCTCTCGAATCAGCTGTACTGTATATGCTGATCTAGTTGATTTAGTATCCGAAACATCTGGCTACTGACAGTCAAAATCGGCTCATAAACTAAAGTCGCAACACGTGTGCGTGACGAGCCAGACGACAACGGAAGACAGTTGAATAGCAGAAATGTTGAAATGAATATGTCGAGAAAAGCTTAATGACAGGGCTTGTTGAATTTGTTTGAGCTGTTGATGATTGTCAATCATCAAGAAGTATTAGTAACCAAATTTATAAAAAATGTGGTTAAGGAAGTCATTTATATTGTACTTCCCTCAATTTCGATTTATTTTCGTAAATGTTTCAAAAACGGCAACAGTTGGTTGATTTTCAAGGTCTTTCAAAGATAATTTGCATTTGAAAGAAAATCTTCAGGTATATGATTTAGGCTAACTGTTGTCTCCATCTAATCCATAAAACTGTTGGCCATTTTGCGAATCTGGGATAAAGCAGTTTGCATAAGCGAATTTGCAAATTCAATCTCAGCTGAAATCATTACATAAATTGATTGTCATTAATGGGCTTGTTTCCAACAATTATTTGAAACATAAATTGTCAATATGTGAACAATAATGTTTATTTGACTATTTATTTTCATTATGACGTCATTAAGATGATGTTCTGACTCGATAACCATAGTCAAAAGACTTCATTATATCCATATATGATGAAAACGATCAGAAAATAAATAGTCAGCTGTAAGAAGGAAGCGAAAGGTCGTATTAATACCTTTTATGGCCTGCAAGCTGATCTTCTATCCTAAGATATGAGCAAACAGCGGCCTTTTTTTGCAGTAGTGCACACGAGCCTTAGTTGGCTAAAGTTGATTCTGAAGAGATCCAAGTTTGCCCAGCAACTTGACTTCAAACAATATACAAGCCAACTTGCTAATCCAAAAAAAATTAGAAGAAAGAGATGTTCTGTTCATTATGTACATATAGTTAAGAATCATATACATATGACTTAAGATTAAACTTCTGTTGTTGATGACAAGAACATGAAAGTGCCGACAATCCAAAAGCTCTGCCACAATCTCATCTGTCTTTCATCTTCTTTCCATTTATATTCACTCAGAAATGCGTTTCCTTCTATAAACAGCTTCGTTTTCCTGACAATCTACTCGAATTTCCTTTCTTGTGATTGCCGCCATATTGAAACCGTTCCTATCTGATTGTTAAGATGAGCCTCATTTACATATATTTTGGATAATTAAAAACAGTCCTGGCATACGAGATACAAATTCTGGGACCATCTTCTATCTCTTCTTATTCTGTAAACTTTTTGTGATGAGTCTTCTGACAAAAATCAAAGCTTCTGCTGACAGCTGGAACGGCTTCATCTTTTATCGTTGTTTTGTGTGTTAGCAAGCTCAGAGACATCAACCAGAGACACATCCGTTTGTTTCTCTCCCCATTTACTACTTATTCTAACGTTTGCAATCCCCCAGGCATATGGTCTTCGTTGACAGATCATAGAGCTCTTTACAGCTTCTGTATTTTTCTATATTTCTCTCTAAATATAGAACTCCACACATAAATCTCTCGTAAATTATCTTGAGAATGATATGCTCATTCATAAGCAATCGTTTATTGTTTGTTCTTAACTACGAATTGGATTTTCCATTCCGTATTGAAGTCGAGGGTTGCAGTAATGGGAACGAGACACTAAAACGAAAAGCTGGAAAATGAAAATCATCTGCAATATAACTGTTTGCAGCTCATATTCGGAGAAGAATGTACCGAAGCCGAAGGAAGAACCTGGCATCTTCATCACTTCCAATGCGCAGACTGTGCTTGTATTCTAGGTGGAAAGAAATATATGCAAAGGTAGATCAGTTAAGCAAAAACCAATACAACTTCAATATTCAGGAATGGTAAACCCGTGTGCTTGAATTGTTTCCATTCAGCTGAATCCCCTCTGCAGTGTACTAGCTGTAGAGGTAAAATTCGAACCAATCATCCACATATCTCTCAGGTACCATAGAGACATTATAATGAAGTTATATTCATTCAATTATTTAGAATGATCTTCATTGGCATGCAGATGTTCGTTGCTTTAGCTGCTGCGTCTGCTCCAAAAATTTACTTGGATTAAAATATTCTTTATTAGATAACCGGTTATACTGTGGCTTTAATGGTTGTGAATCTGGTAAGAATTTTACTCATGTCAGCTTCAATCATCTATTATTTTCTTCAGATTCTGGATTTGATGACCGCCTGATGGTACCATCGCCTGAACGGAGAAACACCAGACCTCCGCGTGTGCCACGAGCATTACCGTCTCCAGTATTAGCACCCCGACCTCCACAACGAGCCCCACCACCACCTCCGACCGAAAATATTTATGAAACAGTCTTGCCTTGCACATCAAGGTAATTAAATACTCTAATCCCAACACGAGTACTTAATTTGAATTTTAGCAGTCCCGAATTTGAAAAGAAGTTTGGTTCAGAATGCGAAAGAATAGGAAACTATTATAGTCATACACCTAATCGCTTAATGCCGCATGAGGACGACTTAAGGTATTTAATATATTCCTAAAACGCTTTCAAATACTTTGTTCCAGTACATCTTCTGAATCAGAAGACGATGATCTATATGTTGCAAACCTGATGGCTGCAGCCTCGTTAAATAGGGTGAGTATTAGACTATATGAATTGGTTTAAAACCGTCTTCTAACAATCGTAAAACTATTGTTTTCCGCAATTTCGTTTCCAAACCTGAAGACATTTCAATAGAAAACGATCAAGCTAGTTTTTCATAACAACCGTGCTAGACATGCGTTACAATAGAAAATGGCGTACATCACGTCAAAGCTGTCACTTGTCACGTGGGTATTAGAATATGTATCAAGTGGCGGCAACTCTCAACATACTTCTCGTCATAATACTCTCGAAACTAAATTCTGTATTTTCCAGATGCCTAATAGGAAAACAACGCAATTCTCAACTGTGCGAGTCGCAAAAAAGAAAAAGAGTAATAGATGCATTGTATCGTAACCAGATATATATGTGCAGAAAAAGAGGAGAAAATGTGATAAATTGTAGTCATTTGAAAACACTAAATTTTTAAATAAAAATCTATTGTCATATTAACCATTTATTAATTTTCGTAAAGCACGATCAGAGGAAGTTAAGAGCATAGAATAACCGACCAGAATGTTCAAGCGTTTGAGTATAAGCAAAAAAAAATTATACAGTATGTGTTCCAAAAACTCAAAAAAATGAAAGAAGCTGTGAACATGTACAGCAGAAGAGAAATAACTGGAAAAATGATGAAATTATTACAGAAGTAGGAAGAAATTCTCTCTGCAGCTTTGTTAGGAATGAGCTTTTTTAGAATGAGGCATATCTCTCAAAGTGACGTAGTAAGTGTAATCACTAACATGGCCTATGATTTCCATATCGAGACTATTATTAAAACTGAAAAAAAAACAAAAAAAAGTAAAGATTTTTACAATTCTGTGGCTGTTAACCGGGGAAAATAAATAATACATTCTGAATACTAACAATCTCCATCTTACGGTAAAGATATTTGATATTTCGCATGCGAGTTTCTATTCGTGGATAACAGGGATTGGCTCAGATGCTGATTCTCTCATATCAGGCATAAAATCACGTGCCATAAGACATGCGAATACAGTCATGACCATCTTTGGTTTCACCTGAAAATTGCCGTATCAGAGTCTTCCTCATGATTTTGGTATTTATTACCTCAACAATATCTTCTGGTAAAGCATAAATCTTTGCTCCGATTTTACGTCCACAGGTAATAGCATACTTAGCATTATCAATTTTATCTTCAAATGAACCTCCAGTTCGAACCTAAACAAAGATAAACTTCAAAGATAAACAGAATGTTCTGAATACCAAAGAGAAATCAATGATTTTCGGCTTGATGCTATCAATAAGATCAATAATGACCCTTCCGTCAGAAATTGATGAGTCTTGGAAGGATTTGATAGAAGATGATTTTCCACTCTTCGCTAACTGAAAGCACAAGAATAGTTACTAACTACTTGGATTAATAGCAAACCTTTTCGTTAACCCAGTGGACAATATCCTTGTCAAGAGGCAATGAATCTCCACTCTGAGTGCATTTTGCCAAAATAGTCAAGGTGTAAGCACGCATAAGTTGCCATACGAGGGCTTAAAACAGAGTTCAAACTGAATAAATGAAATATGGTACCGAGAGTGAGAGTTTGATTTCCATCATAGATATCTTTTCCTTGGATTCCAACTAGTGAAAAACCAAGTTGCTTCCCTAATTCAACAGCATAATTACAATTCTGAAAGTGATAGCATGGATTTTTGTCAATTTTCAGTTTCAAACTTGAATTTGATCCATCATTCCCCGAAGTTTATGGAAAACTTTGACAACGCGTTTCCAGTTGACGATTCCAGGACGAATTATGTCATACAGCTATAAATTTTATTTTGCAGTTGAAGCAGAAGTTATAAACTCACTTGGAAAATGATAACTCCGTTTTGAAGATCACTGTAGAGCCAATTGACGTATGGGTTAACGCCCATAGAGTTCATCCAGTTTCTATATTGCTTCTCTTCTCTAGTTTCCTGAGGCACATCCAAATCAACTACAATACAAAAATGGTATACGAGATAATGTTATAAAAACAGTTACCTTGATCATCAGCTCCAGGATCTGGTAAGTTAGGATGTTTGTTGAAGAGATTAGCAACGAAAGCCAAATTAAGTTTGTAATTTCCACTAGCGACGTCAGAAGGAGTAACAAACTCTCGGCAGTCAAGCTTATCAGCTTCTTCCAGCATTGCGCCTGCTCGATCAACATTACCCTGTAAACAAAAATTATAAAATCGTGAGAAAGTTAGGGAAAATTACCCTAACAGACAAAGGAGCCAAAGATACACCAGTTCCAGCAGGAGCAATTTGGTTCAGAAGATATGTATAAATCTCAGAATCAACAATGTCACTTGTGAAGTTATTGAGTCTGCGACTGACTCCAGCCTATGAAACATCATATATAAGCAAAACCGAACAAAATAAAGTCTCTTACATTTTCAAGATGATAATTAACCCATCTGATCAAAATTTCTTCAGGAGAAAGTTTCCTTAAATCGTCGAGCGTTTCACCATCTCTCAACAGACGGAAGAGTCCAGGGCAGTGAGTGAGATCAATTTGATTGAAAAGACCAATCTAAAAGAAAAAGTAGAATTTAGATCATTCAATCTGAAAGTACTCTAATGATCTGCCAAAGCAATCCCAGAACTAAATGAGGTGTTCCTTTACTCAAGTCAGTACTATCAATATTGATAATGTTACATCCTATAGCCTGAAACCATATCGTAAATGTGTCCCAAAAGATCATTTCACACCTGAGCAGACATCAAGGCTAGAGTCAAGTTTTCAAGTTTAGTGTATGTATTGAGACTTTTCTTGTTGATAGCTCGTTCATCGATAGTTCCGGGAACGGCAAGGTTGATGAGTTTACTGAAAAAGAGAAAATTAGTCCCTGTAAGTACAAGGAAACCGTGGCGCTTCCTTAACCGAATTTCTTTTCCCAAACGAAAGAAAAGTTCTATCTTCCTTGAGAGCAAACAAGAAATTCTTTTGATTACATTAAATGGGACATTTCTATATCAGTTCAAACATGACCAAATGTGGTAAAAACCCACAAAGCAATATTTTTAAACATTAGCAGTTTTGATAAAAATGAAAGGGTTTGATCTTGATGATGCTATCATACTCTAATTGGGTGTTTGATAAAGAGTTGAACTGTCGATAACGAACCTTGTTCACGGTTTGAACAATCATCATCGATTCGATTAATTTGTTCACATATAAAACTATTTATTCGAATACTTACCAAAGAATAAGACCATCTTGAACCTTCACGTAAATATCTCCGCCTTCGGGTATAACAGGCAAAAGCCTCTTAAGATCAGGATCGATCGAAAGATTACTGTTGATCCAATTGGAAAAGGCTACTTCTTCCTAATAAAAAACTGTCTTGCACAAAGAAGCAAATAAGCTTTGCAAACCTCAACACGAATTGTATGAACTGTATTCTCTTGCTTCTCACTTTGAACTTGATATGTTCCACTGACGGAACTAAAACAACTACTTAAGACTTTGGAGAGGAAAACTTTGCATACCCTATACGCTCTTTCCAACGATTAGCTTCACCATTCTTAACCTTATCTAACTCGTCAAATAATCCAGTGAATTCGCGAATTTCAATCTCGGCTTTGTTACCGAACTTATCTAACAAGTCTCTCAACTGTAACAAAATCGACAATGAAAAAGTTGAAAACAAAAAAAGAACCTTATATCCAGGAATATCAATCCCCACAACTTTCAAAGCTCCTTGTATATCAGATCTTACCAGAAAACCATTGCCATCTGGGGTAACCTTTAAGTTATTGTTGAAAAATTCGTCGAATAACAAAAGTGACTCACTGTCCGGAAGTGCTCCGATAAATCTGTTAATTGCTCTTTGCTGAGCATGCTGAGAACCTGAAACAGGAAAGTTTGACTTAAGAATACCTCGATCGAGAGAACAAAACGCTATCAACTTGAAATTATGCTTATCAGACAGAATTTAATGTCTATTTCGTCATTTGAACGGGATAGAGAGACTAAAATGGCGAACTGAGTAAGAAGTATTAGCGAGAGAGAATGTTCAACAGGTCGGAGCGTCAGAATTCTTGAGAAATGACGCGCTCAAGTCACGTGAGTCTCACGTAAAATGAGTAATATTCCAAAATTAATTAGAATAATTCCAAGAGTTGAGTAAGATGGAAAAACATTTCCATGACGGGATCATCAAAGAGATAAGAGTGTAAAAACCAACATTTCTCTGTTATCGGCATGAATAATGGAATATTTCATGGAAAGGAGGACGATAAAACAAGAGGAAAATGCCATAAGTGTGTGAAGAATCAGTTCTTAAACTGCTTGTCGAATTTCAATTCAAAACAAACGGGGAAACCAATTTTGTTAACATGATTTTCACCAAAAGATGATCTAAGATAATCGCAAGAAAAAGAAATCGGACTTCTGGCTTAGATGTTAATGCTAACTTTGGCACCACATACACCTATTTGCGTAAAGGAAATCAAATAGAAGAGGAAATACAATGATCACACGCACATTGGACTGTCAGACAACAACTTATTTGAAATGAAATCGATGAAATGCGCGCGAACCTATGGCGACGGACCTCTTTTGTCTACCTCAATTCACGCTCAAGGATACGTGTGAAGTTCAAGTAAAAGGGAAAGTAATTGAAATAAACATGTTAATTTGCATTAGCGATCAACCACAATATCTAAATAAGAAAAACTCAAAATTCTAGTTAAGAGATCATCAAACGAATTACAGGTACAATAGTTGAGACTCGAGAGAAACGACTGTGTCATCCAGGCAGCTGAGCAATGCTTGTCCAATGTTTCTTATCTATACCTTCGCACAACGCACTCCTCCCATTTTGTCTTTACTCTTTCTATCATTTTCGAAAAGAGAAAATAAAAAGATATTTAGTAGAACTATTTGTTGTGACGGTCGATTCGCAGAGCGCATCGCTGCCTTCTAAGCCGCTTTCTAGGTCTTTCAACCAACAGCACGAGACCAAAGCCTGCATTCTGTCACACTCAACTCACCAATTATACAGTCTCAAACTGAATACAATAGCACAGGAGGAGACTTTAAAGGACTTGGACTGACAAGACCAGATTGTCGCAAGCCTCCCGTTTAGGTTTGCTACACATGAAAGAAACAAAAAAAATGTGGAGTATTAGAAACGGGAAGAAAAAGAAGAACAAGAAGAAAAAGATAACAAAGCCAGAACAAGACACGTGTGTGTATCCGCCACACAGCCTTCGTACTGAAGTCTAAGGATAGAGTAGCGCTTGGTGCTGAATGCATGAGTCATCATGTTTCACTTGCCAAATTTGGCCGCATCGTCCCACACACCCAAACACACAAGTCGGTGATCAGGTTCACCTAGTTGACATTAGGCTGAATCATCATGAATTTCAAGCTTTTAGGAATGAGAAATGAGAGGAAATAAAAGCTTGAGTCTTCAGTTACTAAAAAATCGTATGTTAGTTTGGTGGAGTTGTTGGTCTTTCGGCTAACAAACGCAATACCAAATAGTCCGTGGCAGCGAAAAGGCCGTGCAAAACCCTCTAAGCGTATAATGAAGGAAGAAAATGAATAGCAAACCTTCAAATCAGCTGAGCGACGAAAAGAAAGTTTATTCGGAAAATCATGACTGTTGAATTAATCAAAAATCATTAGAAGAATAATTATAAACAAATGGAAACAATGCATTTCGAAATAATCTATTTAATGGTCAAAACTAATAAAATATGGATTCATGACCAGGGAATATCGATAATGAGAATCTGACAAGCTTTTCGTTAATTTAAAGATTTCTCGAGAATGGTCAGTCATGCTAGAAATAGTAAGCACATGGGGACATCGGCTAATTTAACGATCGAAACTAAATGGACATCTGGTCAGTGACTGAAGAATGACCGAGTGAGTGACGGACTAGCTGACTGGTTGGATGTCTGGTAAGCTGACTAACTACCAAAAAGCAGGAATGAAGAGATGGAAAGAATGGAAAGACTCAGACAACTTAGCATATTAGGAGATGAAAAGAAAAGATGAATCGTTCAATATGACGACGATCAAGATCATCAAGCTTTCTCTCTTTCTTTCTCTTTCATCTTTACTGCCCCAAATGAAACATATGAGATATTATTTCACATAAAGGAAATATCAAGCTTCAAGAGCAAGAAGGACCTATGACTCAAGCCGTATTTGGCCATCGATCAGAATGAAAGACAACAACGCTAGCAGTAAGACGGCTGAATGATCTCGAACGGCTCGACCCAGATGGACCACAGCCTCAACACCGCTAGCTAGACAGAGGAGGAGCGTTCCTTTCTTTATCCTTTCAAATGAATTCTATAGAGTCGAAGGGTATAGGCCAAGCCCTGATTATATGGAGAAGAGGAGGATCTTATGTATGTGTGTGTATTTTTATGAGAGTGCGTGAGGCTATTTACAAAAGGGGAAGAACCTCAAAAAAGAAAAGAAAAGAAGAGAGATGAGGAGAGACAAAATGAACTTGCTTGATGAATCAACATCATCGAGCTTCTTCAAGCTAAAAAAAGATGTTTTGATAGCACAATCAAAAGAGATTTGAAGAAGGAACATAATATGGAAACACAATGACTCATTTCCGTTTCGAAATTCTCTGTCGTCTTTAGCACTCTCATTTACCGCCCATTTTTAACCAATGTCATTCATAAGAATTCCAAATATGTGATCTTCTAAAATACGAAAATGAATATTAATTATGTCTCTCTTTCACCCGCTTAAACCAACAAAAATGTGACGAAGAAAATAAAAATGAATAGAAATAAACAAATAATAACCAATAGTCTTTCAATCCAAATTACCACTTTGCTCCCTCGTTCCCGAGAAAACAATACGCTCCACAGTACTATGGTTTGACCTCTTACTGTATACAGAAAAAACATCAAAATATAAGAAAGTTGGAAAAACCATATGATGGGATGACCTTACATTACAAATGGACCTCATTATGTTGTTCCTCATGTATTTAACAGTTTTTATTCCAAATTATAAGTTGCTTGTTGGAAGATTTGAGAAAAATCTTTTTTTTGAAAGTCGACTAGACTTTAGTCTACTTCTGTATTTCTTGTTCGATCGAATGAAACGGATTTCCTTCTCTATCAACAGAGTTTGCGGAAACAAACTTCTGATCATGTATATTTATATCTTCTGGAATAGGATTCGCTCCATGAGGAAACTAAATGGTGACTGGTCTATCTTTGGTTGCCATGCAGACGTGACTGACCTAGCAACGAGTATCAAATGCAGACGAGTGGAGCTGCCAAACGGTCTTTCCGAATTTTCTCTCTATTTTTGACCATTATTTCTTTTATAAGTTTATTTCTCATTGTTTGGCATAACAGTGTGAGATACCTGGACAACTACTCCAGACATCGAACGGAAGAATGACTTTCGAAAACATCGCTGTTCCTCAGGTTAGTCTGCATAAATTATGAAATGGTCATTCTTCATTATTCATAACTTTTCGTTTTCAAAATATTGTGCGCATCTAACTCATGCTAATGAGCGTTCGACGCCTGTTATTTCATTTTTTTCCTAAATTTTCTATGCGACTGGTTGCATTCCAATTCGGTTCCCTATAAACTCATTAATTTTTCAATTTCAGGTTGCGCCTCAGTTCCGGAGGGCTCCATACTTCTCATGGCCTTATTTTATCTTTGCCTTTTTCCGTATTTTGGAGTATCTCATACCCCTCATAATAGTGATGTTTACGAACGTAGGTTTTATAGAGAGTTATGGATATGACTGTCAGTAATACAGGAAATGTGGAAAAAGACTGGGGAGTTCGTTGAAATGGCTCAAGTGGACTTATCAGAGAACTATCTCATTCTTCTTCGTGGAAAAAATGATTATGTAAGTTTTATAATTGATGAAGCTTGTTAAAAGTGATCAACTCAGTTGTACAGCAGCTCCTTCCCCGTGCTCAACGGTGCTGAAGTTGAACACTTCAGGATAATTCACCAAGAGCATTATTGGGAGGATTTACCGGATCATAGAATAGTTAGCTCTTTTCACAAACCTAGATGAGTATATCCCTTTAAGTTACATTTGAATATTAAAATGCCAACTGATGGGAAAGAAATATCTATTCTTACATATTTTCTTTACTTCCATTATAATCTGGAATATCACAGCATTGTAAAGGTAAGCTTGAATAAGTTGACAGCTGTTAGTTTCTCTTCTTCTTCAAGGCTGAGTTGCCTGTGTTTGACACCATTCTCATTCCGGCAAACACGTCGAAGATAAACTTTTACGGAAGCTTGAATCCTGATCAGAATCGACCTCTAAAAACCATGGAGACTTTTCAAATAGTAAATAAAACCAGAAAAGACGTCGAGCACTACAAACCAGATGAAGTTCTTTTGAGGCTCACGGGAAGTCCATTGAACTTGAAGCTCGGAAGGTGAGTATCAAAATTTGACTATTATGTTGTGTTCTTTCCAGAAAAACCCGACTCATACAAACTCGAGCTTCTAACACTCTAGAATTAAACTTCAATATAATCGTATTACCCTGTAGATACACCTATCAGAGTGGTATTTTAGATTTATTGAAATGGTTCTGGATTCAGTTCCTCTGCTTATACATTTTGATGCGCTATATTCTTGACTCATTTTTCAGTTATCTCAACTCAGCCCAATACGATTTCTAAAATAAATTATTTATTAATAATAACAAATCTTTGAAAGAAAAACAAAACAAAACAAGTCTTGAATTATCACAGGTAGCCAGCTATACATCACAGCGTTTTAAGAAACAACCTTGTAGAGACCTACGAAACCGAAGTTGAAGACATAGTACACGAATCAATTCAATATGTTACATTATTCCCGTTTCAAATACCCTTTTTTGAGCTTATATATTCAGATCTAAATCGTCCACTTCAATATCTGAAAGCGATTCTGTTAAGGCGACATATTCACCAAGAGTCTCCGCCAAAGGTTCAGTCGAATACTCGAGGATTTCTTTCAACCTATAAAACAAGTTATCAAACTCATTCGTAAACTTCTTATCACCTCTGAGTTTTTGCAATCCCTCTGTTTAACATCAGAAACACGATAACCAGTGCTGAACTGGCAAAAAATAATATAACTATTCTTCCAATTTCCTCAAAATATGTTGCGAACATTGCAGAGATCAATTGACCGAACAGATTTGCAGAGAGGTAATGATTGATCAAAACAGAAGGTCTGGGAGATATCCTCTTCTAAAAACACAAAACATATTATGACTGTCTATCCCCGTGACAAACCTCAATGTTTAAAGTGCAGCATAAGCCTAAAAGTGATATTGGAATGCTCATGATTATGACCGTAAATGGCGTGACAGTGAATACCAAAAGAACAATAGATGTTATCCAAGAAACAATTAAATAACTCCATATGGAAACTATTGAATAACTTGTTGTTCCTCTATAATTAAAGTTTTGTCTATATAAAAAAGAGGAAATTCAACTTACAATATGGCAGCAATAAACTTGCCCAACGACGCAAGGCCAGCAAAAATCATCAGTTCATTAGTTCCTTTTGAAGAAACAATAAAAAGAAAAAGTCCTGAAAAAACTAAAAAGTGTCGAATATTTATTTCTAGTCAATAACCTTCTGCTGACCCCGTAAGACATTGGAAGCAGAGAAATCTAAGACGACTTTCTGGTGAAAGCCTAGGGAGTGATGTGTCGAAGAGCTGGAAGTAATGGATTGCATATTTTCTAAGCTCAAGTCAAAAACCTTTTCCATCCTCATATCCAAAGATAATTGCAACCTCAGACAACACAACAAGAACCCGATTAGCTTGGAAAGAATTGTAACTATGCAGAACACTATACTGAACGTGGCTGCAGGTGATCCTATCAGGTAATCACTGATATCAGGAGCTATGAACCTTCAGAAACATTATTCTCATATTTAGTTTACCACCTACGAAGTGATGTTTGTTTCTCGAACATCTCGTTGTCGTTGTTCAATTGGATAAGACACTACAAGTCCATCGTTGTTTGTCAAAGATGATGAAAGTTCAATTTGTCTATCGAAGCTGGAGAACAGAATTTGGGGGATAACTGAAAATGTTGGAAAATCCTGTATGAGTGTGGTGATTCATCTTACAGAATCCTAGAGAAAATACAAAAGATAATGAAAGAATGTATCGACTATATCTTTTCCATATGGAAAACCAAACAGCCAAACCACCTAAGAAGAATCGTCAAGTTTCCAATCGGATAGTATAATTACTTACAGTACGCAATAATTCCATAAGAAGCTCCGTTGAATAGGAATGATATGTAACTAAGATGCTTAAAAGTGTGTAAACTCCAAACGGTTAGAGTGAGGAGAGCGAACCCAAGTAAACTTATAAAAACCCAATACAACTTCCTTATCAAAAACATGCCTAAGAATAACAGATTAGGTTTCGAGATATCAAATCTGCCATACCAACGCATACCCCACAGAAAGCTCCTAAACAAAACACGAAATGGCACATGGCATCTCCTCGCAGCAACGGTGGCGTACATATCGCAAAGTAAGAAGCTCCCTGTAAGATAATCTACTTATATGATGCTATTAATGCAGTGTTACCAAGGAGAAATAAGTAAGAATGAGTAATATCAAGCGGCATATGTACGATTCAGACTCTCTTATCCTGCGTAAACCACGTGAACCACGTGAAGATGATCCTAACAATTCATTCTAAGAGCATTTTTGTACGGAAACGGTTGTGCATTCTGCTGTACCTCGTCCAGCCCGATATCTTCTTCTTCGTTATCACTAATCACATCTCCGTCGATGTTAACATCAACAAATTTTTCTCTTTCTCCTCCAGCTGATGGTTTCGCTTTTCGTGGGGATGTTTTTACGTTTTCATAGTTCGTTCTTTTAGGACTTGGTTCAGTTGATTCCAAAACTAAACATTCACGCTCACTATTAATACTAACAACGCAAACGGTCTTACTTCCAAGTTGTAACAGAATGTGATCACCGCCATCAAAATTCATTCCCTGTTTACTAATATTTTTGCTTAACAAAACTTGAAATGCGAAAGAAAGTAGCTATAACTATCCTTACTTGAATAATCATATAAACCTTCCTATTTAATTAGAATATATAGGGTTGCAGGTGTTATCCCTCTTTCCCCAACAGAACGTTGGAACAAGGGAATAACTAAGCTCTATTGAGAATTTGTCGACAGCAGTTCAGGCTACAGTATCTACGGACTGCACATCTAAGCATAGCACGCCCATCTCCAACAGCCGCATCGCGCAGTCCCGCGTTGAATGCACCTCGTGATGAAGGTTTTCTTCGATTTTATATATATGTATATATATAACTGGAATAATTTTGATTTATTTGAAACTTATTCTAATCAAAGACCCCAATGATGGGAGGAAAATAATCTAATTGGGATCATAGTGGTGGTAACGATTTTTCGTTACTTTATCATTTGCCCTTTGGAGTTCCCTATCTACCTTTTTTTTTCTATCCCAATTTTTCCTGAGAGAAAGAGAGATGAACGCTTCTAAATGAGGCATTTCAATTTTGCTATCTTTTAAGTTATATGAGAGAAAAATTATTTATAAAATTCCTAATTTTCCTAGTCAGAGAAAAGCTAATTATATATTTCATGCGCTATATGCGGATTCCTTGCTATTACTAGGCTACATATAGGAAAACGGTCCCGACTCCGCAATTCGACATTTTCCAGCGATCGATAGTTGTCAGCCTTGAATGTTGACTATAATCGTGGGCTAGTTTGCTGTCCCGCTTCGCGATCAATAGAAGAAATAGTGTAGTGTCGGCAATGACGCAGATTGTTAGAGTGCAATACGTCCGCGTTTTGGCCGTCAGGCGGTGCGATAGTCACTTGAGGAAGGCTCTGTGTCCCAACCATACGAATTTTCGAACATTATTTCTACTTGCATTTTGGGATTATTAGAATAGTATTGTACTTCACTACGTTGAGTAAGCGATGTGAAATGTTCTCAGCAGAAGATCCGTCGGAAAAATTTGCGGAGCGCTCGACAGGATGGTAAGATGAATCAAAGGATTGAATAAGAAATCGAATTCAGCGATTAGTCAGGATTCCATTTCTGAGCTTCAGTTTTTTGAATTATAATTACTTATGTGGAGATGCTTTGTTTTTGAGCCTTTTCCCACGACAATCAGTCGACGAAGCGCGCATCGTGCCATGTAATTAGCTTTTGAAATGTATCGTTCTTAAAATAGCCTGTTCACTCATTTCTCTGTCTCTCTTCTCTCTCTCTATCTCGTCTTGTCTGCACTTCTCTATCTTATCGTAACTTTTCTTTGCTCCTCAATATTCTTTCATGGGCCCTCTTAATCATCCTTTAGGTTACACATAGTTCTGATATCCAAAAAATTGGAACAAAGTACCACAAAGTCGTGGCGTTGTTTGGGGCGGAGTTTATTGCAATCTCCGCCTCCGAACTGCTGACTACGGTATGTCGAGGGAAAGCAGAAAATACGGGCTAGTATACCCCGTATATGCGCATCTACAGGATGACGAGCGTTCGCGTAACCCTTGCATGACGTCAGTGAAATTATTCGATAAGTACAACACTATTCCTCTACTACTATTAATTGTCAACTGTGCCAGGTTTATTTATGAGCTTATTAAGCAAACGAAATATTAGTGAAAGAACATAAACGGATAGTAATCCGTAAGAATTATTTTCTACTGCTACTTATTCTGATTCTGAATGAAACTCGCATAGGTCGAGAAGGATAAAAATAATGTAGAAAGAAGAAAAAGACGAGAAATTCAGACGCATGAATCGTCTGAAAATCGAAGGAAATAGCCGAACATGATCCAAGTTTCGACTTAAACCTGGCTTTTTGACAGTAATACGACTAACTAGATATGTCGCTGAAGATGAATGTACTTGTCGAATAATTGCACAAAAGTACGCAATGGTTGGTGAATTTTCGTAACTTTCTGTATATTTCTAAAATACGAGCAAGCGAATTTTGTTTTCGAATTTGCCAGGGAGGCATATGAATCGAAGGAAGAGACAAAAGAGTAGAAGAAAGATTCGAAGAGCCATGCGCTTATTGAGGAATTTGACGAATGAAAATCTGGAAAGCAACTTGTATTTCGAACACGTGAGAGAGAAATCCACTTATAAGGGCATATGGGGATATGTATTTATGATGTTTCTTCTCTCATTTCACATATTTTCGTGTATGACGTTCTTTGAGAATTTAACTTTTATAGATTATGGTAGATGTAATGACAACATCACCAGACTTTTCTAAAACGGAAGATTTTGAGGACGGTGAATTGCCAGAAGATGGCGAGATTCAGGATGAGGAAGAGGGAATGAATATTGGTATGTCATTTCAAGTGTTGGAACGCACGAGTAATTTCGGAATTTTCAAGGAAAACGCAAAGCGAGCCCGACCAGAGATATTGCCCCCGCCCAATCTTCAATTCATAGTTCTCCTGCTCCCAGGAAACCTGCCCCTCGAGGTTATGGAGATGACATAGTACGCAAAAAAAATGTTTTTCTTCTCACGAAATCACAACTTTCAGGAAGCAGTTTCTGAAAAATGGCCGAATGAAAACGATTCCAATGACTTTCCAGTATCAAGTGCTGAAGATAGAGACTATCGATTAGAAGATGAAACTTATAGAGATTGTGATTATAGACCCGCCCCAGGCAGGAGGTGATTTCTAGTTCTCATTTGCAAGTATCTCATCCAAACATTTTTCAGAAGACGCCATTCTCCTACTGAGGAAGATTTCGATCAGAGAGGCGCTAAGCGTTCTTTTGGAAAACAATGGCGTACTTTTCACCATAAGCCAAAAAAGGCAACAGAACATTTAATTTGTAAATTTTTCCGAGAGGGATATTGTCGAGATGGGGACAATTGTGCCTACTCACATCAAGCAGAAGATTCACTTAGGAAGGCTGAGCTATGCCGGTTTTATCAGAATGGATTCTGTAAAAAAGTATTTTTTCATAGTTATATCGGTTGATATGATTGAAATTTAGGGCTTAACATGTCTTGCACTCCACGGAGAGTTCCCTTGTAGAGCTTTCCATAGAGGCGAATGTACTAGGGATCCTTGTCATTTTAGTCATCAAGTGAGTGTCATAGTCTTACCTCGTTTATCCCAGTTTTTTTCAGCCTTTAACAGATTATACACGTCCCCTGGTGGAACGAATGTTACAAGAAGACGAAGTGATACGACCATCATCATCTCATTACCCACCGGTTTGTCACAAAAGCATTTTCTTCGAATACGACTGTTTTTTCAAGGCCGGTGGACAACAACCAAGACGAAGAGTGCTGCTTCCACAAGGACCTGCAGCTGGAGGATCTTCGATCCCTCCGGGACCGATTATACATGCTCCTATACCCCAACAACAAGTGAGTAACGGACAGTTAGCTCCTCCATCAGTCGTCGTCCCAACATTAGCCACATCACACTCAGCACCATATCCAGCATCCCAGGTTAGTCTTTGACTCCATGTGAGCCGGAATGACACTATATTTTTAGACCACTACGCATTCATCTGGGTATGGAACTTCACATTCCCAGCCGATAAGTGAAGCAAAAAATACGGGAGCTCCTCAATTTGATATTTCTCAAATGTTAGCGCAAATTGCGGGAGAGCAAGTAGTCGAAGATAGTCCTGCTAGTCCTCCTACCTATGGAAGTGCTGCAGATGGTATAATATGTTCAATACCTCAGCAGGCTCAGGTTATATGGAGACTAGTTCCTGTAACTTCACAACCATCTTATTACGGCGTCGATCCTAACGCCGCAGGATCCAATGATCCACGAAAAAGCCGTGTTATTTCAAGTCAATTTGATGCAGTATCGTCTTTAATAGCTGCCGGATGTCCTCAAAGTGACAATCAACCGGTGACCAGCCTAGTTAGAGATCCCCGACGAAGACCAGAGGAGCGAAAAACCAGTGATGATAGCAGTAAACCTCGAGTCTCATCGTGGATGCCTACAATCGATCGTTGATCAGGGAATAGATTCATATTTCTCCATACCCACTTTGTCGAATGCCGGTAATTTTTTTTTGCTCCATCGACGCGTGTCCTGTGTTCTTTCATTTCTGAGTGCCCTTTCCGAATGCGTTTAAGAAGCGTCTCGTACTTATGGGTATTTTTGAAATGGTGTGCTATATTGTGATTGCGTTCTTATATTAGGTGGTAGAAAAAGTTCGTGGCCCCCCCTCAAGAAAATTAATGTAAATGTAAAATTTGAATAAATTAAAAATTTTTTCTAGAAAATTTTTAAATCTAAACACTTTCAAGTAATGATATAGAATCGATATCCAGAAATATTTTTTGAAAATTTTCTCTCGGAAATGTGCAGTTTCCATCTTTTCCTTCGTTGTGTTAGTTGAGAGAGTTCGCACGCGCCTTATTCTTTTGCAATATCTCGAATGGGATTCGTAAGCCATAAAATAGTAATATGAGTTTTCTTTTGTAAACAAATGACTATAACTTATTCTTTAAGCAAAAACCATTCGCGAGGTTTTAGGCGGGTGTTTTCGATATAAGCTTTTTCTAGAAGATTGTAGTAAAGGGGGATGAGTTTTGGAAGGATTTGGAACCTATTTAGGAGCGAGCAAGAAAATTTGTACTGTTCCTTAGTTGTAGCAACTAGGAAGCGTAAAAGTACTAAGGCTACGCGATTTGTAAGGATATTCCACCCACTAGGATATTTATCGTGAGTTTTTCTATGTAGTAGTATTATGACTGACTTGTTCACTTGATATAACTTGTTCCTAATAAGATATACCGAGCAAAAATATTTTAGTATAGAGGAGGAGCTGAACCTTCATGAAAAGAGCGGTACATCCAGACAAGATAATCTTCCAGCCAGTATATTTTCGAGGGAAGAATGATGAAAACCGAGGGAAGAGAATTGGGAAATAATAAAATGCAACTGGTGGGGAGAAAGATTACGAAGGGGTTGAATATGAAACCTCCTTGTGGAGGGAAAGTGAACGCTTAGCGAAAGCATCTCTCGAGCAGATGCTGTATGAAACTTGGGAGAGTGAATTTATAACGTTTTTGTTAAAGGGGTAATAATTTTCTTGGTATGTTCGTTCTTATTAAAATTAGCCTCTTGGATGCTGCGCTCTCTTAATTTACGCTAATAACGGCGAAGACCAAGAATCACAACCATCACGAAACGTTAATGAAGCACAGCTTGAGAGAGGAAATTTCCATAGTTTCTGCGAATATCACTTCTGTTACGACCATTAATTTTTGAAAATAATATTTTTCTTTGGAAAAATATGATCTCTATCCTTAAGATGGGAGGACAATTCGAACTTTTTCTGCCACCTGCTTATATTGATAGTTTTTATAATAATTGTAGGCTTTTCATGTATATATGTTTATTGTATTATTTACCTGAAATCGTAATATAATTGAATCTTTATATTAAACGACACTCATCATGCATGACACAGGAGATCACCAAACTAACTAATTTTCGAGGGAAAAAATGAGAAATATAACCGGGGGAAAAGAATGTATGAGAACAATCTATAAGATCTAACAAAAACTTGGAAGGAAAATACATGTAAGTACGTATGTCTTTTCGCTACCCGTGTGGTTATATCGTATTTAATGATGAACAAAGGAAGTCTAGTAACAATAGATTCATTTTACCTGAAGTGATGTTCTGATAACAAAATTCAAAACGTGAAATATACAAACAGAAGCTCTGCGGAAAAGTAACTAAAGCTTGAGCTCAAAAATATACACTGAAGAACAAAACGCAAGAGTTACTCTTGGTACTGTACTGCCACATACTGGTCTCTTCAACAACTCACGACTACCGCTCTAAGACGAAAATCCTCTTTTCTTCATCCCCCGTCCTCTCATAGCCTGATGCCCTCTACCCTTCTTACCACGAGAATTTTTCTTAAATTGGCTGCTTCTCCCAAACAGTTTGGATAGCTTTTCCAATTTTGTTTCACTCAAGTAACATCCTGGTGCCATAAAACCGACGATCTAAAACGAAGTAACTTCATAGGAAAGCTGTTCTGATCCCGCACCTGCCACTGAAGTGGGACTCTCCTATCAAACTCAGAAAACATCTCTTCAATTGGTTGAGGGTCAGCGCCTGTTGTGTAGTCTTTCGATTTCGGGAAGGTTCCGCTGACAACTCCATGGTTAGAAATAAACTGCTCTGATTGAGTTACCTATTTTTCTCGTCCGTTTCTTGTAGAATTTTGATTTTGTTATCTCTTTCATTGATCATCATGTACCTGGGAGTTTCAAAAATCATGAGGTATTGAATTATAAAGCCAAATAATTCAAATTATATCATGTAGGAGGTTTTTGGGGATACCTCTTCGACATAACTAGATGTACAGGGACAAGTGCGTTCGAAGTGCAGACTGTATGAGTCAGCACTTGAAACTTGCAAGTGCAGAGGGGTCAAGAAAGAAGTAAATATTGCAAACGAACCTTCCCGGAATCAGAGGATTAAGTGCCGATAGTATATCATCTAATCTTTTAGTCCGATTGGCCATTCTAAAAAAGCAGGCTTCTCAGAGCTCAAAAATGTTAACTAACAGTTGGGAAATACTCTCCATTCGTTCGCGTTCATTGAGAAGAACATCAATTCGAGGTTGAACTTGTAAAACATTCATACCGCCTCTGAAAATGTAAACCGAGTGTTCGAACTACAATTGAGGTGTTTACTCTATATGAGTATCCATACACATTCTCATTAAAACGCTTAAATCAGCTTGTTTGAAGAGTTTCTTCAGCTCAGTCCATAACAAGTATTCATCAGAAAATGACTATAAGTGGTTATCAATATTATGCTGAGAAATGTACAACAAACCATTGCAGAAAAAGAAGATAACAACTCATGAAAAGGTTCAACAATAACCATGTTTGGAGCGATAAACTTTGAGCTGTTCCCAGCAGGAGTTAAAGGTGGAGTGCTTCGTATGAGCACTTGATGCATGCCAATAGTAAAAACTGTGTAACGTTTTCCTGGAATCATTCAAATCTAAAGATCGTTTTACATATACCCACCGGTTTCTAATTTTTCAGAGGGTTTCTCTTTTTCGCCTATCGCTGACATGATATTATCGAGAGGATCGTTGTTAGTTCTAAGGTTAGAACGAATACAAAAATTAGCCTGTTGAACGGTCAACTCACTCATAGGAAGCATCCTCGGATTCTATCTTCTCCGTGCTGTCCTCTTCATCCTTTTTTCTACTAAGCATTTGTTTCAGTTTATCTGAAATTAGGTAGTACGTACACAGTCTCTTTCTACACCCACGAATTCTGTTGTGTTTTACGAACGATGCTTTCATTGTTGCTTTGAAGATTTTCCTGGTTACACAGTTGTTTCTGATGTTACCAAAGATTCGTGGTTTTCCTAAAATAACGGTGGTGCACCATGCTCCTAAAAATGAAATCAGTTGAGTTGCAGCACATTGCGAACCTCTGTACATTTCTTGTACAACTTCAACAGGAACAGCATAGTTGTAGTCTAGCCCCGGAAAAGCATCAACCATCAAGTGACAAGCTGTTGTAGCGTCCATAACAAACTTTATACCGTTTTCTTGACTAATTGCTTTGACATGCTGCAGGAACATTAGAAAAAGAGTAATTTCGAAAGAATAACCTCATCCGTTTCAATTGGGAACATATTGATACAGTCAAGAGGATAGTTTGGTCTTATGTCTCTCATGTTTATCTGACATTTAACTTGTAAGTTCGGGAACTGGAAAGCAGGATGAATGAAAAGATCAGAATTAAGATATTATGTGATATACGTTGAAAGCATCGTTACGGCCCGGTACAACAGTATGGCAAATTTTCGGGCAAAGGTTCGTAGTGTTCGGTTGATTTGGGTTGAACTCGACTTCCTAAATCGAGTAGTTAGTTATGAGAATTTTCTTGATTACCGAGATTGGTTGCAAGGAAAAAATCAGTTTTTCTTCACCCCATCTTTTTTTGTGACGACTCTGCAATGATTTCGAAGAGTTTCTAAGCGTGAAGCGGTGGAAGCGAAATACCTGAATGATATCATGAACCGTCCTAGGAAGGTAAGTTATAGGATTCATTTTATCGGAAAAATCTTCGATGTTTTCTTTGAAAAACTCTATAGCAGCCTGGGTAAATCTCAAACATTCTTCTTCGGAATTGGATGTGAAATTCTGGAGAATACAATGAAAACACGTTGAAAGCACAATCTGGTACCTTTAAGTCCAAGTTGTTCGATTCAAAGCGAGTGACACCTGATTGTAGAAGACTGGATATGATAGAAACATATCGCTTCTGCTTCTCTTCAGGTAACTCCTAGAACATTGGTGTATAATATCAATGAAAGGGACGAAACAAACCGAAGTTTTCTCTTCGAATCCAACACGTGGGAATGGAGTCCAAGGAAGAACGCTCGACTCCTAAACGAATCCCAAACAACAATGATTTCAAAGACAGAACTCACATTTACAACTTTCTTCTTTTCTCTCACTTCCAATTCTTGACCGGTCTTCTTTTTGACAAAATTTATTTTTCTTTCTTCCGAATACTTCGACAACAGTTCAACAGCGAGTTCGCGACAACCTTCTCTATAATATAGAACATAGAGGCGAAAATTTAATCGCTTAGTACTTATCGAATCCTTTGTACTTTCTGATTTCAAACATGATTTCCTTATCGCCTCTTCCATTAACTACACAATCAATTAAGTGAGCATCAACATCTTCGGGTGCGATTCTCATTTGCTAAAAATCGTATAAGAGAGCTCATGTTTTGGATACCGGAGTCTTCTCTTCTTGCTTTTTAGCGATCTTCCTACGTTTAGGCAGAACTTTTTCTGCTTTTTCTTCTTCATCCACAGGCTCATCCTGCTCTGAAGAACATGAAAATATACGGCCGAAACAAAGTCGGATAGTAACCTTGCCACGGAGGTCCAGCTGGAAAAATCTCTACTTTGTTCGGTCTAGCTTGGATGTTAGTTAGTAAGCAATCACTACAAAAACTTTGTAGATGATCAGTGTAAGCTATAATAAGATGATAAATTCTTTTTGTCGTTTTCACTGCACAGATACCTTCCAAGTCATTCTCTTTTAATAATTTTTCAACAACAGAACATTTAAGCATTTCCAATTCTGGAAAAAAAAACAAAGCAATAAAGACCGACTCACAATTCTGTTAAAAATAGATCACCGGGGAAACAACAGTTTGAGATATTAAAGATAATTCAAATTCATAGGTAGTTTATTAACAAAGATCTCAATAAAAGCTAGATGAGCCTAAATCATCATTCTGAAGTAGTTTAATTCGAATATCTTTCAGCGATTTGATCCATGAACCAAGGTTGTCCAGTTTCTCTTGCGGTCAAGATTTCACAGCCAGTGTCAGTAACAAGTAGAGTTTGTTCAAACTGAGCTGAACGTTTTCCATCCTTCTAAAATTAACGCTAGTTCTAAAGCTTCTACGATCAAGAATTGGTTTACCGTAACAGCAGTCCAGTTATCGGGCCATTGAGAATCGTACAAACTTCCAGCGTTAATCATCGGTTCGATAGTGAAAGAATTTCCTGCTTTCATAACTCCAGGAGCAGTGTTTTCTGTAAACAACAGATTAACAAACACAAGAAACATGAATACGTGGATATGATATCACGATATGATTCCATTAACCAGCAAAACTATGATGATGGTTGTTAACGCTGTTATAATTATAACGAAGAAGTTCTTAAAATATTACTTGCATAATGAGGGATGTTCGGAGCGGTGTGGAACAGTCGATGGATACCATGACCACAATAAGACTTCACAACAGAAAATCCATTAGCAGCGGCGTGCTTTTGAATTACATTTCCTATTTCACGGAACTTCACTCCAGGTTTTACTGAAAAAATGTTACTTCGATAGTTCAGGTTGAATTAATTACCGATAGCGATCGCCTGAGATAAGCATTCATACGTAACTCGTACAAGTTTACGAGATTCTTCATCAACTTTGGTACCAACAAGGAAAGTTTCATTCAAATCGCCGTGGAATCCTCTATGGTATACCGTTACGTCAACTATAAGGTATAATTAGAATAGATAAAGAGTGAAAACTTACCATTACAGAGATCACCGTCTTCTAACTGTCTTTGATCTGGGATACCATGGCAGATGACCTCATTTACGGATGTGCAGCAACTTTTGGGAAACTTATAGTATCTGAAAAAAAATGTAACTGTTGTTATGATCATCGTCTCACCCCAATGGACTAGGATAACAATCACGTTCGATACATGCCTCATGGACAACTCTATCAATTTCTTCAGTAGTGACTCCAGGAGCACATGCCTTAGCAGCTTCATTGAGCACTTCACGACCCAATTTGCATGCAATTTTTAATCCTTCTTTCTCTTCTGGAGTCAAAACCTGAAGAGAAGCAATTTCAGGATGTACATGATCCTAGGTATGAATTATTACCTTGACTACTTTGTTAGCCTTAGCGTTTCGTTCTTCGAAGGATACACCTTCAGGGTGTAGAGCATAATCAGGACGAGGAATTGATTCGGGAACTTCTCTCTTGGGTGTGAGACGTGCCGGGCGAAGAGGTCCAGTAAACTAAATACAGCGGTCGAAGGGCAACGTTACAGAAGATTATTACCGAGTAATATGGCCAAGGATTGTACGGGGCACTTAAATCAACATGAACAACCTTGTGAGAGTTCCAGTTAGATTTGAAACAGTCCTAAAGGTAAATATTAGCATGTGTAATTTGTCAAAACACATTTCCGCGGAAAATCCAGAAAATACGTACTTGATCACAGAAAAAGGCATCTTCAAGTGCCAGTTTGATGCAAGTCGGACATCTCAATTTCGCAGGCTTATCACACCCCGACGCACTACATGACTTTTGTGATATATCAGTCATCCTGAAATAGTAGATGTCAACTAACAATCCTGTTCAATGCGGAATATGCGGGTTAAAATTGAGAAGGCGGGAAAATCTCAGTATACATATGAGAACTCATACAGCAACGTAAGTAGAGCTGATAATAATTAAATAAGTAAAAGCTTTCAGAAAAATATTCTCCTGTCCTGAAATAAATTGCTCCAAATCATTCATTTCAAATGACCTCCTACGCAGACATTTACGAAATACGCATAGTAACAAAGAGTGAGTTTTTTCGTGTTGACAAAAGAATTTGTTGTTTTTAAGTTTTAATTGTAATAAATGTGAGAAGACCTATAAGTCACTAACCGCCCTGAAAAAACACGAGAGGATTCATGATGCAATAAAAAGGTTTGGTTTTTAGCGGTACGCCCATTGCCAAAAGTTGCTGCAGATTTGTATGTGAAGTATGTCAACTGGGCTTTGATATAAGCGAGCAGTACAAAATCCACATAAGACAGCATAAACAGGTTTTTGCTTCTATTTCATTGTTATTGTAACTATACAACAACTATCATTAAGATCCAACCTTATCAGTGTCGTATTTGTAAAAAAAATTTTACTTCAAGATCTGTTTGTCGTCGGCATCGTCAGACAATTCATAAAGATCGTAACGATGACACAAATATGGAAGATGATGTATAATTTTATAATATAATATAAGTTTTGAAAATTTTCTGTACATAATATCACTATAGGCTGATTGAGATCTCATTTTCCCTCTTGTATTTACAGTATTATTACTTCAAAGACCCTTGGAATAAAGTTTCGAACAATTCAATCAATCGTCGCATTTCTTTTCTGAAAACAATAGAATTAGAGATTAAAAACATAACCCTCTTACATATCAGTGGATACTTTGGATAGCCCAGCCATCGCTTGATTAACTTCCTCCACTTTCGCCAACATCTGTTTATCGAGAGATTTCAAGATAACAACTTTCGAGAACTTACGGCATAAGTTGATCGAACATTACTATCAGCAGAATCACAAGCTTCGCCAATAGCACCTTTATAGCATTCCATTGATTCCACAGTGAGGTCACTCATACCATGAAGAGAACCTCTGCGAAGAAATATAAGCTGATAGTAAGCTCTGGATTACCTCAATTCTCTGAGCATATTATCCAGATTACAAGCGATTCCGCGAGCATGAATTTCAAGATCGGTCAGCACCTGAATTAGAAATAAGGAATGGTCTAATGAAGTGAACCAACCGATGGGTCAGGAGCAACAAAATCAGCTCGACTCCCAGATCGTGAAGATAATTTGAAGCTTTCTCGTATTCTGGCCTGAATCATCTTTGCGAAAACAAAAACAAAAAGGGTAACCTCAAGATTATCAGCTACAAATGTCTCTTGGTTCATTACCGGTGCTTCCGCAGACGGGGTTTCCGGTGAACTGTCGCTCATCCTGCCGCACAAAACATAGAAAAAATGAGCTAGTGTGGTAAGATACTCAGAATGATTAGAGACATACTTCAACAGATAGATCCACTCAAAAATAATGATTTTATTTGCTTTTACTGTTGGCTAGCAACATCTTCAATTAAAAGAAGTAACAATAACAAAAAAACTACTGCAGCATGTCTTCCATAAGGGAGTCCTGATTTCTTAGGGGAGAATCTGGTCGGTCATCATCCAAAGTGCTCGAAAGGAAACCGCTCACGGCGCTACTACCCGTGTATAACCTGTGATGACCAGGAGCAACTGCAGGTCCGCCTTTGACTGGAGGAACAGCTTAAAATAACATATTCACATATTTTCCTTCAATTGGGATGTTACCTAAACCATACAAAGAGAAGTAGAGATCAGCGAAAAGCATCTTTGCGCGTATATCCTTAATAAACCATAATTTCAAATGGAAAAGTAAGCTAGGATACCTCAGACTTATGAATTAATCGGAATATTAGATCAGCAACTTGGACTGTATTACAAGGGTTTGCTGTTGTATAATCCGAGCTAAATCAAAGAAACTGAAGACGATAATATGATGAGAATTCGAACTTATTGCTAGTACGGAAAGGAGGAACTTGAGTGAGTTGATATGGGATGAAAATCCTAACAGCAGGATCGTGATCTCTCTCAGCCATTGATAGTATCTTCTCTAAATCGTCATGTACGGACTTCTCCTTCACATTAGCAATTCTATCCACAATTATCGTGAGAGCTGCTATTCGCATCTGAAATCGTTAGTAATTTTCTCTCATACATTCTTATATGTAGTACCTGGACGCAAATTTTCGGCGCTGCGAACATCCAAAAGATTTTCGAATCGTGTGGAATGTAATTATTCCTTTGCAACTGAAGTAAGGATAAGAAAAAAGTACTGGAAGTAAAAGAAACCGCATATATTCCATTCAGAGCTGTTATTCCAACGATTTTTCCATAGCTAGGTTTTAATGTGTCCATATTGAGAGCCAATGTCAACTCCTGTAGAGCTTTAACTGTATCTGCCGATAGCTCTCCTGGCGATAAGGTTGATGAGAGATTTGGGGAAGGAACAATAGTATTAGAAAGAGCTTTGAGTAGAGCTGCTCTATAGTGATCATCGGAATATCTAGGCTCAACTGTAAATTGAGAAAATGGAAAGAATTATACCTGTTCGTGGAATTATCATTAAACTTAATCAGGTCAATGATAAAATCTTTAACTTCGCTTAAGCATGATCCTGCCTGATTCCGCATATTAGCCGCAGCTTGAGGTAGAGCCTTCAAAAGTTTCATAAATGCATCAGTTTTGAAACATCGAATTTTACCTGCATTAAGAAATAATGCTGGAGATTCTGAGAAGTTGCTACAAAATTGTTCGGTCGAGGAATCTGAGAACAAGACTTTGACCCGTACTGTTTCCTATAGTAAGAAAAAATGTGTCAGAGGAAAAAAAAAGAAAGAACTCACTTGAACATATCTATCAAATCTGGTTGTCCAGACCAAGCCTCTGTCATCCTATTGAGAACCGCGGATAAGGAATAAGCAGCTTTGCAGCGAACTCGATAGAAAAAGTGATCTCCTGCTATGATTTCGAGAAGCACAGCTCTGCTCTGAGCACTTGGAAATTGTTGAACATGATCGAGAGCCTAGAAAAACAGATTGCGAACCAATTAAAATATGCGATTAACCGTTAACTGAGCAATAACGTCTCTCTCATACTTTAGCATGTATTCCCATTGGTATATAGGTTGTCGAATAAGAAGTTGACGTAGAAGCAAATGCTCTGGATCAGCTCTTAAAAGTTTTTATCAAATAGAGTTGGAGAAAGTTAACGTTTACCTTATCCATAACACGGGCGAATCCGGATCCATATTAGACAAATCAACTTCAACCTCTTCACCAGTATAGAGAGGAACTTTTTTCTGAATATTATCTATAGTTAGCTGACACAATAGGAATTCTTACTCGCTTCTGACGTCTTCCTTTAGAATGACATTGCAAATCAGACCTAGAGACATCTCCATCAATCTGTACAGTATGTTGGAATGAACCATCGAGCTCTTGCACAACAACAATAAGAGGTCCTAAATACCTACAAAAGCTCAACCTATTATCACTGTTCTATTAGAAATCACCCGACCTCAACCTTCCGTTTCCCTCATTAACATCCTGCTTCACTTCTAGTTCAATCATATTCCTTTTGCGATTGAAAGTGTATTGCAACTAGAAGAAAACATTTTCTGGAGCTTTTTTTTAAACTGTGTACCTGAAACGAGGCATGACCTCCAGCGCATATCCATTGCTCCACAAAGGTGGGTATTTCATTACCCGTCACACTAGTAACTGTACGGAAAAAAGAGTCTGTAGATAAAACCTTAAACCAATTACTTAATATTGATAACATAGTCGTATAAGCTTACCAAATGAGACCAGGATGCTGGTTTATCCCTTCTTTCGCTACATTGATGACCAACTGTGAGAATCTTGTGCAGTACCTGTGATTCTACATCAAGAACCAAAAAGATCTATAAACAAACTTGGAAAAATGGTTCTTGTCCAATCCTTTTCAATAACATTCTTAGTGTGAGTAATCCTTTCTTCCAAGAAGCTTCAGCATAGAGAGGTGAGCAAGTTTGTTCGAATCGTGGATCACAATGGAGGTTAGTACGTTGAACATTATTATTTTGAGACCGAAGATATATCTAGAAATTATTAAAATATTTTACATTAAGGAGACCCTGTTTTCCTACCTTCCCCCATTGAGATTCATAATCAATTACTTCCGACATATATTTTTTAATTTGATACATAAATTCACTGTTTCCGAATACTTTTTCTATATACAAAGATGAGATCAGTCTGAAAAATCTTCTTTAAGTGACAGACAATGCACAAATCGATTTCCACGTGAGCTTCACGTTTATCATCATTTGAAAAGTTTTCTTAGAGGACTCGGTTGATTTCGCTGATGTGAATGGTGAAAGTTAGTTGAATGAGATTAAGAAATCCGATGATTTCCATATTTCCGCGACTTAGTAGTTAAACATAATTACCTGGCTAAGGATTTCGGTACCCACCACTCCAACCAATGCGTTGGTCCGATAAAACAACTGAAAAACTGTTGAGCAACACCAACAGCTATATGAGCTCTTGTTTCCTGCCATGGAGAGAGTTTGGAACATACACAATGCTTAGCTAATACCTGTACAACGTCGATAACTTTTTTATGGAACAAAACATTCACAGAGAAGATTGTGAGACTGCTATAAGATGTAACCTGATCAGGAGCCTGAAAATCATTCATAACCACATTCACAATTATTTCTCTACCTTGTCTACGAAAACTTGCTTATAGGACGGGAATGGATATCTGCACGATAAAAGTTCTTCAAAGTATTCTAAGATTTTATCCAACGGAGAGACGGTATGTTTCATGAGAGATGTTAGACCCGGTAAGCAGAAACTAGTAACCTTAACATTGGACTTGTCTAACATTCAAGTTCATTTCTCTTACCTCAGTTATATCGGGATGACCGAACGTAACAAAGTTTCCTACTGCCCATCCCATGTTGCACGCGGATGTCGGAACAGCTTGTTGATATTGATACACCTTTTTCTTCATGTCTGCAGTGAAAACAACATCCTACAATTATAATATATATTAGACAATTCTGCAGTTGCACAGCTCATACAAGTAACTCAGCGCTCGTAACTGCAGTGCAATTGGCGTCACAAGTAATACTCAGTCTCCACAGAGCTAATTGATCAGGAGCGTCAAGGCAAGGAAGCCATTCATGTGTAGCTGGATTTCCGAAGTAACAGATTGAAACAAATATATACTAACCAGATAACAAAGCACTTCTGTAAGTGAAAACATGAGCTCCCTTCTCCATTGCTCCATCTCTTCCATGAGAATAAGCAAATTGAACACCCTACAAGAGCTTACGATTACAAGAAACACTGAAGAAAATATACAGTTTTGGGTCTTTTAACTAGCACATCAACACAGACTACTAAAGACGACATTAGTTTAGATTTAGTGCAGACTTCTGAGGGGATTATTATATGTAATTGGGCTGAAATATATAATAGTTAATAGTGTTTTATTGCAAGTAGTCCAACAATCATCATTACGCATGTTGCTTCCGAAGCATCTGAAAAGGTCTTGCATGTTTCCATTGTTGGATCCTCTAAAACTATTCTAAAAATGTAAATGTTCGTTATAGCTCAGACTTTTAATGCTCACGTAGAACGGAAACCTCCTGTCATAAGTCGCTTCATAACCATTTACAGTAACTTTGCCAATCTTATCATGTGGTACTTCACTCGGAAGCAGCGCATCTGTGAAGAGATGTGACATAAACAATGGGAGAAAGAAATTTACATTGTCCGATATGTAATGGAATAACAGTGATATCAGGTAATAGAGGAATGATAGTGATTTCCGTATGAACGCGGAAAGATTCTTCTACAAAACTGATATGCGAGATGTCCACCTGGAAGCATGTTTGCCTTGCATCCTCAACCCATCAACTCACGCTTTGAGCCAAAACTCGAACATCAGCATTACATTCTACTGTAGGTCCGATCTGAATGTCTTCTGAAGAAGGACCTGGGCGATTTGCTTGATGTCCCTTAATAAAAAATATCTGATCATCGAGGAAGATTATTCTACCATTGAAGTACTGTTCGCAGAAGCGCGGGGATCATATGGCTCTCCACCATTATTTGCCCACTCCATTACTAAGGTCTGAATAATGTTCTTTATATTAGATCATTTGCTTCCATTAGCTCAAGACTATGCTCAGCCTCATCGTAGTTACAAGCTGTTTTGACCCGATTTGGGTGTTGACGCAAACAAGGTATGGTATCACTGTTCGGTAACAGATTGCATTAAGCATAGAGTACAATTAAACAGGAATTTATTGGCATGAAATCTTCTATAATCTACAATATCCTAGAAATCTTCAAGATCATGTGCTTTCTTCAGTCCAATGAACGTATACCATGATTCATGAAGATTTTTCCTGAGATTATCTGTCTTCTGATAACAAAGTGAGAAAACATTTTAAAATCCGATAGAAGCCTACTACATCAGCCTACGAATGATAGAATTGCTTCAAGATACAACTCCTCTTACGCTTTGCTTTGAGCAAAATGAGAACAAACGAGCGCACCTCATTTTTTTTGTTGAGTCATGGTATATCAGACCAGTATTTCTAATTTGAGTATTTTTGAGCTATCAGTATTGTTTTTTGGACAAGATCTACTCGATTTTTTGGTAGTCAGATACGGAATCAATTCAGATTTTCACAAAACCTAAGAAGCTTAGGATGAGAAACAGTAATACCGCTATTACCTCGGATTAACTGGCAACCACATGTTAGAGATTTGAATTGGTTATTCGACATCTGAATAAGCTGCTATCGAATATTTCAAAATATTAGAGGTTGAAAACAAATCATTGCAAGATCTGTAGTTCAGATAACTAATTGGAATATGAACAGAATTTTTGAAAATAGAACAAACACATACATATTTATTGAGGTGTGATTTTGTTTTCCATTTTAGCCTTCTCGTTTCTTGAAAGATACGTTTTATTAATCTCATAATTCTGAGTGTTCTGGCAGTGAAGACACTTCCGTTGCAAAACCTTCTTCTGTATTAGTTTGAGTTCGCATCTAGGAGTCTGAACAAATCTTAGAAAGCTTTGAAAATTCTGATATACCTTAGATACCAGCATTTGTCTACACTTTTTACAAATAGTTCTATTGAAATCAGGGCTCACTTTGACTCTTTCTGTATTTAAAATCTCCCTTATATGTTTACAAATCACCCGTGATATCTTAGAATAACTATCATTATTGTTCGAACCTAAATAGAAAGTCGGTAAATATCGGCTCACCGCAACATACTTTTCATAGAAATTTGGACAGCGCTTTGATGAAGAAAGTTAACTCTTTTGTGGGAATCTAAAACGTGAAGCTTCTCAGATTCATTTTTTTTGCCTCTCATTATTATTAACAGGTGAATAGAGTAGATAACTAAGGTATAATTAGCATTCAAAATCCCGCTGTTTGATAACCGTACCAAACTACATACATTCGCGACGGGACCAATTTTTGCGTACGTGCCCGAGTGTCAAAGTTATTTCAATTTTAGTAACACGCCTGCCGGTTTGTGTGGTATGCAAAACAAAAATTTTCTAGCTTTCTCTACCTCTTCTTTTGTTTTTCTCTGAGTATTCAATTCGGATAATCTCAATTGTTGTTATTCCTCGCCATCTTCAGGTATGGGAGCGGAAGTGAGACGTACCGCTGGCGGTCGCCAGAAGAAGGCTACTCCTCCAATTTTGAGCCATGAGTTTGTTATCCAGAATCATGGAGATATCATGAGCTGTGTTCTCATGCTCTTTGTTGTCGGACTCATGTTCCCAGTATCGTTACTTCATTAAGGAAAAGTTCTGAATTAACTCTTTCAGACCACTTCCACTGTCTCTGCTTGGTTTGTAGCTCCTCAATATAACCATACGATTCCTGTAAATACCGAAAATGGTAAGTCATTTGTGCTATTTGTTTATTTTTCAATTTTTTTCAATTATTCAAGGCTCTACTAATGTAACTGTTTATCTTAATGGATTGAAAGATCTCTGTACTATTTTCTTTTACACTGTTGCCTGGGTTGTAGCTCATGCTGTCATCCAAGAATATGTTCTTGACAAGTTCCAGAGAAAGGTGCTCAGTATTTTTTTGAAACTTTTCATTTTATTTTTTTGAAGGCACATCTTTCTAAAGTAAAAACATTCAAGTTTACTGAGTCAGGTCACCATATTATCTTCGCTGCTTACTCTGCTGTACATGCTTTCTATGTTATTATGGAATTCATTCAAACTTATTCTGATATCAAAAGGTTTTTCATTCTTGTATAGTCTTGCTCAATTTTTGAGTTTTTAAGAATTTGGTTGGGATACCCAGACGATCATAAATGGATGTCTCTGAGCACCAAACTTTTCGCCATTCTTCAAATTGCTTATTGGCTTCATCAATTCCCTGAGTTCTATTTCCAGGTTATAACATTGAGTTTTTTTGCAAACAAATAGATATTTTACAGAAATTCAAGAGGGAGGAAATGCGTCAACGATCTATTGTATCTATTATCTATATAGGATTCATTGGAGCTGCATACATCATGAAGTAATAATTTTTCAAAAATATTTTTCAAACCACTTGTTCAGCTTCCTCCGTGTTGCTGCCGTTCTTCTCTTCCTTGAATATGCATCTCAAACTTTATTCCATATTGCCCGTATTGCTCATTTCATTGAGAAAAAGAGCATTGCCAAGCCAGCGTAAGCTCTTCATTAGTATATTCAGCCGGGGAAATTTTCAATTAAAGATTCAAAGTTTGGAATATTGCTTTCATACTCGTCCGTTTGGCCTCTACCGTACTCACTGTTACAATTTTCTGGTATGGTCTTCGTCAATCTGAATCTGCTTATATAGATGTTGCTTCTGGAAACTTCAACACTACCTATGTGAGGTATGTACAAGATCATCTTGAAAAGGTTTTTATCGTTTTTTTCAGAATAAACTCTTTGTTCTTCATTCTTTTCCTTCAACTCGTTCAACTTTGGAATTTCATATCCTTCCACATCAAACGATTCAAGTTAGTGTGTTTAAATCGAGCAATTAATTTATTTTTTCTCAGAGATAACAACCGCAAAAAGGGAGATAAGAAGAAGCCTATTCCAGCTGCCAAGCCCCTTAAGAAAGCCAGACAAGAGGACTCAGTGAGTTAAAATTATTTTGATTTTTATGAAAATATATCATATTATAGGAAGAAGAGGCAGTAGATGTGTCTTTGAAGACTAAGAAGAAGAACTAAGTTTGTTGTTATGATGTTCCTTCTTTCGTTAGAGCTCCTAAGCTTTTAGTTTTTATGACTTTCCTATCTTTGGGCCTGTGGTCTTTTTTATACCGATTTGCTTTGTGATTTCGAGTAAGGCAGCTTTGTTAATTTAATATTCGCATTTAATTCTCTACTTTAGACTAAGGTTGTTGAGACTTTTCGCTTGACTTAGTAAAATTAGAACGAAGTATGCCGGGGCGCTGGCCTAAGTCTCCTTTCAATGCTTGATTCATTCGTATTTCTTTTCCTAACGGGGTTTCGTAGATAATATATTTGTAGTAATTTATTTTATAGTCGCCCTTTTTATTTATTTCTTTTCAATAAATATTTCCTGAACTCTTTATGTCGCTATCTTCTCATAGTCTAACGTCTTAGTATACCAAACTCATTCTCTTTTGTACGCTCAGAGCTATATATAGAAATGTCGGGATGGGTTCGGAAAACAAAACTCAACGTTTGCACATTGAATAACTGGGCTTTGGATTTTACGGGCAACTTCGAAAGAATCATCAAGAGTTTGATTTCTTCCATTTACCAATTTGATTTGTAACTTGTGTTCAGCATGTCAAGATGCTGTTGCGTCCGGTGCTCTTCTTCGTTTGGGCCCTGAATTGGAAATTCCTGGCTATGGCTGTGCAGACCACTTCTTTGAGCTTGACACAGAGTTGCATTCATGGGAAATACTAAAAAAAATTGTAGTGGCATCCACTTCGGTAATTACTCGTTTCATGCCTTGATGTCTTGATGCTGTGTTTAGTGGCCTGATCTTCTGATTATAACAGGGATGCCAGTCCGACACAGAATGATTCTATTCAATTGCATGGTGTCTGTCCAAAATGGGTACGAAAAGTTTACAGAGTCTGGAACCCGAGTTTCAGAAAAATTTTGCTGATACGTCCAAAAATGTCTCTATGTGATGATGACGTCTATCGAGAGTCAAGATGGTTTTCACGATGGTCGCAGCCATTATCTTATACGACCTTTCAACTGAACAAAGATTTCGGTTTTCAGCAAGTCTTACTGTTCTCGATTGACAAAGAAATAAATAAAACTTCTTAAGGAAAGTGTTCCTTTCGGGGATGCCATTTTACAGTCAGCTGACGGAGTAAAGGTTGGATTTGAGATTTGTGAAGAGCTGTGGACCACTAACTCGTTTGTTCTATTAAAAAACAATGACTACAGTGATGAATTCTAGACCTCATACTACGCTCGCTTTACTGGGTGTTGATATCATTTGTAATAGTAGTGGAAGTCATCATATTCTTGGAAAGTCTAATTATCGAATCAATCAGCTTATAGTAGGCAGCAGTCAAAAAGTAGGAGACGTTCATGAATATCAAGTGAAGTTATGAATGTGAAGACTGGAGGAGTCTACCTATATAGTAACCATCGTGGGTGTGATGGCGACCGAGTCTACTATGATGGAGCATCGTCTATTGCTCAGAATGGTCTTCTTTTGGGTCAAATTAACCAGTTTGATATCGAAGACACTGCTGGAGTTACAGCTGTTCTAGATTTGAATTCCACACTAACTTTCCGACATAAGAAGGCGAGCTCCTGTTTTGATGTAAGGAAATTCGAAATGTTTACTTCTAAATTAAAATTTTGAGAGTGCCAAAATGCCGGAAGTTTCTTGTTATATTACATTTCCTGGAAACCTAACGGATCAAAAACTATTCGAAGAACTACTCACGACGCCATTGGTTGCCATTGAAGATCTCCAACTGTCAACAACTGAGGAGTTATGCAAAGGCCCACCAGCCTGGTTGTGGCATTACCTAAGAAGAAGTAAAATGGTACATTTCGATCGAAAATATGGTACTTAGGTTATATGTAGAGCGGGTTCTTTGTTCCGCTCTCGGGAGGCCAAGATAGTGCAGCGGTTGTTACTATGGTTCGATTGATGTGCAACAAGGTTTGTGAATCCGTAAAGAATGCAAACTTGGAAGGTAGAAATAGGAGTAAGGATCGCCCTAAATTTTTGAAATTAAGGGAAGGATGATCCTGCCTATTACCTCAATGGAGCTAAAATTGGAGAAGACCCCGCTGAACTTTGTAATCGAGTGAGTTCACAGATCAGCAGTAGGAAATGGTTTACCTTCTTCAGATTCTGTTCACTTGCTACATGGGATCTGAACATTCTTCGCAAGAAACAAGACAGTGTGCTGAAGACCTCGCAAAAGAAATCAACTGTTTCCATTTTAGGTTCGCATATCTTATGTGATTAATCTTATTATTATTCGTATAGTTTACTAATTGATATCGTCGTAGCCGCTTGTCTTACTACCTTCCAGATAATTTTCGGATTTCTCCCAAGTTTCAAGGTTGGTTCAGTGTTCAAAGAAGTCTTTATGCATATTTCACTGTTTACTTCCAACTTATTCCACAGGCTTTGATTTGCCAGAGCTCACTGACGCGTACTTGCTTTGAACAATGATAGTTAATTTTAGTTGAGCACAGCCGCTATGTTAATGCAAAACTAAAAAAAATGCTCATGCACAACCGAAAACTATTTGTTAGTCCGCGCGGAATGATTCAGATACTATAAACCACTTATTTTGTATAAAAGAGAAATCAGGGTCGATTTCAATATTCCGTTTTAGAATGAAGATGTTCGAGAACATATGTCTCTTCAAAATGTGCAGGCGAGAGTTAGAATGGTGTTATCCTATCTGTTTTCTCAACTGATTCTCGTGGCACAAAAAAGACCGGGAGCACTCCTCGTTTTAGGAACTGCAAACGTTGATGAGTGGTAAGTCAATTCAATTGATTCTATCGCCTTGTTTTTAGCTTGGTTGGATATGCAACAAAGTATGATTGCTCTTCCGCTGACATTAATCCCATTGGATCCATCAGCAAAAGGGATCTTCGTGCATTCTTAGCGAAAGTACGTAAAGATCTGAACATGGAGTCTTTGCAAAGGTTACTAGAGAAAACTCGGTTTCAATGTTTTTTTTTGCTCTAGAATATATGATTCCGTGCCTACAGCTGAGCTTCGACCATTAGTTGATGGAAAGGTTGCTCAAACAGATGAGGTATTCGTTTTTTGTTTCCTGTTTGCAGTGTTTAAAATTCAGGAAGAAATAGGGCTAACATATGACGAGCTATCCCTTATTGGGACGTTAAGGCGTCCAGGCGGAATGGGTCCATACATGATGTTTCTACGCTTGGTCTCTCTTTGGCACCCCAAGTATAGCTATAAAAAGGTTGGCTTTTCAAACCCCGAATCAGTTAGCTGCTCATAACAGATCGAAGAGAAACTTTCTCGTTTCTTTTGGCGCTATCGCACGAATCGACATAAAGCAACCGTTGCTACCCCAGGTTCTCTCACCCAAAGTCTTCGTTTCTAAGATTCCAATTATAGCTTATCATGCCGTTGAGTACAGCCCTGACGATCATAGAAATGATCACCGTCCATTCTTATACCCAGATCTGTCCTACCAGTTCGAAAAAATCAGAGAAAAAGTATTTGTCAATTTATAAGTTAGTCACTAATACAAACATGTTCAGGTTAACGAGTTGGAGAGAAAGCAAGAAACTTTGTAATCAGATGAACGCCGTTGTAGATCCTCTCCACCCAAGTATGACAGTACGAGCTCGTCTCAGAAAATAACTAGTGCTACAGCTTTATTTGATATGTTTTGTAGTAATAAATAGATGTATTTAATGAGAACGAATTAAACTTTCTATTTCCCTGGCTAAGGGTAGCAGTGGAGTATCCTGTAGGTTGCATAGCATAACGATGCATATACCATCAGGATTTTCCTTTCCTTTCACTTCCATACAAGTAGGGCTAATCAACAATACAGATGAACTTCCGACAGCACCTCCAGTATGGTACCAAATAGTTGGCAATGCTTTCTCTTTTATCCCATCCACGTTAACTTTATCTATTCGCATCCATCCCAAGGCAGCCCTTATATTCACAGAGGCATCAATTTCACCTTTCCAAAAGTCGTTCAAAGTTTTACGTTTTAAATACGTGTTTGAGGAATCACTTTGGGAACTATAAAAAGATAGACTAGAGTAGACTGTTAAATTAACAAAACCTGAATAACATTGCGTTGCCAAACACAAGTAAATCTCGTACGTTCGAGAGAATCCCTCCACCAGCCCATTTATAAGAGTTATCAACTTCTTGGCAGTTTTCTAATACTTTCTTGCTTCTTACATAGTAACTAAAAACAAGTGTCCATATTTTTATAACAGCTCGGCTTCACCTTGCCCGATCATCGATGATTGTCTTGTTGACGTCAAGTTGAGTATTCTGCAGACCAAGATCATGGCATAAACTTTTAAGCAACTTTGGAAATGTCTTCCCAGCAGCTTTCTCTAACACCGCGCTCACTAGTGTGAAACCATGAGTTGTATAACTTAAATTGTAAGAAAATTTTTTAAAAGTCAATGACTTACTTGAATTCTTTACCAGGTTCTGAAAGGAGATCATCATTCTCAAACAACTTCAAAGCATCTTTGACTGTTTCAAACTTCTCGTTCAGGAAGAACTCTTTTAAGTGAGTGTTAGAGATGTTTTCAAGGCTCGTCTCATTCTTCTTCTGAAAAATCTCCAAGTTGCACGCTTTTTACACAACGCCCGCTTTTTAGTGGCAGTTCTGTTGCCTTTGCTCAGGCTGAAAGTGTTTACATCAAACACGAGTTTTCAATTGCTTCTGTTATGAATTCTAAAATTATTACTCAAACTCTTCGTTTAACAAACCAGGTTCTTAACCCAGTAGTTGTTTCAACTGCGAGATACCACGAGAAGGTACTTTAATATCTCGAATTGAATGATTTAAATAAAGTTATAAAGGTAATCGATCATTACGAAAACCCCCGAAATGTTGGATCTCTGGACAAAAATGATCCAACAGTGGGAACCGGAATTGTTGGAGCACCTGCCTGTGGAGATGTTATGAAACTCCAGATCAAGGTGAGAAGGTTATGTGCTACAGTTTTTAAAATAGTTCCTTGGACGTATAGGTAGATGAGAACGGAAAGATTATTGATGCAAAGTTCAAAACATTCGGTTGTGGTTCCGCCATTGCTTCCAGCAGTTTAGCGACTGAATGGATTCATGGTAAAACTGTGGAATATGCTGCTGGTATCAAGAACGATCAAATTGCCAAGGAGTTATGTTTGCCACCTGTCAAGCTTCACTGTTCAAGTAATGTTCTATTTAAAAATTAGAAATTAAAGCATGAACCTTCAGTGCTTGCCCAAGACGCTATTCAAGCGGCTTTGAATGACTACAAGAAAAAACAGTCCAACAAGAGTTCTCAGTAATTTTTGATTCGCTGTTATCGTTTTCATTTGCTTAGTGTCCTCATAACTACGTGTACAAATTGTATATTAAGAGGGTAGTCTAATAATAGAATAAAAATATATTTAATTCTCACCTTCTCGTAGTGACGTAAACCCGATTGGTGAGACAGAAGTTGTCTAGTCGTTATGGAAACTTCTTTTTTCTCAAATTGCTTACGGGGAAACTCCGGGAGATAATGCTAACAAGAACTTTTCAACACAATGAACCGATATCTACCTGAATATGCTTGTCTAAATCCAGAAGCCCTTCTTGAACTAGTCTGGAGGCAATTGCCGAGGTTATGGGTTTGCTCAAGCTAGCGATCCTCATGACCTAAAAGAGTGTTAATGTATAACCCACAGTGACCAACCGTATTTGAAGTGCATTTAGTTAGAGTTTCCACATTAGAGTACCCGAAACCTTTGCAATGGAACGTGTGACCGTCAATAGAAATACCTAAGCTCAACCCTGGTATGCCATGTTTCATCTAAATAATCACAGTAATACAACTAAGATATACTGACAACACCATATACGTGGAGACCTTTCTGTTGATAGCTTTTACCAGCTCTACCTTATTTGACTGATATTTTTTGATTTTCGATTTGTCGTTGTTCATAACCAGCACAGAAGCTGGTGCAGCCACAAGAGAAATGCAGTGATTTCTCCACATCTTGAGAAGCAAGAAGGTTATGGTTGGAATAGTTCTGGGGAAGTATATGAGTTCCAAACTCAGATTAACAATAGAAAACGAGCATTTTTTAATTAAATAGTTCACACATCATCACTTTCTTCATCGTCATCAAAACGTTGACATTCGATTTGGACATCTTCAAATAAAGTCTTGAGAATACAACATATTTCTTCCGAATGAGCCTTTGAGAAAACTTGTAAAAGGTGACATTTGCAAAGTTCATCAGAGTCCCTTACGTTCTCCACGATGATACAATTGAATCTGAATTTTTGTTTGCAAAATATTATGATTGAAATGCTTTGGTAAACTTATTGAAGCCATCATGATAGGAAACAGAGAAAACGACGTTCACCAAAGGAATGCGAGCAACAACATGACTTGTATTGGGATCAAACAACTGTACTCCGTTTCGGGAAATCCTCAATGTGACCTGCAGAATTTCGATATTTGAATAAACTATTTCGTCTTACCTGGTCTAAACCTTTACTATCCTTTGCAATAGAACCATCAAGTTGTTCAACTTCAACTACATCAATAACTTTTTCTTCATTAGAGCGAACTTCTGTGACATTTTGCGATTCTTTATTCTTTAAAGGAATACAACAGTTCCCCAAGTAATATACGGAAAATTCTGACATATTGATTATGAATTGTCTTGGAATAGTGCTTCAATACCGAAGTTTGTGGCACTAATCAAACATTGTCAGATAAGATGAGGAATAATGTTTGAAATCGGAATTATGCCCCGAAACTTCTTCAGAAAAACATGAAAACGTGAAAAAAAGCTTCTCCCCAATCACTAAAAATATTTTCCTAATAGTATTGTTCTTAATAGTCGGAAAATAGATTTGGAATGTTATTCCACAACCTATTGGAAAACTTGGCCCACCTAGATAATCTGCTCTATTCGTAATCGGTCAACTGTATGTTTGTCATTCAGTTTTCATTTGAACTAGAAATATCTTTTTTACTAAGTATTATTAGTTATTCAATATATCATTTTAGAAAGATGTTCTTAACTAGAAGTGAGTACGATAGAGGAGTGAACACCTTCTCTCCAGAAGGACGCTTGTTCCAAGTTGAATATGCTATCGAAGCTGTTAAGGTACGCTAAATTCTTCTTATGTTTCAAACGTAACTCTTCAGTTGGGTTCTACTAGTATTGGGATCAAAACCAATGAAGGTGTTCTCTTAGCTGCTGAAAGACGTTCAACTTCCAAACTTATGGTGAACGATGCTATCGAAAAAATCAGTAAAGTTGATGAACACATCGGTTTGTGATGATATTTGTGTGTATCTGAGTTTCCTTTGTTAAAGGTGTCACTTTCGCTGGCCTGATCGCTGATTCCAGAACTCTTGTAGAAAGGGCTCAGATTGAAGCTCAAAACTTCTGGTTCACATACAACAGGTATCAAGTCATCACTTATTCTTATGTCACATTCTCTATCCAGAAAAATCCGTGTTGAGGATGTCACCCAATCGGTCGCTAATTTGGCTCTCCAATTCGGAGACGATGATGCTAAGGTATGTTCTTCTATTACAATAGCTCTAAAAAATTTTGTTAGGCTTCAATGTCTCGTCCTTTCGGTGTAGCCATGCTTTTCGCTGGAGTTGACCAAGATGGACCCAGACTTTTCCATCTCGACCCCTCTGGTACTTTCATCAACTGTAAAGCCAAGGTATACTCTACCCTATGTTCTGGTTAATGAATTTTAATTTTCAGTCCATTGGAGCAGCTAGTGATGGAGCCGAACAAAACTTGAAAGATCAATACCATGATGTAGACTTTACCACAATTTTGTCATCATATTTCTAATTTTAGGATATGACTTTGAAGGAAGCCCTTAAGGTCTCGTTGGCTATTCTTAAGCAGGTCATGGAGGAGAAGTTAAACTCAGCCAATGTTGAAGTTGTGGTAATTAAGCCTAAAGAGGATGAGAAAGGTATTATAATACTATTGGGAGTATATCTATTGTACCTGTTGCAGGACGACAAATCGGAACATTCGAGCGTATTACCAATACAGAGTTGGATGAAGTCATTGGCTCTTTATAATATGGGTGTTCTTTTAATGAGTAGCCGTTTGAAGTTCATACAATTTTCCAAACCGGTTTTACTGTTATCTCTTATCTCCATTAAATTATTCTGTCTTTGTGTTTGAAAGTATGAATAAGCAGGAGTTCGTAAATGTTACAGAAACCAAAGATAAGTTAATCTTGTTACCAAGCTTGATGCCAAACCTTCGAAGCAGTTGATAAAAAACATGCTTCTCCGCGTTCAGTGTTTGGAGCTAATGTGGGGAAATAGTCCCAAATTCCTTATCAAGTAGTGACCGGTGGTACGAGCTGGTACCGATTTTGCTTTTTCTTTATGCTCTATGGATTCTGTCTGCTCTTCTGATTTATTTAGGAAGATTGTGTGCTTCCGATCAAAAATCGTGTCGTCATTAACTTCCCCAAAAGAAGTGGGGGTACCGATAAAATTTGAGAAAAGTTGTAGGAGTAGCTTTTGGATAGAACTCAGACAATAAATGAAACCCTCTCCAAGCGAGCAGACTGAATTATCTTGCGGTTCTATGCCAAATTAATGGTATTGCTGACTTGTAAAATGTTGTTTCAGATAAATTCAGCAAATTCTAATCTACACAGTTGCTGTGTTGACAGTTCGGGAAAGAAAACAGATGTTTCTGATCAGAAGTTATCTTCAGTAGATAACTCTTATGAAAGTGAGAGACTCACGTGTCTCAAAATTAAATTGTCTTAATGGCTATTCAAAGATCCGTTTAGAAACTTTCGATAGTAAAAACACAAATAGAAGAAATTTTTATCTGTCTTTAGTTATTACTTTGGAATAGCGAGGAATATTTGCTGATTGTTTGGGTGTATATAAATATTAATTATTGTTTAAAATTTTTTTTGATGAAAAGAGAGAAGGAGCTACTGACCGCCTTGTTGATACAAGGCCTGAACACAACCGCTCCGCTCATCAGCTCGAACCAAAATGAAAAAATGCGGTGCCGCTTCCACGTATGCTAATTACCAACGCCTTTCCTTGTATCTTTCCAGATCCATTTCAGTAATCGAACTTCTATCGTACCACATTTCAAACTTTGAAATCTAGCTAGAAGATAGCAGACGGTATTCAATTGCGTTTTCGCTTTCAGATTGTCTTTTTTAAATTCTCAAATAGCCTGATGGATAGATAAGTAGTGATCAGCATTTGATATGGACAGTGTCCACTATCTAGGAGATGACCGTTGGAAGCTTCTTATCAAAATACTTTTTATCCTTTTGAATGGCCAAAGCACTATGTAGAAGAATGACGAAAGTCGCTTTCCTTTTCAAATTTCGCTTTTACATCCATTCTATGAATAAGAGCCTTCTTACGCAGCTGGAGCAATTATCGTTTGGTGAGTTTCCTTATAGTCTATATCATAGCGGAATGATTGCAGATAGCTTGGATGAACTGTATGCACTGAGTGCTTCGAATGAAAAACACTGTTGAGACTGATCTTAGTGCCGTCTACACAATTTACAAAAGGAAATTTCGTATTATTCCTGGATGATAAGCTTAGCGAAGTACATATGTACATGTTTTTAGGTACAAAACAAGTCAACGCGTTGAATAGAAAAAAACCTGTAAATATTTACTCCTCTTTTATAGAATTAATTTGATAACGGAGCTATTTTTGCATCTGTTTTGCTACTGGTATTTGATAGTCAAGTCGCCGTGTTGGGCTATTCATTTCAACTTCATCATCGTCTAGTGTTTAGCTAGTTTCCTATTTGAAACTGCTAATTTTTGCCCTTCAATCATTGATCATTACCGAATGTGTTTGTTTCTGATGATTGGCACATATCAACGAAATAGATTTTATTCGCCCTCCGTTTATTTGGCAATATGGTTCGGACAACGTAGGTTACCTTTATCAGATAGTGCTCTGTTCTATGCTTCTCATATCATTATGTAATCGGATAAGGATAGCCTTTAGCAAAAGGTCTAAAAAGAAAATAATCGAAAGAGTTCACTCGTTGGTCAACCGCTTCATTTAAGGTTTGCCAACGATAGAGCCTTCGATATACTTTGTCCTATTCCAGAATATTTTTTGTTAATTGTAATAACATCCTAGTTGAGTTATCAGTTCCGTCTCTCTATGAGAGGAAAAAAATACAAGAAGTGGAGTGCTTGTGCACTTAAAATCCTCTTCTTCTTCTTTTGCCCTTCATAATTGTGGGGGCACTCTCGGGTATTCATACTGTTTTCTTTAAGCATTCTGACTCTTCTATTTTTCTTTTATTTCTCGTCAGTTAAAATTCAAAATAAGAGAACGATAGCAAGCACGATAAAGAACTCCTCATTCTGTTTGAATTATTTTGAAAAGCTACTGTACCAGTAAGCTTTGATTCTCTTGACTATGACGGTTGTCATCTGATGTCATTGCAAAAACCTCCTGAAATTCACGTATGTCATGTCTGTAACTACACAAAGGAGATAACAATTTACCATCAATATAAAACCAATCAAAGATGATTATGGTTACTGTTCACACTACTGCCTTTTTCAGGTGAGGTAAAGCTTGTTTTCCCAGTTATCTAGAAACTTCTACCGTGTCTTCTCTCGTACCTTGATTACATTTGTATATCCTATAGATGGAAATATTATAAATGGATAGATAAGGAACATTTGATAATTTAACATCACAATTGTTCATCACTCACCTTCTCCGGAATTTTTTTCATTGAGAACTTGCAGCCTCTTGTGCAATGACTTGATAAGAAATCTATTTGTAAACGATGGACACTTGTTTTCAACCCATAGCTTCATTGTCTCTTCCTAGTTCTAACTGTTTTTAACTTAATATTGTTACTGAATTTTGATGAACCATATACTCTCTCAGATGCCACTATGCATGAGATCAAGGATCCTTGAACTCCCAGAGAAATCACTTAAAGCTGTTGTGATAAAGTCTAAGTGTTCTAATAATCTTATTATTTGTTCACGTTTTAATGATTTCGTTCAAATTTTTGCTCGTTTTTTCTAGGTTTCGCAGTCTAAGTGATCATTTTCAGATAGACAATGGTAGAGCCTTGGCAGGATCATTCTTCAAATCTTCAACAATTCAAATTTGATGCGTCATCGTTGCCGACGAAGAATGTAATTGTTTACTGCGATCGTGCAGAAGTCAAACGATTGGTAGTTGCCAATCTGAACAAAGGGACGAACGAAATTATCATTCAAGTAAGTCAAACGACTACCCCAGCCACCACCCTTTTTGTGCCTTTTGTTATTGAATAATTGCGTTTCGTCAGTGTGATAAGATACAAAGAACGCTTAAGAAGCTTTATCATCTAACCCACCCAGAGAATTCAAACATAAAACGCGGGCGACCCACGCAATGGACTCAATAAAAAACGATTCAAAAAACAAGACTCTTGAAAATCTACTATTTTTGGATTGATTAGTTAATTATACTGATATCCTCATGAAGACTGATAGCCTTATTTACATTAAAAGGTCATCAGAATTATTTCTAATGATGATAAGATCTCATTATTTTTTGACGTGAAGAAGCTAATGATTAAGTTTTTCCAAACCTTTCGAAACTTCTACAATAATCATTTTGAAAGGAGTGAAAAGACATACTTTGGCAACGAAAACCTAACCACAAAAGATAATTATCTTGTAAAATTATAGAGATAACAACCACCTTCACAATTGAGTTAAAAATTCATTTCTCTCTTGTTCTTAGAATGTGTCAGCCGTAATTGAACGCCAATCTGTCCGAGTCGATGGACGTGGAGCATTAATTCAAGAAGTTCAGTATCAGGAAATGCCTATTGACACAAAAACTGAAAATGAAAAAGTAGCTTCTGCTTTTAAAAACCTCGTTAACAACGAAAATGGTTAAGGTTCGTGGCTTGGAAGAGGAGAAGCTAAAACTCGAAAACGAACGATTCACTGTTGAAGATGAAATCACATCACTCAAAAAGAGAATCGATGTTTTGGATGGTGTAGCTGCACAGGTATGGAATCATAAGTCGAAAAGCAAGAAAGACAGTCTTTCAGATAGCTGCTGGAGCTGCTTCAGCTGCTCCGTCTGGTGTTCCATCTGGACCAGAAATGGTCTCTTGTGGCAGTCAACCAAACTTGCTGGCACGAAGGTTTCAATTTAGTCTCATAGCATTGTGAAATCTTTCAATTCTCCAGACACACAATAACGGGTCCATCAAATATAGGTGGAGGCGGCTTACTTGGTAACTCTCCAATCGGGTTCCTAATGAACGAAGATGCTCTTGGGAACTTGGAGAAGTTTTTGAACTATTATGGTTAGTTTTTGCGAGATTGATGTATCTTATTCCTAATATTCATAGGAAACACTACTGGAGATATGAAAGCGGAATTGAGAAAAAAACAAAGGGAAAGTGATCAAATCACTGAACAAATAGATATCTTGGAAAGACAGATTGATCAGTTGAGATGTGGATATGAATACGATTCAATCAAAAGGTATTTTGCATTTTGAGAAAAATTGAAAAAAAATGAGATGTAATAATATTTATTGGGATAGAATATAGCAATCGCACTCGGCTTAATACCCTGGGGCAGTGCGTGGTGGTGGGCAGTGATCGCAAGATCCCTTGGCTCCATCCTTTCCTGGGGCTCCTGGAGCTCCATCCTCTCCTGGCTTTCCAGCTTCTCCGTCTTGTCCGTTGTCTCCAGCTGGTCCAACTGGTCCTTGACGTCCTGGATGTCCTGGGCGCCCATCAGTTCCTGGTTGCCCTTGTGGTCCTTGCTCTCCTGGTGCTCCTGCTTCTCCAGCTGGAGATGGGAGAGTACGAACTTGTCCAGCAGATCCTGGTTGTCCTGGTTGTCCTTCTCCTCCGGTTGGTCCTTGTGGTCCTTGGTTTCCTGGTGGTCCGCGTGGTCCTGGGCGTCCAGATGGTCCATCCTCTCCTGGGGCTCCAGTTTGTCCATCAGCTCCCTTTGGTCCTGGAGATCCTGGTGGTCCTGGTGGTCCAGCTGGGCAATCGAAGCAGAAGTCTTCTGGCTTTGGAAGAGCATCAGATCCATCAGCATCAGGTCCTGGGAGTCCTGGTTGTCCTGGACGTCCGTCCTTTCCGTCTTGTCCTGGTTCTCCAGGAGCTCCTGGAGCACCAGCTGGTCCAACTCCGCATGAGCAGCATTGGTTATCAGTAGAACGCTTCTTGCGGGTGGCAACAGCGGCTTCACGGTAGCTGGTCAGCTAGAAGAGAATGCAATTATAGTGTGTTAGAGATGAAAATCAAACCTTGGTATATTCACCACGAAGGGACTCAGTGCGAGTTTTACAGAAGTTAAGCTCATCTTGAAGTCCAGATTGGATGTTTTGCATGTAAAGGCAAAGCATTGGAATGGCAACGATAGCAGTCAAAGTAGCGATAGTAGATACAGCTACTCCGAAGAAAGCGAAGCGCTTGACGGAGGCAGTGTTTTCGAAGTTCTTACTGTCAGACATTCTAAAAATACAAAACTCAAATGAACATTTGCTGTAATTAAGAGAAAAGGATGAGAAAGTGCTGGTTGATGTTTATTTCATCGCACAAACGCCTTATATACATTTCGACAAACTTGATAAGCGCTCCTTTTTAACCTTCCAAAAAAAGGTTAAGGCATGCATGTATAGCTGCTTCCAGTTTCTCTAGCTGGTTATCTAACGCATAGCTTATCGCCCATTATCCAAACCGGGTCCGACACCCTTCCAGCTGTATTGAAACAGAAAAAAACATTTTTTTTTAAATTTTGAAGATTAGAACGAGATAAATTCAATCATTCCAATTAGAACTGAAAATGATAACTTTTTTCTTTCAGAAACATCACTATTGTAGTGGAAATGGAATTTGCTGCTCAAGTAGAACTTTACTTGACATATTTGGTACGTTACAAGTTCATTTTACTCATTCAATCCGTACAACTTCATTTGGAACAATTTTTTTCCGTTTTCTATGCCTCATGTTGATCTCTTGAATCAAATTTGAAACATGTTTGACGTGTTGCAAATCTCACACAAAAACTTTTCTTTGATCTAATCTCATGTTCCGTTTATGATGCTACCGTAACCCAATATACTTTGTGCTTCGTCATCATGAGCCTATATTGCTGCTTCAGGTTTATTGTGCTAGCTGGAAACCAACATATGACATTCGTGCTTCAACAACGAAAGAAGGAGAACAATCAGTCAAGGTAAGCGCATTTCTTCTTGTGAATCACGCAACCTAGTCATACTATCACGTTTTCTGTCTCACTAACAAGATATGAGCTTAACTGAAATTACTTTTTTAAACAGTTAATTGAATTCGCTTCAGTTATGTTATTACGGATTGGTCGAACAGAACACTGGAGATGATTGGAAAGACACTGAGCTTGTTTTATCAACTGCTTCACCATCAATTGGAGGATCTCCCCCACATTTAGCTACTTTAACTGCCAGTTTACATCGCTCCAGCAGATAGTATGCTCATTTTATTTAATGTTTATCTTTAAGATGACTATTTAGCAACCGTCAACGACATGCATCAGCTGCTCGTCGTAAGCCAATGTCGGCAGCTTCTGAGGAAGATATGGGATTTGGATCTTTTGATTTGAATGATATCGTTGATGCTGCAGCCATGCATCGTTACAATCATGGGCAGATGAGCAGAAGCAGTGAAGACAGTACATCAAATCCAGTATGTTCAACGTTTCCATGTGATATATGACATCATATTGTTCAGTGCATGGAGAATATTGTGTCGGCCTGTTTCTCTATCCCCAGAACTGTTTCAATTTCTACCAATGGCCACGAGCAGAAAGTACTCATTGCAATGGTATGATAACAAAAAATGAACTTTCAACTGAGCGATTTGATTCAGGTTGATCTGGCTTCTGCTTTCTTTCACGAAACTGTACCCTCAAGAAGCTGTTCAGCTTTCCTCTCAGCTTCAATCACAAACACCTCAGCATACCCAATCCTACCTGGACCTGCTTCAATTTACTTGAACGACAGTTTCGTTTCAAGAGTATGTCTGCTCATTTCATTATTTTATTAATATTCTGCATCTCAGACTCATCTTCGTCTTGTTGCTCCCGGAGAAGAGTTTCGTTGTGCATTGGGAATGGATCCTTCAATCAAAGTTGAATACAAAACCCCGAAATCCTACCAGGAACAAGTAACTCAAAATATCAACAACCGATTACATTTTTACTATTTGTAGGTTGGCTTAATTTCTAAAAGTACTGTAGTTACTCATGAGAAACTCATCAGCTTGAGAAATGCCAAAGTGAGTGCCCAAGCTGTTCAAATAACCGTAAAAGAGCAAATCCCAAAATCTACAGATGAGAAAATAAAGGTAAAAGCTCTAGTGTCGAACAGAAAACGGAAAGTTCATGTTATAGGTATGCATATTGGCACCTGATATTCGTACTAAGGGCACAGATGCGCGCCTCAATAAGGATCATAACCTGGAATGGTCTTTAATTTTGGCAGCAGGGCAACAGAAAGATCTTTTGGTTAAATACACGGTAGAACATCCAGCTTCAGAAAGCGTGTCGTTCTTCTAGTTTGATATGAGCTTTCTGATAACTAGAGTTTTACAATTACGTGTATATAGCCTGTTACCTTGAGCAACTTAACGAATCGTATCGTTGAGATGTTTTGATGTGCTTTTAGTTATGCTTTCCCTCTTAGCTCTAGCATCAACATGTCTTTAAAACATTTTTTTTTGGTCTTGCTCAAATGACACCTGAGTAGAGACTGCTCTGATGATATGATCATCGCGAGGCATATAGATGGTCATGAAGCTTGGTCTGTTCTCACTGAACATCAGAAGTTCTACTCCCAGTCTTCTAATCTATTACGTTACGTGTAGAATATGGAGTATATCCTCATATATATATATATATCTATAATATTAAATTACATATAATATGTATAGTATATCTTGTAAATTATTATTTTTCTGTAGAAAATTGGTTTTGAACGCTTAAATTATATAATACTATGTCGTGGTTGTAGGCTAACTGATGAGATTTACTGAATACCTTGTTTTCTCTTCTCTTCCGAAGATTCACTTTCAATTCATTTTTCCAAAAGCCTTATGTTATTGTTTTTATATTGATGAACATTTAGTTTCTAGAACTCTCAATTGTGCATTGAAACTCTCATTTTCACGTTCCGTCATGATCCTCAGTATGGGGGATGCTTTTCCTTATTTCATGTGCTAACATGATGCCAAAGTGTTTCTCATGAATATGTTAAGCAAAGTAAATAACAGAAGCACAAGAATTTGATCTCATAAAGCATTTCTTGGGAAAACTGTTGGAGCACACTATCCGTGCAATGTTGTCGGTGAGGTCATAGAAGATTTAAGATGACGGATGAAAGAATCTTATCAAATGAATTTCTTATCAAATGAAAACATTGAGTTGATGAATTAAAAAAGGAGAGAAGTATGATTAGATCGTTCAAATAATTGATTAGATAATACCTTTGGTCAGTTAAATAGCACAATGAACATAACTTTTCATCCAAATTACTTTTAGAATGACTTTGGTTGATCTTTTCAATGCCAACGGCTATGCTGTCATTGAAGACGTATTTACGGAAGATGAGATAGCCAAAATGAAATGTATCATGAAAGGTATTGTGGATGAAACGAACTTTGATGATCATCCCAAGAGTGTTTTTACAACCATCGAAGAGAAGAAGGTATGTTTTCTTTTGGTTTCTCTTTCTCTGTAATCATCCTATTGAAGCATGCGTCTGATGAGTACTTCTTGAACTCATCTGATAAAATAAGAATATTTTTCGAAGAAGGTGCACTTGATGAAGATGGGAAGTTAGTTGTTGACAAACAGAAAGCCCTGAACAAGATAGGACATGGTTTGAGATTAATACCATTTCATATATCTCAGTATGAACATTAAGGCTTGCATTTTCTGAATCCTGTTTTTCGTGAAATAACGTTCCATCCCAAAATCAAAAGTTTATTTGAAAAGCTGAAGTTTGAGCAACCAGCCGTTGTACAGTCCATGTACATATTCAAGGTACATCTATAGTTGAATTCTTAATAGGATTGGAATGTTAAGCAACCGAAAATCGGAGGGATGGTGACAGACCACTTTGATGCAACTTATCTTTACGTGGAGCCTATAGATCACTTGATTGGAGTTTGGATAGCAGTCGATGATGCCACGATTGAAAACGGCTGTTTATCTTTCATTCCTGGAAGTCATAAACGTATGTCTTGTCTTTATTTAACCATCTGTTTTTTTTTCTTCTGTAGAATCTTCTGTTGATTATCGTTTCGTACGAACCCACGACACGACTGGTGGACCATTATTAACATTCAATGGTGAACGACCTGTCTATGATCAGAATCTATTCGTACCAGTTCCTATCAAGAAAGGTCTGTCATACAAATAACTTCCAATCTATTTGCAAAACTCAGGATCTCTTATTCTCATTCATGGCTTAGTGGTTCATAAATCAGAAGCTAATCGTTCTGATAAAAGTCGACATGCTTATACTTTCCATGTGATGGAAAAGAAAAACACAGCTTGGAGCCCCGATAATTGGTGAGTCAAAACGTGAAGCCGGTATATGAGCTGTCAATTCAGGCTTCAACGTCCAGATGGTTATGAGTTCAAGGACTTGTATACGTTCTAATCGAACCTTCTGATAAGAGCGCAATGGAAACAACTCCTCATTTCTTGAAGTTCCGATAACTTAAGGAATTTATTTAATACCATATGTCAGCACTTAGAATCAGATGTTCTTCTAATGTTATAGCAATTTTATTCGGTCTCTTCGCATCTGTTCTGATTTTAAACTTGAGTTTTACGGCTGTCAAAGTAATAAAACATAAGTTTGAGTTGAGATCCTTCATCATACACCATGTCGTCGTATCCTTTCCAAGCATCACTTTTGGCGTGAAATTCGCGTAATATTCACGTAACGCTTTTTTCTCTTCTTTTCATTCTTAACAATCGGAAAGCTTGAGATGCTGCATTCTTATTCCGTCACAAATATTCCGATGGTAATTGGAAGTCTCTTGCGAATCGGAGCACAATTCACTTGAATTGAGCTTTTCCAGGCGTTTGCGTCATCATCTCGTTGAACCGAATTTCGCAGACTATTTTTTATTTTGTTTCTCTTTCAACCCTGCTTTCCTTCTTATTTTTTTATTGTCAACTCTCTGCAAAGATCTAGCACTGTTAAGCAGTTCGTGTAACTCACGGACGGCACAAGTTTTGTCGTCTTAGACAATCACACACGCAATCTGAGCAAATTACTCCATTCAACATCAACATCCGGCAGATATATTGACCAATAAGCTGAGATACACAAAATTTGTGCTTTAAAGTTAATGCCAGTCAAAGATGTCGTTTTCAATTTTCCTTTTAAAGCTTAAATCTTTTTTTTATTTCTTGCTCGAAGTGTTCTCATTCCGACATTAATAGCAAATTGGATATCAATCCGAACAGAATGAAAAAAATAACTGAACCTCATCCATGACACAATACAACTTTACGATTGAAAAAAATCATTTGAGATCTAAAAAACATTCCGTCGAACCGGATTCGAACCAGTGACCTAAGGATATCAGCACTACTA